GCTTACCGCAATTGATCACAGCCACAGGGCATGTTATTTTATAGGCACACAATGCACCATCCATATTCCTTAACCTCGTAGGAATAGGAATAGGAATAGGAAAAGTAGTAGTCCGAATCCTTCTAGGATTAGCAACCCTAACCCTAACGAAAATATGTAGGAGCTGGGAAAAGTAATAGTCCTAATCCTTCTAGGATTAGCAATCCTAGCCCTAACGAAAATATATAGGAACTGACGGATAATTAATAAGGGATTTTTAGATTTTAGGGCTTAGATAAGATAAATTGATCTTTAAAGTACACTAATGCTCTCAAATAAACCAAAAATTACGTTTTATGCTATTATATCAAAACTTATAATATTGGTTTTGATTCGTGTTTTACTTGATTTAGGTTTATTTTCATGGCTCATAGTTGCCCAAAACCTAAGACCTAAACCACGAGAAATTTTTCATTTTGATCGGAACACGAGTGATACAGTACGTGTTTCTATATAAGTAGTGGTAAATTTTATTTTTTAAATTATTAACTTGATAACACACATGTCACTTTATTTGTACAGTGATATGTGGTGTACTACCTTGTATTCCAAGTCATACGGAAAAATCTCTCCTAAACCACAAGTCCACTAAAACTCTAAACCCAAATTAACCACCCTAAACCTCTATTACATTTGCAAACCCCTAAAGCAATCTACTGCAAAACTATGGGCAAAAGAAGTATTTGGCAGAAAATGCCACCTTATAATAATTTTTTTATACCACATTTGTGACATCGTTCAAATAAAGATGGGACTCACGTGTTGGTGAGCCCTACCTCTACTAAAGAGATGGTACAAACTAGCATTGAACCTAAGATTTCTCACTTACGAATAAAAATCGTAGTATTAACTGGCAGCTGACAAGTTCACCAGACTACTTAAATTTGTTAATATTTCTCAATTTACACCCTCCCAAAACCTAACCTCTGCTTGTATTCTCTCATAGCACCTAAGGCCATCTCCAACCCAAATGAATAAACATAGCCCCATCCAGAGTTATAACTCTGTAAGAAATTATTATTAAATAAAGAGTGTCAAGCTATACTCATATACCATCTCCAACCGAAATGGCTAAGCATAACTCTTCAATAATTTATTAGTTTTAAGTTTATACCTTAAATTTATTGGCCAATTGAAGTAAACTACTGTTGAATGTTTTCAAATTTAGTCGTTGAACTTTTAGTTCAATTAATGCAAATGAGGTCATTCATTACAACAGTTGAGGATGAATGTTAAGAGTGGGGTTGAGGATAAATTTTACATCCATTAGATTTAGACTTATTTTCAAAATAAGTTATTAAGTTTCAAAATAGTAATTACAAGAAACATTATGATAATATCACGTTTTGGAAAAATTGTACATATATCACGTTACTTGTCATTATTTATTAAAAATTCATATTCGAATTTTCAATAAAAATTTTAACCACTCACATCGTGGCATCTTGCCACAAGTCCTTATAAGATATTTTTTAGCACGATCGAATTTTAGGAATGCAATGCAACGAGCGGAACTAAGCAGCAAGTACTAATCCTAGAAGAATTATGCTTATTTCTTTTCCTATTTATATTTGTAGGAGGATAAGGGATATGGATGGTGCGTTGCGTGGCTATAATATTACATGTTATTCATGTGATTCAATTGCGGCAAGCCTTGCTTGTATTTCTCTCCCACTTCAGTTCAATTCTCTTTTCTTTCATCTGATCAGATTCATGCCGGTTGCCATGAGAGATCGAGGTCGTGATCATACTATTATAGCTAAATGACCTCGCATCAGTACAATAACCTAGTCATCCCCAGTAGCAGCGCCACCTCCACTGGCCATGGCCTTTGATGATCATATTCATCACCCTAAAAGACAAAATAATCTCAACACCAGTGGCAACCAGGCCATCATCAAGAAATGTGGATGATTTGCCAGAGTTTTTATTGGTTGAAATCCTTTGTAGACTCCCTTGTTTTATGTTTGTTTCGCAATGCAAACTGGTTTCCAACGTGCACTCTTCATTCAGATCCTCATTTTATCCGCCTTTCCATATGCGTTCAAAAGAATCGTAAGAAAAAGCCAAAAGGAAATGCCATAAGCATAGAAGGGGAGGAATTCCTTAATAGAATTTTGCCATCCTCTAGGCCCCTAGCTCAATTGTTCAAAATTCTTGTGAGTATCCACGGTTTGAAACAAGAGCCAATTGTGGTAGGTACCTACAATTACTTAGTTTTATGTTGCGCAATCATGTTTAGTCAATGCGATTACTACATCTGCAATACAATCAATCTAATGGGTTCCTTTTCCTCCTCCACCTCAAGTGTATGAGTATGCAGTGGTGGGGTTTGCGTGCGATCTTCCCTACGATAACTATAGGAAAGATGATCAGCGAGGGGACATCATTGAGATTAATGTGCATTATAAGTACGGGGTGAGATTAATTCATCCTACTGTTGATGACGATGCCGATGATGATGTAGTTTCCAGCGAACTTGAAATTTAAATCTTAGTTTTTGAGATCAGTGAATGGACGCAGTTCATTTTATCATTCCCATCAGCCTTTGCGGTAGGAGACCTACGTAGAGAGTATGGCGATCGACATGAATCTGATCAAATGAAAGAAAGGAGAATCGAACTGAAGTGGAAGAGAAATACAAGCAAGGCTTGTCACAATTGAATCACATGAATGGCATGTAATATTATAGCCACGCAACGCACCATCCATATCCCTTAACCACAGACGAATAGAAATAGGAAAAGAAATAATCCTAATCTTTCTAGGATTAGTACCTGCTGTTTAGTTCTGCTCGTTACATTGCATTCTTAAAATTCGATTGTGCTAAAAAAATTCTTATAGGGACTTGTGGCAAGATGCCGTGATGTGAATGGTTAAATTTTTATTGAAAATTCAAATATGAATTTTTAATAAGTAAAGACAAGTGACGTGATATGTGTACATTTTTTACAAAACGTGATATTATCATAATGTTTCTTGTAATTACTATTTTGAAACTTAATAACTTATTTTGAAAATAACTTTGAATCTAATGGGTGTAAAATTTATCTTTAGCCCCACTTTTAACATTTGTGTATTTTTAATGGTTTATTTTATTTTAGGTGAAGTATCTTTATGCTTGGTGTCACATTCCAGTTTGCACAGTAAAATTTTGTTCGCTTTGGGTCACGAATTTGTTGTACATATAAGGTACATCATCTCCTCTTCCTCGAGCAATGTAGGATCTTACAATTTACCCTCATTAAGTAGGCCATTTATTTAAGCCATGTGAAAGCCACGTGATTGGCTAGGGTTGTTGGAGAAAATAGGCAGCAACGCCTTTTATAAGGCTTAATGCCTTTTTGGTTTCATTGAGCAGCAAAAACAGAGAGATTAAAAGGTGCCGCAGCTTCATTTTGGGGAGAAGAAGAAAATGTGCTTGTCTCATTCAAAATGAAGTTGTATTTGTTGTAATAGCTTTGAGCTTTGTATAGAGAAGAAATTAATCACTCTATTTGTTTCCTTGGTGAAAGAGTTTTTGGGTGTATTGGGTTTTTGGGTTGTGAGATTGCCAACACTTTGTAACACTCCTATTTGGTTGATAGTGGATTATTGGGTGAGCTCCTACTGATATGAGTACAGTTACACTGAATGTTGAGAAATTTCGTTAAAATCTTGATGTCTTATTCTATTTTTATTCTTGCATTCCATTTGATATATTTCATGTGAGTTGGCTTCGCGTAAATGAGAAGTTGTTTGGGTACAAAGATGAGGTACTTTATGTTAGTAGTTTATGTGACTTGTATTTCATGATTTGTTGATACCTTACTTAGTCGTTTCATGCATCCATTTTCTAGTAGTATAATTAATGACTTCCTAATCTATTGCAGGGATTAATGCTTAAAAATGAGGAAATTGAGGGGGTAAACAAATTAGGCATTAAGAAATTGCTGCGCCGTAATAAGCTTTACTCGTGAGTCTAGATCACATTGCTTTATTCCATCGATCTGAATCAGATGACAGTTGTAGAGGACTACTTGCAGAGCCAAACAGATGTGAAAGGTTTGTAAAGTTTTTCCTTCTATGTATTTATGCTTTTGTAAGATATCTAGTGTTTCAGTTGTAGTCAAGATTCTAAAAAATGCTAAGTGCTAGTCAGGTAGATATATTATGAAGTATTGCAACATTAGCACAATCTTCGGCGCTCAACCAATCTCATCGATGACCAAGCCGAAGCACGGCTCCACTGGCATTTTCCGACGATCCTTATCCTTCTCGCCATCGGCTAAGGGTTTCATTTGTCCTGGCGGCCACCACCGCCACAGCTTCCGCTTTCAAGAGGTTGAGCCAGGGAGGGAAATTGGATTTGCGATTCATTTCATTTCTGAGTCAGATTTAGCGGTGGGTGGTTAAACTCAATGCCTGATATCTAAATTTTGGTTTCTTTTTCTTTGCTTTTTTTGGTATAGCAACAAAGCCCTCTCTCTCGGTGCTTGAGATTCATGGGTGCTTAAGATTCATACATTAATTTTATTTGTTTTTATGATCTGAATTGAATTGTATTGATTCATAGGTGCATAAGATTCATACATTAATTTTATTTGTTGAATAGCTTACTTTAAAAAAAGAAAAACAGTGACACAAAAACTTAAGTTATGTAAACTAGTTTTGATTAGGAAGAAGTACAAATTAGTAAAAAGCTATAGTAATTGTTCCTTCATAACAAGTCAACCGAAAAAAAGAGAATTGTCACGGTATCTGTCACGTATTAACACCAATTTACACCAAGAACTTGAAAAGTATTTATAGTTACTACTCGTTCGTACCATTTTTTTTTTTAAAGAAAAAAAATTTCTCATAGCACGTGTCATTTATTAACACGTAAACAATTTACGAAATCTTCTTCAACGACTCAAATTTAGTATCAAATCAATTTCTCATAAATAAAATTCAAGTCCAGAAAAAAAAAAGATAGAATCTCGGGGCACACATCGCTTATTAACACATAAACAATTTACGGTAAGCATTCGAAAAGTATATGTAGGTACTGCACCTTCATAACAATTCAAAAAAATAAAAAAGAGAGAATCTCATAATATGCGTCACTTATTAAGACGTAAACAATTTACGAAATCTTCTTTAATGATTCAAATTCATTATCAAAATGAATTTCTCGTAAATAAAATTCAAGTTCTTCAACATCAACTAGTAATTGCTGGGGCAGTTTCGCAAATGAAAACCATTAGTGAAAGAAACAATTAAATAAAACTACATGAAGTGAAATCTTTTAAGTAGATAACGACTGTTACCTCGACGAGTAACCCGCTGCAAATAAATGGAAGCAGCAAATCTGTTGCTCCTCCTGAAGCTAAAACAAGTTCCTCTCAAAGAAACAAAACAAAAACCAATATATATAGAAGAACATCAAAAACTCTATTTGGGCCAGCCTAGATAAAGCTAACACAAACCCTAGCTATTTAATACATTCATTCACATTGGAAACAAAGAAAAAATCTTACCCAAAAAAGGGCAGTAAATCAGAATCCAGGAAAATCTGGCAGTTGTAAAAGGTAATTAATGGCACCAGAAAAAGTTTATAAATTTCTGTCCATATTTGGCACTGCGCTGTGACCCACAAGGGCTTACGTTTCCTCTTTCCACCTCCAGATTTCACAACAAAACCCGGATTTGAGTTGAAACCGGAAAATTTGGCTGTCATCATCAATGAGTACAAACAAAAGAAAATCCAATCAGCAAGTTCATATCATTACGAATATGAAAGAAATTGAGTAATATTAGAAAGATTAAATTTGGAGACGAAGTTTTGAAAACCAAAGAACACGAAAATTGACGATTGGTTTATTACTTAGACGTCGGTAAACGTGCTTATTTCTATTGGTGACACATCATTTAATTTGCAAATTTAGTCTCTAGATTTAGTCTCCCTATCATTACTCGAAATAAATTAATTAGGGTAATGTTAAGTAGACTAAGTTTATAAACTAAATTTACAAACTAAATGATGTATCACTAATTCTAATGAGCACATTTATCAACGTTTAAGTAATAAATCAATTACCAACTTCCAGGTCCTTTAGTTTTCAAATTTTATCTCCCTAGCATTACCCCGTTAATTATTGTCTAGGTTTTGAAGAAAATAATACTTTCTCATGGTGTGGCAGACATGGCCAAGCAATCGGCTAAAAGGGTGTGCTCCATTTTTTAGTATGTCTGGAACACGGGCCGTTACGCCATTATATAAGTATCCCTTCACTTTTATAATGACATGTAGCATATATGCCCATATTTCGAACACATTGAAAAATCTCTCGTTTGCATGATATGTAGTATATATTATTTAATTAATTATTATGATACACATATTTATGGTATGTATGCATCAAACTATCTGGGCATTAATTTGTTTCTTTTTGTATCGTAATCCTTCTGTCATCCCCTTTTTGTATGGTAATCCTTCTTCTGTCATGTCCCAAAAGAGGAGAAAAGGGAATGTCGGAGGGTCTGCCTGGGAAAATGTAAAAAAAAAAAAAAAAAAAAAAAAACAACTGCTTGAAAAAAATAGAGATATATATAGGGGACAAATAAATAAATAAAATGCAATGCTTATTTTCTTGGAAGAATGAAAGAAAGAAATAAAAGTGCACCTGGAAATGGAAGCTGATGAGACTGTAGCTATGTAGGATGTCACCTAACAAACCCAGCCAATATTAGATCAGTCAACCACTGAATATGAAAACAAGAAACCGAACACCGTCAACACTAAAAGAAAAAACACACCCCATAGTACTGCAAGTTCATTTCAACCAAGACTTGCAATCTTTGAGATAATCACAATTTTGCTTGCCATTAGGAGAGAGAACAAAGCTAGAAATCACTTTGTTACCATAACTGGAAATATTAAACAGCAAGGGAAACGAGGAGTGTTTTCAAGATACTATCTCCCAGCCAGTCGTCCTCCCATAATCTAATACGTTCACCATTGCCCAGGACAAACTCACAACAGCTCAAAAAAGAAGGGTAATTGGAAGAAATGTTGTCTTTCCAAGGATTCCATGTGGAACCCCTAGTAACAATCCTGGTGTCCCACCCATTAACCGTCCCATGTTTACTCCGAATCACAGCATACCAAAGGGATAGGAAGGAGGAGGATTTTAGCTAACAAAGTGGTAGTACAGGATCAGCATACCACTGACTTTGACACTGAAGTGCTCATAAATAGTATCAAAGGCAAAAAAGAGAGCCTCTTACTTATTTCAACAGCATCAGGGGTAATCAAACATGTTAAGCATAGACAAGACACAAGAGAAATGGCACCAGAACAGATAAAAACCAAAAACCTCGGTTTTCTGCATCAACAAATGAATGAGAGATGGAGTTTCTTTTTACCTCACAAAGAGGGCAACACTAGATCTGGAAAACGCTGATTTTGACACTGGTGCATAAATAGCATGAGAAGGCAAAAGCAAGAGCCTCTATACATTACAACCTGCAACGAAAATGAAACATGTTAGTATGTTACTGATAAGCAGAGACAAGACACAAGAGAAATAGCACCGGAAATATAAAATCCAAAAACCTTGGATATTTGCATCTACAAAAGACTGAGAGACTGATTTTATTTTTACTTGACAGCGAGGGTAGCACTAGAATCAGGAAACCGCTGATTTTGACACTTGCGTGTTCATAAAAGTATCAAAAGGAAAAAAAAACAAGTCCTTATATATTACAACCTGCAACGGGGTGAAATGAAACATTTTAGTAATAAGCAGAAACCAGACAGTAGAGAACTAGCACTGGAAAAGATAAGGACCAAAAACCAAAGTTTTCTGCATCTATAAATGGCTGAGAGATGCATATTATTTTAACCTGACAGAGAGTAGCACTAGATCACTGGTGTGTTCATAAATAGCATCAAAAGGAAAAAGCAAAAGTCCCTATGTATTACAGCCTGCAACGGGGGAAATGAAGCATTTTAGCAATAAGCAGAGACAAGAGAGTAGATAAATAAAACCGGAAAAGATAAATGCCAAAAACCATGACTTTCTGCTTCTACAAACGAATGAGAGATCGAGAACATTTCTACCTGACAAAGAGAGTAGCACTAGATCAGGAAATCGCTGATGTTGACACCGGTGTGTTCATAAATAGCATCACAACGCAAAAGCAAGAGTGCCTATATATTACAACCTGCAACGGGGGAAATGAAACATTTTAGTAATAAGCAGAGACAAGACAGTAGAGAAGTAGCACGTGAAAAATAAAAGCCAAAAACCTTGGTTTTCTGCATCTACAAACGACTGAGAGCACCAGATCAGGAAATCGCTGACTTCGAATAGCGCAAGAATGCCTATATATTATGACCTGCAACGGGGGAAATGAAACATTTTAGTAATAAGCTGAGACAAGACAGTAGAGAAATAGCACCTGAGAAGACTAAATTATCTTTTTTTTCCCCCTCTTGTGATTGACAAGTTTTTTTAATATGTAGTTTAAATATGTTTTGTAAAAAAATTATTTAAAAAGAAAATAGAACTCTTAACAATAAACCAACCACCAATGGAGGGGTTATGCTTTTGTTGTTTAGTTTCTATAGTTTTAAATTTAAAATCTAATTTAATTGTAAATTTTGGAGTTATCAACAACTAATAATTCTAAAAGTAAATGCATAAATGGTATATAAAAATTTCAGTGCATAACAATAAAAATAAATATGACAAAAAATAAGGAATTATAAATAATCGAATTGATTTTAATTTTAACTAAAGAATTTTTCCTTTTTATGGGTATTAGAGAGAAGCTAACTCAAATATGAAGAAAAGTTTGTAATGAAAATAATTCATCTCAAGGGTAACCCAAAACAAAAGCAAAATTAACACTTGGAATTGAAATCTGCATTCAAAATGATGGCAGACTTGTAACTAAGTAGTGATTGATATTCAGATTACGTGGACATTGAGAGACTAGCGGAGCATCTGATCCCGTGCTATGCTAAGGAGTAACAGGTATTCAAATGAAGATATTCAGACTATTGACAAGATCATTCGTGGACGAAGACATCCGAAGAGTTATCTCCTGGGGAGGAGATAACTGTTCGTTTATTGTTCATGACTATATCCAGTTTCACCACCTTCTGTTTAAGTTGTACGGATAGATGAAAACTGTTTGGCTGAAGTCGTTCCATGACTACGTAAGTTCTCAATTAAGCAGCTTTTTAATTCTTTACAAAAAAAAGTTTCTTAAATATATTATTCATCCATCAGGGGTTTTACCGAGGAGCAGAAGAATATTTTTAGGCACCGACAAGGTCTATTTCATAGGGAGCGACCGGAGTTGATTTCAAAGATGTGGTCCAATGGTCAGCCAGGGAAAAATAAGGAGAAGGCTTAGAGATCAAGTTGTTTCAGTTTCAGTATTTGATTGAAGTATGTAGGTTGTTTCAGTTTCTAGTATAAAATTGTTGTTTATAATCAGTTTGGGAGGGATGCTAAGCCTTCTTCCTCTCAAACTGATTACAAAACAAGAGTTTTATACTCGAAACTGAAACAACCTATATATGTCAATCAAATACTGAAACTGAAATAACCCGATCTCTAAGCCTTATCCCTCTTCTTCCCTGGTTGACCACTAGATCAATCTCTGAAATCAACTATAGTCGCTCCCTATGAAATAGACCTTGTCGATGCCTAAAACCCCTGATGGACGAATAATATATTTAAGAAACTTTTTTTTGTAAAGAATTAAAAAGCTGCTTAATTGAGAACTTACGTAGTAATGAAACGACTTCAGCCAAGTAGTTTTCATCTATCCATACAACTTAAACAGAAGGCGGTGTAACTAGATATAGTCATGAACAATAAACGAAGAGTTATCTCCTTTCCAAGAGATAACTCTTCAGATGTCTTCGTGCATGGATGATCTTGTCAGTAGGATAAATATCTTCATCAGAATACCTGTTACTCCTTTCCGTACAGCGTAGCATGCTCCCAAATTTTCTGTCAGCTTCCACGCACGGTAAGCATCTGAAGCGAAGAAGTCTTTGAAAACAATCCTGGTTTGGCCTTCAACGCCTCCGCCTTGATAACCTACAAGGATATATATATATATATATTAGAACACAAGAACAGAAAATCAAACAAAAAAACTCAAAATCTTTTAACGTTTGAGACACGAAAATACACTTAACGTGAAAGAAGATTCTGTGAATTTGCTTGAGTGCTTAGAGAATCGTTGCGAGAGCACCCTCAGATTCGGTTTCATCGCTCCCAAATCTAGGCTGGTACTTTTCAACCAACAGTAAATTTGCCGAGTGCTTTGTTCATCCCTACAACACATAAACCTTCAAACACAGATTCAAAAGATTTCTCTGTTAAACAATAATCAACGGGTAAAAAAGTACTTACATTTCCTGTATCGTTGAGGATCAGGACTGCACTATCTTGTCCAACACCCAGACCGTGTTCTTCAGTACCATCATTATGTGATATCACTCTATCCCAGAGTACTCTTTCCTCGGATCAGGCAGTTTCGCCATTTCTAGCGCAAAGGCTCGTTCACCAGTTGTATACAATTACATCTCATACATTTCATTGGCGTCCTTCAAGAATGTCTTCACAAAGGGCCTTAACTTGGTCATCATATTCATAACGTCCACTTTGAATACACCTACAAGTATCATAAGCAAAGTTAGATGATGTAAGTAATTGGGCAAAAACATTACAGCATGCACAGGCATGAACACGTGATAAAGACATTCAAAGAATTACATCAACTAAATCTAGTCAACCTAGTTTTATGTCAGAAACATGCTACTGAAACTAATGCAACAACTTTGCAACTGTTAAAAGTAGAGAGCCTCCCTCTAATCTGCAAAATTCCAACAGGACAACATATTGATCCGTAAGGCAGGCAATACTCTTCTATACTACATACTTTAACCATGTATAACTGGAGAGGACAAACAACAACTCACTAAGAAAAATGTATACACTACAACTGAAACACTAGATATCTTACAAAAGCATAAATACATAGAAGGGAAAACATTACAAACCTTGCACAACATCAGTTTGGCTCTGCAAGTAGTCCTCTCCAGCTGTCATCTGATTCAGATCGGTGGAATAAAGCAGTGTGTGATCTAGATCCACGATCAAGTAAAGCTTATTACAGTGCAACAATTTCTTAATGCCTTATTTGTTTACCCTCTCAATTTCCTCATTTTTAAGCATTAATCCCTGCAATAGATTAGGAAGTCATTACTTATATTACTAGAAAATGGATGCATGAAACGATTAAGTAAGGTATCAACAAATCATGAAATACAAGTCACATAAACTAATAGTATAAAGTAACTCATCTTTGTACCCAAACAACTTGCCATTTACGGGAAGCCCACACACAATACACATATCTTCAAAGGAACCGGGATGAGTACACTTCGAGGATACTTCTGCACATATTAATTAGCATGGTAAAGCCAAACACAACATAGTGGCGGAAAGAAGTATTTTACTAAAACTAACCGAGCCAAAATAGTTACCTGCTTTTTTTTTTCTACAAACAGTGACCAACGAGTTTCCAAAGTCTTTCCAAGATCCTGTACCTTCTTTGTACTGCAAGCAGGGTAATTGATGAGTTGTATATTAAAACCCTTTAACACCTTTCTTAATAATCTACCGACACAAACACACAAGATAGCAACAAAATGACAATGAAAGAAGGAAGAACAAGTACCTTTTAGTATCATCTCTTGGCTCCGAAGAACCATCCAGGTCTCTCTCAAGTCTCAAGAAACCGGGCAAATTCTGACTCCGAAGAGGACTGTGGCGAATCACTCATCTAAAATTATTCAGTTGTGATTTATGAATACCCATATACAAATAAAATCATAGAAAATTCTTAAAAAATTTGAAAAGAAAAAGGAGTCTCACATAAAAAAATTAGTACAAACGCAAACGTTTAGAGCAGCTCCACCCCATTGGGGTAGGCCGGCTCAAAGCACACAAAATAGGCCAGCCTTCCAAATTTTTTGCTCCAGCCCAGCCCAATAGGCTGGCATCCAATTCAAGCCAATCTCTTTGAAGAAAACATTGTAATAACTCAAAATTTATAAATGATGAAGAAGGAATCTGAGCTAAAAAAGAAGGATTCAGTTTGGTCTATGAATGAGGATGGATGTAGGGTTTATATAGACAAAAAAACAAAAGATAAGGTTCTGGACAATGTCACGTGGCACTACATGATTGGTTGAAAATTTGATTGAAATCTTGGGTAAATTATTGTAAACATATAGTGATACGTGGCGCATTGAGATTGATTGAAAATCTTATCAGAAATCTATCCGTAAAATAGTACATTCAAATAATGACACGTAACGTAACAACATTGGTTGAAAATCTGATCGAAATCTTGACTAAATTATTGTAAATTGATAGTGACACATGCCACATCAAGATTGGTTGAAAATCTTATCGGACATCTATCCATAAAATAGTACCTTCGGATAATGACACATGCCATAACAAGATTAGTTAAAAATCTTATCCCAAAATAAAACAAATTTTTTTATTTATTATTTTACAAAAAAAATTAAATAAATAATATATTAAATGGAATAAATGCCAACACATTTTGTAAGGATGGACATGCATTTGGTCAATTACTGTTCATTGAATATATCACTGTTCGCTGAGTAAATTAAATATGCTAGATACCAGCGTATTTTTTAGAAGTGGAATTGTTCTTACCGCGAATTCAGAGGGAAGAGATTGCAGCGATTATGCGACAATGTTGAATGATGCCTTTTAGGGTTGCAGCGTGGGAAAATCTCTCTTGAAATTTTTGAAAATTGGGGATGAGTTAGGGAGAATTTTGTCTGAGTACCCGGTACCCCAGGCAGTTGATGTACCCCACAAAAGGCCACATGACACGTAACCCTTATTTACCACCCAACCGTCTTTCAGAAAATAAATTAAATAAAAACAAAAAGGAAAGTTAATAAGAAAACTGACCAAGATTCTCGTCCCGGAGTCCCCGATCTCCGCCCCAGCCTCACCCATCTGACATCTTTACACCATCGTTATAGCTTCCCCAACCTTCCTCCCCCTCCGATTCCTCACAGCTCCCCACGACAACCATCGCCGCTCGGGGTGCGGCCCAACCATGTCCTCGTGCCTTTATTGTGCGCACCTTTCTCCTGGTGCTCAAGAACTGGCGACTCTACTTCCGTCGCGAACGCCCTGCAGGCCATAGAAAGACCTGGCCAACTCGACCTGGGAACCGGCAATCTGCACGGCTTAACGGAACATAGATTTTTTTTAAAGGAAAATCAAAGAAACCAAAAATTAAGGGAGAAAAATAGCATATTTGGGGCAAATTCATATCATGATGATGAAGCAGCATGAAAAAATGAAGATGATGGTGCCAAATCTTTAGTTGGGTGATAAAGGCTGTAGCTTCGGTGCAGGTTCATGGTGACATTTCAGTCAGAGCTCTGCTGTGTTGCAGACCAAGACGACCGGGAAGAGGGAAGAGAGAAAAAAGGGGGGCGCCGGTGCAATAATATTAAAATTTAAAAAAAAATTTAATTCTTTAATTGTGCGTCCTGGATTAAATCCAAAAAAATCCAAAAAAATTATAAAAATTTACAATTGTTTTGTCAACACGCTTAACACGCTTAATAAATTTACAACGTTGAATCATCTTTTAATTTGACTTCAAATTTTTTTTTTTTTTTAACACATGATATTATCTAGGAATTTTGATTTTAATTTTGATTTGTTGTGATAAAAGATTAAATAGTTTTTTCATTATTTTTTTTTATTGATAAAGAGAATTTTATTAATGTGTAGTTTAGATTATGCTTGTTTGTAATGTTATTCTTCACTTTGTATTTAAAATGAAATTATCAAAGTTAAATATAGAGTTTTATTTTCAAAGAACAAACTTACTAAGTACACACCTACAAGATATAAAACATGAAAAATATATATTTTTCATTAATAATCGCGCTTTTACTCTTGCCCCTTCCTCTTCTTAAATGGGTGAACAGTAAGAGAAATTTCATTGGCCCTTGCTGACGCGGCACAAAGCTAGTAAGAGTTACTAGCATAACTCCTCATAGAACCAAAGTTACTGGAATCCACCAGTTTGATAGAAATTCTAAAGATTAATGTTGATTAATTTGCTGAAGGATTAAAAACAAAGGATAATAATCATGGCTTAAATAAGCCATTTACAACCTCTTTGGACAACTAAAAAGACTTAGGAAATTAAAACAAAAATAAATCATATTAATCGGACAAAAATCAAAAGGTCTACAATTTAATACCAACTTTAAATACTCATTTTTTCCTTTACTTTTCCTTGTAGAAATTCACTCAAATCTTGTCCTCCATCACTTGCCCTTGCCCACCTAAAATGGGGGGACTTGCTCTTAGGTGTGGAAGGTGTGCCATAGAGACATATGGTCATACACTCGTACACTATATTTTTGTCATTTATTTCAATTCGACCAATCTTATGTCCATTTTCATACATCAGAACCATTTTTTATTTGTTAGTTCTTATAATTTTTTTTATCAAAATTTACACTGATCATACTTTCAAGGATTACTTATCTGAACATTTTTACACACAAGTCGTTACCACACCAACCACAACAACAATGACAAAAGACACGAGTAGTCGGCGAACAACAAACTTTTTATTTGTTTTCTCTTTATGTTTGTAAGAACTACAAAGTAATTTTTTTTTTTTTTTAAGTTGAGCAATAGCATTAGTAGCTAGGTTAGAAGTTAATTGTTAGGTGAAAGGGAAATCGATGGAGATCGAACCTGCACCAAAGTACATGAACTTGAATGCTTTCCAACACTGTAATAAAAAAGTCATTTGCCAACAACAAAGTAAATTAAGTAAAATAGTTATTGATCACAAAAACAAAAACTAATAAAAGATATCTAGCTGTTTACAGCAAATGATAAAAAAATAATGACATTAAAAAAACTAGAGCAAGAACCCGAGATATGGTACGTAACATCCCTAGCGTCTAGAATTATTTCCTTTTGTTTGGTAATATCCACATGCCCTTGTCTTAGACTCCTCAATTGTTGCCATGTTTCATGAGCTCCTCCTCCTCCTGCAGCAACATCCCCATTGCTCCCACCGCTCGACGAAACCACCATTTCTTCACAAACACCAAACTCGCTCATCAGACCCATCGTCTCAAAATTCTCAACTGGTTCTGAAAATTCCATCTTTATCCAAGCCTCTAGGGTTTTGCCCTTTCGATTGTTTTGCACTTTGCCAAGATAGAGACCATACTTGTTCCTCAAGATAAGAAAACCTAATTCAGCATGGAATCAACAAAGATTACTATAGAGACTCGGTCTGACCTGAGCGGCAATTAATTACACTTCTAAGAGCAATATCTCCGAATTATATGCAAGCATGCACAAAATATCACAAAACTTGTCAGCTAAAAACCATTAAGAGTACATTAACCCATTTCAGTCTAACATCCTGTAAGTTCAAAGTGACCGTGAGCAAAGCTAGACACAGAAGATATCCCGCCCTTTTATTCATCAGTCCTGGATACAAACATGACACAAACATTCATCTCTTTATTTTAATTACTAAAAACATGATACAAACATTCATCTCTTTATTTTACCAAATCAGGTTGAGAGGTTTGGCCTGGGCTCGCCACGTTGTGGTAGTTGATGGACTGGTGTCGGCCACCACGGATGCACAAATGGAAAGAGGTGCAAACAACATATTGTCCGATTTGTAGACACCTTTGACATCTCTCTTGTACGAGTATTGCACCTGATAACGTCTTGCTTGTTCCAGTCTCTGGTATTATCTATAACCAGATACACCAAGTCCTCGTTATTCTGGTCGAAAACCACCGCTCTAATATGATTTATATTTGGACTAATCACAACCATTTCTTCATCCCCCAAGTATACGCTCTTATAAGGTTTCACACACAAACTGCCTGCTCCCCCGTGGATCATGACCGTCTGATCACCTTCCTTTGCTTCATTCACCTCCCAAATAGACAGAGTGCGAGTAGGAGATTAGTACACGCACATCCGCGGGCGCTCATCAAGCGTAACTAGGCAATCCATTAAACCGGAATCCCACTCGCCACACTCACTGAAAAAGCATTTATAATGAGTTCTAGATAAACTAGTATTATCACTGTTGTCGATCATGAACGGATCAAACCCAATAAGAACCTCTCCTCCACCGCCCAGCCAATACATCATTCTGTTGGAAGCAACGCCAATGCTCTCTCTACACAGGTCTCCTACTGCGAAGGCGGATGGGGATGACAAAACGAACTCCCTCCATTCACCGGTCTCCGAAAAGAAGATCTGCGCTTTGATTTCGCAGGAAACTACATCATCATCATTATCATCATCAACACTAGGATCAATTAATCTAACAACCCTGTACTTATATTCCGCATTAAGCTGGATGATGTCCCCTTGCTGATCATCTTTCCTATAGTTATAGTAGGGAAGATCGCAGGTGAACCCCACGGTTACATACTCGTAGACTTGAGGTGGGGGAGGAAGAGGAACCCACTGGACTGTGTGTGGATTGCAGATGTAGTAATCGCGCTGACTGTACTCACTTGCACAGCACAAAACTAAGTCGTTGTAGGCACCTACCACAATTGGCTCTTGTTTCAAACCGTGGATACTCACAAGCCTTCTGAACAACTGAGCTAGGGGCCTAGAGGATGGCGAAACTCTATTAAGGAATTCCTCCCCTTTTATGCTTATGGCAGTACCTATTGGCTTTTTCTTACGATTCCTTTGAACGCATAGGAAAAGGCGGATAAAATGAGGATCTGACAGGAGAGTGCACCAACGCTTGGAAACCAGCTTGCATTGCGAAACGGACTTAAAACAAGGAAGTCTACAAAGGATTTCAACTAATAAAGACTCTGGAAGATCATCAATATTTCTTGATGATGGCCTGGTTGCTGTTGGTGTTGAGAATATTTTTTGTCTTTTAGGGTGATGAATATGATCATCAGAGGCCGAGGCCGGTGGAGGTGGTGCTGCTGCTGGAGATGACTGGGTTATTGTACTGCTGCGGGGTCTTTTCCTAGCTATAATAGTATGATCAGGGCCTAGACCTCTCATGGCGACCGGCATGAATCTAATCAGATGAAAGAAAGAAGAATTGAACTGAAGTGGGAGAGAAATACAAGCAAGGCTAGCCACAATTGAATCACAGGAATGACATGTAATTTTATAGCCACTCAACGCACTATCTATATTCCTTAACCTCCTACCAATAGGAATAGAATAAGTAATAATCCTAATCTTACAAGGATTAGGAATCCTAACCCTAATGAAAATATATTAGGAACAGAAACGGGGAAATAAATAAGGGGTATTTGATAGTACATACTAACTGCTTAGTTCCGCTCGTTGCATTGCATTCCCGGAAACCGATCGTGCTCAAAAATATTTTATAAGAACAAAAATATCTTATAAGGACATGCGGCACGATGCTGATGTGAGTGGTTAAATTTTTTTATTGAAAATATGAATATGGATTTTTAATAAATAATGACACGTGACTTGATATATGTATGTTTTTTTACAGAACGTGATATTATCAGAATGTTTTTTGTAATTACTATTTTGAAACTTCATAACTTATTTTGAAAATAACTTTAAATCTAATGGGTGTAAAATTTATCCTTAATTAGCCCCACTCTTAAAATTTGTGTTTTTGGAATGGTTTGTTTTATTTTAGGTGAAGTATCTTTGTGCATGGTGTACTTCATTCACATTGCAAGTAGATTGGGTTTTAGAAATATGTTTTCCAAAATTTCGTGGGCGTAACTAATTATTCAGAAAATCAATAACAAAAAACGCAAACAAAATCAATCATAAGCTAAAATTTCATTATTTACAAAAATACATTAAATAAAAATATACAAATCAGTTGTGTCACCATCATCTTGACCCAATAAGTCCGTTGACTTTTTTAAGATAGTGACCATACTTATTCCTAAGATAAGAAAACCTGATTCAGTATGGAATCAACAAAGAGTACTATAGAGATTCTTACAATCTAAGGGTTTGACCTGAGCGGCAATTAATTACACTTCTAACAGCAATATATATCTGCGAATTATATGCAAGCATGCACAAAATATCACAAAACTTATCACCTAAAAACCATTAAGAGTACATTAATCCATTTCAGTCTAACATCCTGTAAGTTCAAAAGGACGGATGTATGTTTAGTAATCAGAACGTAATTAATCATATTCCCTGCAAAAACTCAAACAACAAATTCTGAGGCATTGGAGGGTGAACCATAACACCTGCGAGGCTAATGGGCCACCTCGTTGCAGATCTCCACGCCGAAAAGCCTGAAACGTTTCTTTTCATCAGCAAGGATTCCTTCAGCTTCATTCATATTTTGGCTCACAGGTTCAAGTTTACAGTTATCATACTGGTAATTTTTAGCATCATTCTCAACCAAGCAGCTAACATCTTCGCTTTCGACGCCATCCCAGTTAACTTTAACCATGTAAAATGTTTGAGGCTCCTTGTTGCCATTGTCCCCCAGTTGCTTGTACTGGCATTGGAAGAATGTAAGAATGTCTTTTGCCTTCAAATGGTGCGTCTTTACGAACCGACTCCAACCCTTGGTGAACACAAAACTCCTGCTGCTCTTCCAATAACAGTACCGGAAAGTCCACGACCTCATCATATTATCATAAAACACTAGCTGGCTGGAGCAACTCTCGACCTTCTGACTTGTGGCTTCAGACATGCTGGGAAAGCACCGTTTGGCATTGCTAACCGGTATCACAAATCTATTCAGCTTACCAACATCACTTGGTGTCAGCTCTTTTTGGAAAAGAAGTCGGTTCAACATCTTTCCATTTCCGTTGTTATGCACCCTAGCCAAGCTGCCAAATTGGATATCACTCCTCAAACTCTCCCTTGCAGCGCGACTCTTTCGATATTCTAAGAACTCGGCCTGGTAGGAACCATCCTTGATCATTCTCAACACAGCTTCTTTAGAGTACTGATTTTGAAAGTGTGGTTCTTCAAAGGTGAATTTGGTCCATGGAAAGTTGCGATGGCAATCACAACCACGAAGCTTGATTGCAGCGCTATCATAAGCCATAGCTGCTTCGTTCTCAGAGCTGAACGTGCCAAGCCAAACCCTTTCGTGATTGGCATATATCTGGGCACCCCAATGCCCATTTGGCTGCTCAACAACTCCCTTGAACCTTTTCGATACACGCCTACTAGCACCATCTGCTGAGTCATTCGTCGCAAGGCTTTGACCGCAAACTTCTCCAGTCTTACATTTCACTCCTTTGTTTGAGACCGTGCTTGACATGTCCTCTTCCATAACGCTTCTGCAGTAATAACTAATAGGAAATTTTAAAACAGAAGGCAAAAAATGTATGAACGAATTATTAATGTTAATAATTAATTAGCACAATTTTATGTTCACTAATTAGCTCACATTGAGGGTCTTTGTGATAAGATAAGACTCCAGAATTGAATGGACTGTATAAAAGTATTGGTAGAAGAGTAAACAGATAAAAAAAATTTGAAAAAATTAAAGCCTTTCTCTTTTTTCTTTTGGATTGAAAAAGATCATATATTGATTGAGCATCCAAAACAGACAATCGCATCTTGAAAATTTCATATTAAATAGCTTACTTTAAAAAAAGAAAAACAGTGACACAAAAACTTAAATTATGAAAACTAGTTTTGATTAGGAAGAAGTACATAATAGTAAAAAGCTATAGTAATTGTTCCTTCTTAACAAGTCAACCCAAAAAAGGAGAATTCTCGTGGCACTCATCACTTGTTAACACCAATTTACATCAAGGACTCGAAAATTATCTATAGTTACTACTTTCACACCAAAAGAAGAAAAAAAATCTCATAGCACACGTCATTTATTAACACGTAAACAATTTATGAAATCTTCTTCAACGACTCAAATTTAGTATCAAATCAATTTCTCGTAAATAAAATCCAAGTCCAGAAAAAAAAAAAAAAAAAAAAAAAAAAGATAGAATCTTTGGCAAGCGTCGCTTATTAACACGTAAAAAATTTACGTTAAGGATTCGAAAAGTATCTGTAAGTACTGCACCTTCATAACAATTCAAAAAAATAAAAGAGAGAGAATCTCATAACATGCGTCGCTTATTAGCACGTAAACAATTTACGAAATCTTCTTCAATGACTCAAATTCATTATCAAAATCAATTTCTCATAAATAAAATTCAAGTTCTTTATCATCAACTAGTAATTACCAGGGCAGTTTCGCAAATGAAAACCATTAGTGAAAGAAACAATTAAATAAAACTACATGAAGTGAAATCTTTTAAGTAGATAACGACTGTTACCTCGACGAGTAACCCGCTGCAAATAAATGGAAGCAGCAAAACTGTTGCTCCTCCTGAAGCTAAAACAAGTTCCTCTCAGAGAAACAAAACAAAAACCAACAACATATATAGAAGAACATCAAAAACTCTATTTGGGCCAGCCTAGATAAAGCTAACACAAACCCTAGCTGTTTAATACATTCATTCACCTTGGAAACACAGAAAAAATCTTACCCAAAAAAGGGCAGTAAATCAGAATCCAGGAAAATCTGGCAGTTGTAAAAGGTAATTGATGGCACCAGAAAAAGTTTATAAATTTCTGTCCATATTTGGCACTGCGCTGTGACCCACAAGGGCTTACGTTTCCTCTTTCCACCTCCAAATTTCACAACAAAACCCGGATTTGAGTTGAAACCGGAAAATTTGGCTGTCATCATCAATGCACCCAAACAAAAGAAAATCCAATCAGCAAGTTCAAATCGTTACGAATATGAAAGAAATTGGGTAATGTTAGGGTGATTAAATTTGAAGACAAAGTTTTGAAAACTAAAGAAAATGAAAATTGACGATTGGTTTATTACTTAAACATTGGTAAACGTGCTTATTTCTATTGGGGACACATCATTTAATTTGCAAATTAAATCTCTAGATTTAGTCTCCCTATCATTACTCGAAATAAATTAATTAGGTTAATGTTAAGGAGACTAAGTTTATAAACTAAATTTGCAAACTAAATGATGTGTCACTAATTGTAATGAGCACGTTTATCAGCGCTTAAGTAATAAATCAATCATCAACTTCCATGTCCTTTAGTCTTCAAAATTTAGTTTTCAAATTTTGTTTCTCTAGCATTACCCCGTTAATTATTGTCTAGGTTTTGAAGAAAATAATGCTTTCTGACAGGGACGGATCTACAGAGGGTCCTGGGAGGTCCCAGGACCCCTCAACCATCCTAAAATGTTGCTAGAAATTTTCCGAAGGACCCCTCGTACTCGAACACGAGGCCTGTGCTGCTGTGCAGACTGTCTGTGTTGCTGCAGCAGCAGGTTGCAGGTTGCAACGGAGAAGAAGAAAACAGGGGAGAAGAAAAAAAACAGGGCATTAAAAAAATTGGTCCAAAACGCAGTGTTTTGGCCTATTTTTTTTTTTTTTTTTTTTATTAAACCAATGAAATCAACATTTGCAATTGGTCCACCGTTTGCAACATGATTACATATTTTTTTTGAAAGTCTAGCCCCACATGGGCCATCTTTCCTGTCGTCCCTTTCACTTCTCCTTTCCCCGTTCCTTCCACTGCTTTTCCCCCTAATCCCCCCATCTTTCTTATATTCACCCAAAACCCTAAATTTCTAATCCCACCCAATCCCATATTATAATTACATTACTCCAATATTATACCTCCACTTGTTTCAATTCTCCAAGCCACCACTATTTGGTTCCAAATTCAAGTAAGTTTTTTGGTATTCTAATCTAATCTCAATTAAATTATATTAGATATTGGTGGAGATTTTTAGTCTATTATTGATATGATTGTTGATGTGTTTTATGTTTGTATACTCATTTTATAATTGAAATTTAGATGGAATTTTTGTTTATTGGTTGATTGGTATATGTTTTGTGTTTTTGGTTAAATGTGTAGTTTAGAAATAAGAAATATGGAAAGATTTTTCAAGCCAAAGCCAATAGCACCATCTACTTGTTCGGGTAGTTCAAGCTCAAGACAAAATGAGTGTGACATTGATTTTAATAATCTTGAGAGAGACCCGGGAAAAAGAATTCGAATGAAGGACTATCCTTCTAATATTCAAGATGAGGTCCGCAGAGCATATTTGCAAATGGGACCTTGTAGGCCTACAAAGTATGAGTTCCCATACACTTTGCATGCAAAGAAAAAGCGACGATTTGTTGTTTCGTGGTTTGAAGAATATGATTGGTTGGAGTATAGTATATCTAAAGATGCGGCATTTTGTCTTCATTGCTATCTCTTTAAAATCAACTTTTCACAATTAGGAAGCGATGCCTTCACTGGGGTAGGCTTTAAGAAATGGAAGAATGCAAGAGAATGTTTTGACAAACATGTTAGTCATATTGGTAGTTTCCACAATAAAGCTAGAGAAGCGGCTAGTTATCTAATGAACCAAAAGACACATATTGAAGCAGTTGTGATCAAACAATCAGAAGAAGGGTGTATGAAATATCGTCTTTGCTTGAATGCATCAATAGATTGCACTAAGTTCTTGTTGCGACAAGGCCTTCCTTTTCGTGGCCGTGATGAAAGTGACACTTCGAATAATAGGGGGAATTATTTAGAGCTCTTGCAATTCCTTGCAGATCATGATGAGAAAATAAAGGAAGTTGTGTTGGAAAATGCTCCGGGAAATCTCAAGCTAATAGCTCCTTCAATTCAAAAAGATATTGTCAATTCATGTGCCTTCGAAACTATTAAGGCTATTATGAAAGAAGTGAAAGAGAGTAAATTTTTTTTCTATAATGGTAGATGAATCACGTGATATTTCAACAAATGAGCAAATGGCGGTGATTTTGCGTTATGTGGACAACAAAGGTCAAGTAATTGAAAGGTTCATGGGATTCCAACATGTTACCGAAACAACTTCAAGTAAACTAAAGGAGTTCATTGATGAGTTCTTGAAACTACATGACTTGAGCTACTCCAACTTACGAGGTCAAGGTTATGATGGTGCGAGTAATATGAGAGGTGAGTTTAATGGCCTTAAAAAAAAAATTTAGATGAAGAAAGTTGTGCATTTTATGTTCATTGTTTTGCTCATCAACTACAATTAGCTCTTGTTGCCATAGCAAAGAAAAACTCCGATGTTGCCGCTTTTTTCACATTGACTAATAGTTTGGTAAATGTTGTTGGATGCTCATGTAAGCGTCGTGATGCACTTAGAGAAAAACAACAAGAAAATCTCTTGAAAGCTATTGAAAATGATTGTCTTGAAACGGGGCAAGGGTTAAATCAAGAAACTAGTCTCAAACGTGCTGGGGATACACGGTGGAATTCACATTATGGTGCTTTGATTAGTTTGATTACAATGTTCTCATCTGTGGTGGATGTGCTTGACATGATTGTTAAAGATTGCTACAATGATAGTGTTGGTGAAGCAAAAAGGTTATTAAAAGATTTACAATCTTTTGAGTTTGTGTTCCTCCTCTTTTTGATGAAATCCATATTAGGAGTTACAAACGATTTGTCACAAGCATTGCAAAAAAAAGATCAAGAGATTGTGAATGCAATGGCTTTAGTCAAGACATGTAAAGAACAACTACGTTGCATGAGGAATGATGAAAATTTTGATATTTTGGTTGATAAAGTATCATCTTTTTGCGTTGAACATGAAATTGAGGTGCCTAATATGGATGATTTATATGTCATTCAAGGGAAGTCATTGCGTAAGGCTCCAAGAAAGACCAATTGCTTTTTCGAGGTCATTGATTTCCAACTTACAGAATTAGATGATCGCTTCGCTGAAGGTAATACCGAATTGCTTATTTGCTTGGCATGCTTGAATCCGAATGATTCATTTGTAGCTTTTGATAAAGAGAAGCTTGTTCGCCTTGCTCATATGTATCCTAAAGATTTCACGGATCGAGATAGATCGGCACTTCAAGATCAACTTGATATTTACATTCATTTTGTGCGTTCTGATAATGATTTTTCTCAATTGCGGGGAATTAATGAGCTTGCTAAGAAAATGGTGGAGAAAGGGTTGCATCGAACATTTGCATATGTATATTTGCTTGTTCAGTTGGCTTTGGTTTTACCGGTTGCAACTGCTTCAGTGGAAAGGGCATTTTCCGCTATGAATATCATTAAGGGTCCACTTCGCAACAAAATGGGAGATCAATGGTTGAGTGACAGCTTAGTTGTTTACATTGAGAAAGATGTTTTTCATGTATTGGTAATGAAGCTATCATGGAACATTTTCAGACCATGAAACCTCGTCGTGGACGCTTGAATTAGGATTTTATAGCTTGTAATATTGTTATGCAAATGATTTTTGAATAAAATGTATTATATTTAACTTTTCAATGTTATTTTTGTCTATAAATTTTTTAACCTTTATTATTGGGATCCCCGAGTTTAAAATCCTAGATCCGTCACTGCTTTCTGATGGTGTGGCAGACATGGCCAAGCAATTGGCTAAAAGGGTGTGCTCCTTTTTTTAGAGTGTCTGGAACATGGGCCGTTACGCCATTATACAAGTATCATTTCACTTTTATAATGACATATAGCATATATGCCCGTATTTCGGACATATTGAAAAATCTCTCGTTTGCATGGTATGTATGGTATATATTATTTAATTAATTATTGTGATACATATATTTATGGTATGTATGTATCAAACTATCTGGGCATTAATTTGTTTCTTTTTGTATCGTAATCCTTCTGTCATATCCTTTTTGTATGGTAATCCTTCTTCTGTCATGTCCCAAAGAGGAGAAAAGGGAATGTCGGAGGGTCTGCCTGGGAAAATGAAAAAAAAAATAAAAAACAATTGCTTGAAAAAAATAGAGATATATATAGGGGACAAATAAATAAATAAAATGCAATGGTTATTTTCTTGGAAGAATGAAAGAAAGAAATAAGAGTGCACCTGGAAATTGGAAGCTGATGAGATTGTAGCTATGTAGGCGGAAGAGAGAGAGAGAGAGAGAGAGAGAGAGAGAGAGAGTGCGAGGAGGAACACAGAAAGGATGGAAATCGAGGGCAGCGTAGGTGGGCGGTGGGCGGTGGGCGGCTGACAGAAAGAGAACTGAGCACGCAGCACCATTCAACTCACTGCGTACTAGTCCAGTCTACTACTCTCCCTTATCCATTCAACTCACTTCATACAGCAGCTTATATTTTTAATCTTCTGTTTATAGCTGACTACATTGTCTATCTTCTTCCTCAATTAACATACCTACTCCCCACTCTACTCTAGCTAAAGTTTATTTTGTATAGAAGGGATTCGTAGCTCAACTTGTCAAGAGCTTGTACCATCGAATATGAGGTCACAAATAAAATGTTCGCCTTATATAAATTAAGGTGTGTTTTTTTTATATGTAATCAATATAAGAAATTAGATATCCATTTTAGTACTATGTGCTTATCAATTTTATGAGAATCAAAACACAAATAATATATCTGAAATGGGATTTTGAACCTAGAACATCTTTCTAATATTGGAACGAAGAGCACTACTAGACTAAGACCTAGTTGATAACTTTCCGAACAACTAGGATGAAAATAGGTGATATGTACGTAACTGTTGCAAAGAAGTTGTCATCATTTTTTAACACATTGGTGGTTTGGTACTCAAAGAATGTACCAAGCAACAAGATAAACTCAACACATTGGTGGTGTTGGTACTCAAAGAAAGTATAGACTAATATACATCCACTCCATTTGCACTTGTAGTGTGAACAGTGTCCACATATGAACCTATGGCCCTATGGTCTAGAGGCCCATACAATCACAGTCCAATCAAGTCGGTCCACGACCACTGCTGCTTTAACACCCGACCCGGCCCAACGCGGCCCACTCACCCATACGCGCCATCGGATCTTGCGGAGCAGTCCTCTCCGACTCGCAGCAACCGAATCAAAGATTCAGAGCTTTTCTCTCTTCTGCTTTCGAATCAATGGCCAAGGAAGCTTACGCCGCACGAAACCCAGATGAGGTTCACATAGACGTGCTCTCCAATGCCAGACAAGCTTGCTATAAGGTCCTATTTCGCACTCAATCTCTCTGCTCCGTTCTTTCTCTTCTGAAATGTAAATGTCAAGGATTGAAATTTGGGGTTTAATCTGCAACTTGATGTGCTTGAAAGGCTCGGGACGCTTTCTATGCGTGTGTGGAGAAAGAATCGGACAAGAAGCAGACCGAAATCGCATCGAAGGGCCTGTTGTACGCAGCAGAATGCAAAGCTTCGAGGGAGGAGTTTGTCAAACACTGCCGTACTTCTTGGGTAAAATCTGAAATCCCCAATTCTAAAGTTTCAAATTTTACTTCACAATGTGGGATTTTGGGTTTCATGGAGCTCAAAGTTTTTGTTTTTATTTATTGGATTTTTGTTATTTATTTAGTTTTAATCTCTTGAGGGGTTTTGGAAATGGTTTAGGTGAAGCATTTTGATGCGCTCTACTGCAAGAACAAGAGTCTGAAGAGGCTTTTGGATGATAAGGATTCGAGGAGAGGTCCGTTGTCACTTCCACAGCCTTACACTTTCAAGCCTACCACCACTGGTTAAAACTTTTCATGTCAATTTTGGTTGAATAAATCAGTTTAATGTGTTGTTGTACAGCAATAGTAATGTGGGATTAATGCCTAGAGCTTGCTTCTTACGGGTAAAAGATTCGTATGAAGAAAATAAGTATCGGTTTCTGACTCCATTTTCGTGGATCACATGTCAAATGCTTACTGAATACATTTACGTACATCTGCACTTATGTTTTATAACGATACTGCTATGATACTCTGCTTTGTTTCGACTCATACTTTGGCGGGAATGGGTTTAGTTTTACATAAAACTTAGGATACCCATAATTGCAGTGAATGGAACGTTTATCCATTTTGGCAGGGGTATAAAGCTTGACTTGGCCCCTGAAGACTGAAGGAATCATCCTGATCGGTTCCTGGGTTCTTGTTCAATTCATTATCCGGTGGGAGGCGGAGATCTATACTGGTTTTGAGGCTTGCAGAGGGGTGGTACCACTTTTGGAAGTCGTCAGTTTTTGGTGTCCATTTATGTTTGAATAAGAAACATTGGAGAAGAAAGGTGTCTATACCTGCCGAAATGTGCTTTTCGCACAATTTTATTTTGTATTAATTTGAATGCTTACGTAGTTGTAATACTTCCCTGTGGTTCTTAAGTTTGATGTTCTTTACACACCTAAGACATCTAGGCAATCGGAAGAATGAAATAGGTAGCATGTGGTCAATCCCGGTGTTCTGATCGAAGGTAGCCATGGAGAGAATGTAGAGAATTTCAGAGCTTAGTCAATATGAGAAGCTGAGGATTTTCGGAGCCAAAACAGTCAGTAAACTGGTTATGATAAGAAAACTTCAATTTGTTTACAGGTTTATGAGACTTGAAACTGGAGTGGAGATGCTTTGCTTAGTTTCTCAATAGCGAAACTGGATGATGTGATTAGGAATGCAGTAGAAAATCCTTGATACATTCCTTCTGTTTTTCCGGCTTTTTACATGACAGGGTTTAGATCTTGATTTCTCGAGCTAGAGATCATGTGCTTGATGTGATATTTTTTACATCTGCATTTGGAATGACTTTGTGAAACTGCAGATCGTGCTTCTTGCTAGCGACAGTTGATACAAGCATATCGAATTCATTGTTGTAGGTTACTGACATGTTCTTTTTAGCTCTGGAACCACATTTCACAGGTTTGAAGAATCCTGCAAGTTCAGAGAGTTTGCTTGTATTGTTCCCCTCAAATTTGGACACAATTTTGCGAAAAAAATCGCAAAACCAACACGATTAGGTCGTTTAGTAACTTGTTGAATTTGAACTAATCAAAATCAATTGGTTCTGGGATTGAATTGAATTCGGAGCAGTTTTGTTCAGATCGCGATCTGATGAAGGCTGCACTTGCAGATGAGTGCCACCTTTCTTTATATGAAGGAATTTCATCTCAGTTTTTCTCTTTTCTAAGTATAAGAAAAACGTCGGTAAGGTTGCGCAATTAGGAAAGCTCTCATAGTAAGTGGAACCACCAAAAGGTCGGACGTGATTAAAATACATGAGGTTATACGCTTTTGTGAAAAATACTTTACAGATGATGTGGTCGGGTACCCTATAAAATTTTTATAATCTTTGTCCTTTGCCTTGGCTGTCATATCTCTATGCACTGCAATCGCATTTTCTGAATAGAACAATTCAGGAAAAATCGTTTCTGAGTTTTTTAGTCTTGAAAAGGAACCGTTAATCTTAATAAGTGCAAATAAAAATATTGAGAAATTTTTCAATGTACCCAGAACACGCAGCGGTATGTCATAACAATTGTAGTCGTTAGATAAAAATATAACGGTCCACGAACACTGGTCAGGAGGATTCCGACCAGTTGCCTCAGAGAGGATCCAAATCCTTCTTATTAGTTATATTTATGAACTGTATAATCATCCTGAAATCATATTGTGCAATCTCTTTGACTAGCTCAGTAGAGTTATGGGCAAAAATAGATCAATAATAACAAAAACAATGTAATAATACTTATAAACCCTAAACCACAGTGAGGTAGTTCAATTGTTGAAGACGAATTTCAAACTTGTATTTCATGCGGTAAGTTTTGGATTTGATTCTTGACGCTAATGAATCACACAATGGTGGCAGTGAGATGAAATGCTTCTTTGAATTTTTCTTCCGAAAAGATAGATTGTCATGATGAAATCACTATCATTTTTTTAGAAAAAAAAAATTAAATAAACCCTAAAAAAATATTAGGGATTTAGAAATGGAGGGTCAATGGGTGAATGATGGGGTGGTGAAGAATTGACAAAAAGTAGTGGACTACATGTCTCTTAATATTCCCATGTGCATCATTCATGTACGAAATATTGAAAACAGAATGCGAAGAAGAATTTATAAATTGAATATTTTGGGCAGATCTCGGAAGATCAAGCGTGAAAGCTCTTTGATACCAATATCAACCCCCAAATCAATCAGCCGGCTGTGGGCATGCATCTCTGTCGCTCTCGGTCTCGTCATATTAATAAAAATAAATAAATAAAGGATAGAAGATGAAAACGAGAGTATGAAAATTACTATTCTTTTTAAAGAGTTTGATGTGAGAGCAATGAGTCCTTACAGCTCAAGAGATTCTTACGTTTGGAGGAAGATTTATAAACTATGACTAGACATGATGAGTGATAGTGAAATGAAGTTATATACTCAATAATTTGTGAATAATGAGATTAGTCATAACTAATTATCGAAGTCATAAAAAATATATGATGTTCTCGTCATACGGGTCAAACTTCATATCACTTCCAACTACATGTAAAAAAACTATACTGAATCAAGACGAATTGATAAAGCCGTATAAAAGAACATGTTATCTGGAACCTCTCCTTTTTTTTAATATTAGTTTTGTTTCATTAGTCATTGTGCTTTCTAACCTAATGATAATTAACAAATAATCAATACAAGTCTTTTGCATTTTGATTTAATTAACATAGGATAATAGAATAAAGAAGTTAAGTAAAGGGTAATATAATATGTGTTTTTTTAATAAGAAGGGGACGTGGCTTCGCCACGATAATCTATTTTTTCGAGAGCTGGGAGGACTCACATAAATATTTTACTCTTTTTCTGGTCACTATCGTATTATTCACTAGTGTCAAATATCAATTTCAAGATGTACCGTGTGAAACATAGGCCTTAAATTCGTCCCAACTAACGTGTGTTGTCCCTTGCCTTTTGTCAACAATGTATACCACCTCAACTCTACGAATCACCCGAACGCAACTCTTTCTAATCACATATGATAACATGATTACGAATCGATTTGGATTTGAACCGTCAAGTAATTATATGTGCTGTTGTTCATTAAGTTTGCTTTGTCTGTTTGTTAAGTTTCTTATGCTCCAAGTACTAGAGAGTTGATATGGAGAAAAACTTTGGTATTATAACCTAATTATATGCGTCGTTAGACTATCCTTATAAAGGAATGAATCTTTTTTGTATTTAAGCACAATTTAGTAAGTAAGAGTACAATTTATCAATGTACATAATTTCACGTGTTGAATGAGTATTTGACCAATCACGTAATTAGACTGTTTTATTAAAACATTACATTTAGATAGTCAAATAGTGTTAAAATCATAAAGAATGATTAGACTCCTATGATAACTTATCATCTACGTTTTGAGTTAAAAATCATCCACGGAAAGAAGGAGAAAATCGTTGACTCAAGAGAAGAGAAGAAAAATTCATGCATGCAAAAGAAGGTAAAATCTGAGCCCAAGTTGTCTAGCAATCATCTTCGCAACGATTGAAGGAGATCAAAATTATTTGACCCACAAATTTTTGTGTATAATGACTATTCAAATTTGAAGGGATTAGAAAGATGGGATGAAACAAGAAGAGTTAGGTACCACTTAAACCTAACATCCAAGAGACTGTTGGATCCTTCCAACTTCCAACAACTAAAAACAAAACTAGAGTTCATAGGTGGGTAAGTTGCACTGATTATTTTTTTATGCCAAATTGTATATATTTTTTATAGACAAATCACAGATTAGTACGTTGCTGTTGAAAATTTCTCTAACATATGAAGGAGCAAACCATAATTTTGGTCATGTTGTCTAATCAATTTTAAGTACGACTAGTGTATTAAGTCAACTTTCACATCAAACGAGAACGTAAAGTCATGTAGAACAAAAATCTCATACTTTTGTAAGACGTATACACATCTCTTGCCAAGCTTTTCTTTAAATTAATTGTCATACACAAGTGTTTAGGCTTACCAAGTGAAGTGTCTTTGTCGTAAAATGGAAGAAAAATATAGCACTCAGTTGACCTAAAATCTAAAAGAACTTTCAACAAACAAAGCCCAAAAAAGAAAAAGTCATCAAAGCTTAGCCTAACTGCTGCCTACTCCTTTTCGATAATATACTCCTCCTTAATAATTCTCTCATCATTATTAAACCCTAATCATTTCATTACCAACCTATAATCATGATTTTCAAGATAAACATGCTCGATAACTTTGAAATATGAAATATCTCGAAACATACCAGAAATTTACAAGTACATTGGAGGAGAATCGAGATCCAGACCTTTGGTTTATGCGAGGTAAGCTAATGTGATGAGTAGTTCATATCTCATAGTTTTTGAACTTCGGACACAAAAATCCTAAGAGCATCTCAATTCATTGCGAACCAAATTACACTAGAAAATAATAATTTTCTTCAGATAAAACAACAAAAGAAAAGATTAAATCAAGGGTAAAAAACAAAGAGACCCCAAAAACATCTTTTTGTTAAAAAGGGGTTTTATAGGGGATCTGGTGGTGTGGTTGAGATAGCTTTTAGCCAAAGTCTACGCAAATACGGCGTCGTTGGAAAAGCACCATCCTTGATGCCTTATTTTCGTAGACTTTGGAAGGCCTTGGAGTCTACGTCACTATGTGTGTAAAGGTCAGTCGACGATCGACGACGGCGTCGTCAGTTAGGGCTTGGAGACGGTGGTGGCGTCCTTGACGGAACCGTCAACCCCACCGTTACCCATGGTGGCTGACTGGACGGTCAGCACGGACATGCTGGGAGAGGAGGGCCCGTCGCCACCGTTGGACGGGACAACTTGGTGGTTGTTGCTGTTGTTGTGGAGGAGGGGGTTCCTGGAGTGACATGTGGCGCTGGAGATGGCGGTGGCCAACGAAATCGGCATGAGGCAGAGGCCTTTTCCCTGGAGGTACTGCATGGCGGAGCCCATGTCTTCCTTCATGAGCTTGGCGACTTGGTGTTCCGTCACCGTCATGCTGTTGTCGTTAGATGAGGAGGCCGTTTGGTTGCCGTTTGAGCTCCGTCCGCGGGTCCCGCCGTTGGCACTGGCTTGGATACAATCACCGCCACCCTACAGCGACGACCAAAAATTAAAATATTAGTTGATTTTTTTCTTAAGGGTGTGAAAAGGAAGGACAAAGGCGAAAGGAGAAAGAGGAATCTGAGAAAGTGGCACGCGTGCTTCTTTTCTTTTGTCGTTTTGTACGAAGGATAATTCGGGGGTTGGCCGGGTACACTGCTGGGTGTAGGGTGGGTGAAAATGTAGAGAGATTTTTCAAAGTGACTTGTATAGGTTGGTACATCACGTGTCTCTATACAAATTATAAGATATGTGTGCTAAAAAGTTAATAACTTAAAAAATAAAATCTTTCACAACTTCTATTAAAATACGTAGTATACCAGTTGTGTTTCCGTCATAATAAAAAATTTCTCAAAAATGTGGTGGTGTTGGTGGGTTTCTGCTTGGCCAAGACACGTATATGGTCCGAGCAGTTTGCAAAATGTTCTAATCCAAGGACATTCGTCAATTTTCATTAATTTTTTGCACGAAATCAACACTCCCATAACACATTGTGAAAATTTGATGGATTTCATACATGAAAGTGTTAAGAGCAACGAATGTCCTCGTCTTGCAATTTGCAAACTACAATATCTCAAATCAATGCAATTGAAAATATAGAAACGAAAATGGCGAAAGACTTAATTCACATAGGTACGCCTCTGTCTACTACATAAGTCAATAACGTAATGTCATATGTTTAAGTTTTCTCATATAACAGTTGTGCGTTATTAGTTTGGAATACATCACATAAGTGTACTTGGTGTAGATAAGTCGAGATTTCAAAAATATATATAATGGTATATTATGGGTGGGTTATTTGAATTGATTTACCTCGGAGGACATATCAGCAACAAGGGGAGCAACAGCACCTGCACCGCCCAACCTGCTCATGCTCAGAACCTACATATTATGGTGTGCCCAAAAAGCACAATGCCAGTCAGTAAACATAACTAATTAACAAATTAATTACTTAATTATCATATCCAGATTCTAATCTAGCAAACAATATCAAGTCAACCACCAGGGAATCTCCTCTTTTTCCTTTAATTAATCAATAATTATACACTTAAGAGCACATAAAATAATAAGTTAACTTAAAAGATGAGAGCAGTACCTTGACTTGGAGCTGGAGGAATTTTACATAATCGATTATCTCATCCAGCATTGAAGCTTTGTCTGTCTGTCATTCCAAAACCCACATCCAATTCATTAAATTATTAGATCCCATCTCATATGGAAAACATATATGTATACATATACACACACATGGCATATAGAAATATACTATACTAGTTTTAAACAACCGATAGCGTGAGTGGTTAAATTGTTAGTTGTTAGGAAAGGAGAAGACTCGTGGGGATCGAATCCAAACCAAAGTACATAAGCATGATTAACTTCCGTCTTTGCAGTGAAGCACCATCTGCACCCTAAACTGGTTTTACACATACTTAAAAGTAGTTACTTGCGACCCAATAAGTATATGGTTAAGCTACAAGAATATAGGCTTCGCCATGACAGTCTTCCGTTTTGAAGGCTGGGAAGGCTCAAAGGGGCATTTCAGCTTTACTTGTTCACCATCATATGATTCATCAGGATCAGAAATCAAACCCAAGACGTGCCGCTTGGAACACAAGCATGGAATTCATCCCAAACCACTGAATCGTCCCACAGCGGTTTTACTTAAATCATTAGATTAATTAGATTAAAAAATTATTAATACTAATATTTTCTTGAGTCAATATTAAATAATACAAGAATGCAAGTCTAACTAACTAGTAAAGTTTCCAATACTCCATTAGTCCATTATTAGCCTAACCAATCGGCATCTGGGTTGTCTGGAGTACCCCTTTTTCTCCTTTCTTTTTGCGCACGGAAGGATTAATTACCATTTTTTTTTTTTTTTTCAAAACAAAACCTCCATACTGAATGGAAGATGAACACCTGTCTACCGGACGAGAAACTTACCTACACTCGCTTTTTAAGCATGACGATATTCTAAGCTAATAACACACTATAGATCTATAATATATTTTTACTTGTTCACCGTATAATTACTTTGATAGACCGACATAGTGATATATTAACGATGTGTTATGCGTTGGATATTTTATACTCAATCTCAATCGTTTATTTTTTTCGTATCACTTAACGCTACTTAGCATTAAAGAAAAATTGCTAACAACGCAAATAATTACATTGTTTAATCTGGATTAAAAGACTGATTGAGAAGTAATTAATTGGTTAATTAATTAATTGAACTAAATTACCTTGTTGGCATTGGGAACGAGCTCCTGCAGAGCCTTCATTCTCTCTGCAATTCTCTCTCTCCGTAACTGCAAGTGCAACCCCATATTAGTCAGAAATCAGAATAACTGACGAAAATAAATAAGGGAATTTTAACGAATAACTATTGATTTTTTCACTTTAATGAAAAATTACATTTTTATATTAAAAAAAGTAAACTTAGTTACTCTTTATTTTAATTTTTACCCTTATCGTGAAAACTCAAAACTTTCAAATCAGTTCCATTAGTTTCCTCGTAAACAAACAGAGAATTGTAGCCGTTTCTGTTTGGTTGCGCAGATAACAACAAAAATACAAAATGGACTGAAACGCACTCTTTCGGCTATGCTGTGTGGGTCAGTGGCTTGACCTCTTCTCGCCCTGACTTTGGGCCTGGGTTGGGCCGGCGCTGCCCCAGCCGAGCCACCCACCGGAGCTTGATTCACCGCCGCCCCTGCACCTCCGTAGTTCTGCGTTTGCAGCTGACCTTCCTGTGCATAATTATCAATCCGAATTAAAACAAATCGTGCTTAATTAAATTAAGAATAATAATTAAATAAAATTAAGAGCATGGGCATGCCTGAGGGTAGTGAAAATTTGGAGACTGAGAATTAGCAGCTCCATGCAGTGATGCACCGAAGCCATTGAACAGGGATTGAACAGGAGAAGCCCCATCGCCGCCCTGTAAAATAACGTATTTACATTTATGCCACTCCATTAGTTCACCATTGTAAATTTACATTTATGCCGTCAGTTACTCCAGACGCAGAGAGATGGAGAGAGATACTCACCACTTGATTGGGGGATTTGAAGGAGGAGCCGTCGCCGACGTCGTTGTTGGAGCGGTCAAAGTCGCCGTTGGTTCCCAAAGACAATCCCGTGGGACCAAAGCCGGAGTCGGCGGCGCCTGATCTGGACATCATGAGCTGGTGCTGGAGCATCATGGCGGCAGCAGCTGCGGCTGATGCGGAGGCGGACTTGTTAGCGCCGGAACCGGCGCTGATCTGCTGGCTGCGAAACTTGGCGGCGAGGGTGGCGGAGTCGTCGTAGGAGAAGACGACATTGTCGGGGTTGGAGGAGAGCGGAGGCGGGGCATCGTCGGCGGCAGAGGCCCAGGAGGGGCCGAGGGTGGAGAGCATTTGCTCGAGGAAGTCATCGTGGGTGGCGGAGTCGAAGTGGGATGCGGAGGGGGTTGGAATTTGATGATGCATCTGGGAGTGAGAGTGTGGTTGTTGTTGGAGGTGGTGGTGGTCTTGGAGGGAGAGTTGGGAAGAGGAGGCTGAGGAGTTCAACAAGGAGTTCATTTCCTGCATTTCTCTACTACAAGGCTGCATACACACACACACACACACAACCAATATATATAGATATACTATATAGACAGGATGACTAGAGATGATTAGGTGGAGATTAATCAAATTTGGGGAGGATTAATTAATTAGATTTGGGGGGTTTAGAGTGGAATTATTGGAGGAGGAGGAAAGGGCGAAAGCGTTTGGGAATGGCGGTTTTTGGTGGAGGGAGGGGGTGAGATAAATTATAAATAGAAAAAAAAAAAATAACGGTGGACGAGTGTGCGTGTGTGTTTTGAGTGGGTGGGGCCCATTCTCACCCGTCAAACGCGTTTAGCATACTCTTTTGGTCAGACACTAGAGTAGGGATACCTGAGAGTACCATATCCACATTAGTACCGTCCTGTATGCGTTTTATGTGTTTTGCTCATGGCAGCATATCTGTCTCATTTTACTTGAATTTGAATTGAGAAATACTAAGGGAATCTCTTAGGAACTGGTTTAAGTTAAGCATCGTGTTCGTCTTTTTTCACTTGAATTTGAACTAAGAAATGTTTAAGTATAATTTTTTAACAGTGAGATTTTCTATATACCCTTTGTCATCTTACAATTTAACTTAAGTTTTCGTACCGACATTATAAAATATTGTGCAAAAAATATGATGTGTCAAAGAGTCAATGGAAAATCCCACTTTTCAATAAATGGTTACCATGGAAAACAACCGAATTGATTAGTTATGTGACCAATACACAATGTGTTTAGAAGTTCATGCGCTATAGAACTTGCCACTAAAAACTAGCTTAAACTGGCTTGTTAGTAAACGGTGCTTAAAAACTCTTGTTTGGTGGGCTGGATGTAGTGAGCCTTAGAGATAGAATTGGATTGAAATGAACTTGTAAGACATGACTTACATAATCCATGTATAATGATTAGATAACCCACTTTATTATAAATCTGTAACCCATCATGTCTAAGTCTCATTCATCAAACATTCTGACATAACAAACAAGAAACTTGGCTCAAGTCCATTTTAATTGATCACAATTTGTCCCACCTAGCCTATGAAACAAGCCACTCCAAGATATGTTGTTTTTCATGAACAATTGAATCCTAACTCAATGTATTTAACGTTGGGTAAAAGAATCGCTCAAACTGTTCAAAACAGGCAAATCAAACCAAGTTGATGGTTCGATTCGGTTTTGTTAGTGACTACTAAAATTACCATATGAAGTCCACTTTGATTCTCTTAATTTCTTATAAAGGAAAATTAATTAAACCAAACGTAAGCCAATCACTAAATGAATTGATTTGTTTCCGTCCATGTCTTCTACACTACTAGTTTAGGGTCTAAACCGAATCAAATTGAACTCTTGAAAACATTATTCCAATTACATTATGGACTCTAAAACAAGTAAAACCAAATCGCGTCCATCCTCAATTGTAACTTGAATCTAATATTGTGCGTGTTATTGTAATTTTTGTTTTAATATTTTTCTTGGTGTAGATAACTCAATTGTGCTAGTTACTCTCAGATCTAAATTCTCCTCCTATTTGAACGTTCAAGATTAAGCCACGACATAATTTTGTTTTTATCTTCTAAGAAATAAAAAGAAAAAGAAAAAAAAGGAGAGGAGGGAAAAATAAAGGGGTGAGAATCCAACTCCTTTACTCCCACATGTTTTGTAACTTGAATTTAATATTGTGCGTGTTATTGTAATTTTTGTTTTAATGATTTTCATAATGTACATAACTCAATTGTGCTAGTTACTCTCAAATCTAAATTTTCCTCCTATTTGAACGCTCAAGAATAAGCTATGATATTATTTTGTTTTATCTTCTAAAAAATAAAAATAGAAGGGAAAGAAATGAAAGGAGGGAAAAATGGAGGGTGAGAATCCCACACGTTTGTTTCTCTCATTTATCCAACCCATCTCTATCGCAACGTTTTTCTCTTATTTCGGCAACTTCGTTGCGTGGTGGATTCGTAAGTAGGAATTAACCATTTTTCTTTGGGCTTGGCATTCACATCAAAGTTCAACATGCTCAATCATATGTAGTCTTTTCTTCTTAAGAAAAAATGAATTCTTAACTCATAGCCTCGCTTTTTAACTTCAATTTAAAAAACTCATATTTGCATCCGTCTAGTCTTTGTCTAGACGCTTTAGGTCTCAACCCACCGTCCAACTAGTACCTTTTAGAATACAAATAATTCACCATATGATTTGTTCAAGATTTACGTCGCATTTTTTTATACAAGAGCATCAATGTGCAAAGACTAAAAAATGGGTACATACATTTTTAATTAGGTTTTTGGAATTTCAACCACTAAAATGCTCAAGCTTTGTTTGCTAAAAGCACGACCAGTGGGATTATAATCTTGTTATGTTAAAATTCAGCAGCGTTGTGATTGTTGTGGCCTCTCATTTGGGATGCAATCTTAGTTGTAATTCCAATTTCCAAACCATATTCATTGCATCCAAATATCGAATATTATTAGGTTAAGAAATTCATTTTCTCATTCATTTAATTGATTTGTTAGTTTGTTAACAATGGATAGTGATTTTTGCACTCTATTTTTTTTGTTTCCACATGCACTAAGTAGTTCTTATGGCATGGGACCAAAGTCTCGCAAATTGATCTTTTACAACACTTTTATCAATTAAATGCTTTTATCCGTAGAATAAAGCTTCTCGGTATACCTTTTTTTTTTTTTTTTTTTATGTTCATACTTTGACGTTTATGAAGTTTATTTCTTTGCTACAACTAATAAAAATTCTTTGTTTTGAAATGATCGAGTCACAAATGGAAATGATCACCATTGACTGATTCATATTTTACATAAAAACGCATATACTCTTTTCGACAGTTCATGCACTAGGATCTTAATAAACCATATCCTGCTCCTAATTAATTGATTAATTAAACAGGTATAAAATAGTATATTCATTAGTTTCAACCTTCTTGGCGATGGATTGAGCTGTGAAGTATGAATATATAATTTTTAATCAAACCGAAATCTGACTCATACAACAACAATAATAATTGAGTTTTATTCTACTCAGTTAGGTTAGTTGTATGAATCATAGAATATAACTGCGCTCGATTTTGCGCCTAACTTTTCATTAGCTCCAGGTACTCCGTATATTTTCTTACATTGTCTTTTCATGTCTTCTTAGGTTTTTCTCTACCCATTTTGAGCTAAGTCTTCATCTCATAGTTGCATCTTCTAACCGGAGCAACAAGGTCTTTGATTCACATACGTGTCCAAATCACCTTAACTAAATTTCTCTCATCTTATCTTCAATTGCGACCACTCCTACTTTACCTCGAATTTCTTCGTTCTTAATCTTATCATTTCTCGTGTGCTCACACATCCAACGAAACATTCTCATCTCTGCTACACCTTAATTCTCATCCACACTCATTGGTCAACATTAATTTTAGTGATTAATCAGCTGAAAAGTTTTTAATACAGATTAGCATATATGTGATCTCCTACTTAACCTTAATTAACAAGATTATTTGAAATCCGGAGACACCAAAAATTCGAATGGGTTTGGTTAGTAAAATGCTCCCAAAAGATGTAGGTAGACGTCCTTGTCCCGTACCAATCACATCCCCACTTTTCTATGCTCTTTAGTCTTTACACCTCATACATTGCCATACATGTTACATATTATATGTTAAGGCAATCCCTAAACCAAATCATTAAACATGATTATCATGTTTGCTTAGTCAAGAATTAGGTCACTTAACTAGTGTTATAAGAACACGAAGATTATATTCCCTTTATTGTTTATGTGTTTCACCGCGCTGTAGGAGCATGAGTGTATATTTATTTCTGGATTTTTTTGTGAGGTATGCTACACCGTACAAATAATATGGTCTGACAGTCGAACCTTATAGTTTCCCTCTATACAAGCATGATATCATACCCTAAGGGATATCCACTCTAAACACTTTTGAGCCAACTAATAATCCTTATGCCTAAATTAATAATTATGTTGTCTACTTGTTTGGAGATATTTATACAAAAAACAGTTATTTTAGAAGTGCTTTTTATATTAAAAATCCAAGTGCTTCTCGAAAAGTTTGATGAAAATAGTAAGTGCTTATCTGATATATTCCAACGCTCTTGCATCAATCAATCACATTTCAAGCCAACTTTGATCCGCCAGATATAAGAATTTGATTTGACATCTAAAAATTTCAACTGCAATCACATCCTCATCAGAAACTTTCTTATTCGTTTCATTTTTATTTTTTGGACTGTACATGAATTATGCAGCAATTTTTTTTTTGGTAAAGATGAATTATGCAGCATTGGCTGGATTCAGATCAGTTTTCAACTCTCGGAAGCTCTGCTTAAAATATTTTGAAGAAACTTTTGGAGAGATTTTTTAGTATGCTAAAACACGATCTAATACACCAAGTTTCATAACATAAGTGGTTGGATACTTGAAAAAAAAAATTTCAATTACTTGTAATATGACACTTAGTGTACCAGACCGTATTACTGATACACTGAAATTTTTGTCAAACTTTTGGATGTCAAATTAAAGAACAAGAACATGTCTAGAGAGCTTTATTTGGGAGCCTAAACCAGCATATTCCATTCCAGTATTCACAGCTACACAATTTGCGTAGACGTTGATCAGGACAATGTACACATCCCTTTGCAATTAATTTTGAATCTTCATCCTCGCAGATTAGAATATTGCTATGTTAAACCAAAAAGGGTTTTTGTAAAAGAAAAACCCACCTAAGCAATAGGCATGCATTTCATCTTTTCATTAATTAGTCACCAAACACTCTAAGCATGCGTTTCACTAACCAACCTCAGTGCACCTAAGTGCATTTTTGCGTCCACATTACGTACTTACCCTAGAATTACTAATTAGTATTAGTGAAAATGACAAAGATAAGTTTATGAATTAGCTAATTATCTTTATTGCATACACGACGTCATGAAGCTCAAAGATAAGGCTCAAAAGCACCTTAAGAAAAAGACGGTAAGTCCCAAGTAATTACAAAATCACTGATCATCGCAAAGCGCTTGTAGCTCAATTACTTAAAAACGGTTAGACGAAAGTTCTGTGTTTGGTTTCTTCCGTAACCAGCTCAAAAGTGTGCTAAAAGTTTGAGACCATCACAGAAGAAGGCCCAAACTAAAGTGTTGTGAACCTCGAATCATGCCCAAGACACCAAGGATCAAAGCAGTCCAGTACTTAGCTAATAGATGTGATGATCTGCTTATAAAACCAGAAAGTAATACAAGTCTCTCAGTTCTTATTGACCAAGTCTCCAACTTCATCAGGTACAGAAGAGAAGCCTAAAGTATTTGCAAGAGCTTAAAACATCATGTAATAATCGCGTGATGCAGCCTTTTGTGTAAGGGTATTGCCCATTATTCTCTTTTTCTCAACTCCATTTGTCCGACGATGACACATTTTTATTGTCTGCAGCCTAAAAAATCACTTACACATTTTACTAAATCCGCTACTACAACGACGTTAAGTAGCTTCGATTACTATATTATCACCCGATTCGTTATTAACAGGGTCACTAACCCATGGTGTAAGAAGGGGTTGGCAAGTTGATTACAGTGGTCTTGATCTTGGTCATCATGTTGATACTGTTGGTGATTCCTTGTGACCCAATTCCACTGTCCTTTATGCCCTGTCAAATAAGTCATTCATAAAAATTGTGAACATGGCAGTCTTGGAACGAAATTCTGGCTGTCGATAAAGGAGAATCAAAGGACAAAATAAACAATTGTGTAGAAGGATAAAAAAAAGAGGGCGGAAATCAGTCACAAAACTAATTTTCTGGACTTTTAAAGGGTTACCTGGAACGGAAAATGATCTGGTCCACGAGCAGGTGCGGAGTTTATTTGAACAGTTCCTGTCTCCATTGCATCACCAATCAAAATGGCCTTGTTGATGTCCTTTGTGAACACACAGCCCTGTATTTTTTTACACATGGGTTAATATTTTCTGAGTTAAAGCAAGCATGAAATGGTGGATTCCGAAGGAAATCAATGTTACCTGGAGTCCGAAATTACTGGCATTGCAATGGTGGATTCCTTCTTCTACCGTAGTAATCCTAATAACAGGCAAGACTGGACCGAATGGCTCTTCCCACGCAATTCTCATATCCGGTCTGACATTATCTAACAACAAAGGCCAGATAAGGTTGCCCTCTCTCTTGTACTCTTGGCAAAATGTTGCTCCTTTCTGTTTTGCATCCACAACCAAACCTTCAATAAAATTTGCAGATGATTCCGAGACAACAGGAGTGATGTCACTGTTCTCCTCTGGTGGACCAACGGTTAATTTTGCCACTCGTGCATTCACTTTCGCGACGAGGGCATCAGCAACGGATTCCATCACCAAGACAACCTTAACAGCAGTACATCTTTGACCACTGTTAAAAATGTGCGTTGTCAAGCAAATTTGAAATTATATTGTTAGTCAAGTATTATGGATTGCAGCAGAAAGAATGAGACTAACACAATTAATTTCTTCACCTGTATGAAAAGCCTCCCTTTATTATGTTTGCCGCGACCAAATCTAGGTCGGCATCTTCAAGCACAATGCATGCATCTTTTCCTCCCAACTCCATCTGAAGAGGGATCATGCCTGCCTTCTTCGAAATTGCAATGCCGGTGTCACCACCAGTGAAGCTGAAAAACCAGGATTCATCTTTGAGTAACGATAGACAAGGAAAGGGAGCTTATTGTGGTATCGAAGAAATCAATCTGGGATTACCTAATGCAGTCCACTCCAGGATGCATGGTAAGGAAGTCGCCGATCTCAGATCCTTTCCCAGTGACACAGCTAATAAGGCCTTTGGGAAATCCAGCCAAGTGGAAGCAATGCACCATATGAAGGCAAGAAACAGCACCCTAGAAGGAAACTTACGGGTACAATTTAGTCTTCCTCGAAGTTAAAGAGATCATCGAACATAAATCTTTTCTAAAGTGTTTTTGAAAGAATTTTGTAATGCAGTTCTGTCATTCAAAATACATTTTTGCATGAATTTACATAGTGGCAATGATCCACTGAGAAGTTATACTCAGGTGTTATACTCAGGTCAGTGCAAAAGATGTGTGGAATCAAACAGCGGGGGAATTACTGAGTCTCGAACACAATGTCTTACTATCTAGTAAGAACTTCTGAACCAGTGTATAATTTTGAAGTTTGGTAACTAATACCTGAGTTGGGGGCTTCAGCACAAGGGCGTTTCCAGCGATCAGCGCAGGAGCAATTTTTGAGACAGCAAGGTTGACAGGATAGTTAAATGGTGGAATGGCTAGAACCACACCGAGCGGAATCTGCAATCATATTGCAGCAACAGTCACACAAAAGATATTGCAAAAACTCATCAGTAAAGAGTAGAAAGGTAAACTAAAACTATAAAGTACTTGAAAAATAAAGATACCTTGGAAGTTAAGCAATATTTTGTTCTGTCATTTCCTGGGAAACTATCAGACACCAAGAACTTCCCTTCCCCGAGAATCCTAACCCCTTCTTCGGCGCAGTAAGACACCAAATCTCCAGACCTCACAACCTTCACAGAACCCAAAATTTCCATATCAGTTTCCAATTCGAGTAAATTACACTTTATCATCGAAATCAAACGTGAACATATAACAAAAATTATTTTTCACATATAAGCTCTTGATAATGTTACACTTTAAGATAAAAACCTTCAATTCAATGCTTTAGAAAAACAACTTGCCGACTTATTAACGAAGTCATCAAAGAAATTTCGCAACTAAAACCGAATTAGAACATGACAAGTGTTTTTGTATAAACTTATAGTTGTCGGAGTGTTTTTTTAATTTGCTAAGAAGACAGAGAACGAGTTATCAACCTCTGTGATAGCATCTTTAGCAGGTTTAGCAATTTCTTTAACCAGTGACTCCCCAATTGGAGCTTTGTGTTCTTTGAGGATAGAAGCAGCCTTGTGAAGGAGCTCGGCCCGCTTCCAAAGCGGGGTCTTAGCCCATGTCTTCTGTGCGATTTTTGCTGTCTCCATGACCTTGTTAACCTCTTCCTGCGTACAAGCTGCCACAGCCAAACAAAGGATAATTGTTAAATAGCTGTAAAGATGAAAAATATAACAAAAACCAGAGCAACCATTCAAATTGAAAGGACAATGATTATAACACTCCTCGTTTAGCATCTACACTTCTTGTGCGGGAATGGAGGAAAACTTATAAAATATTCAATTTGAAGTGGATATGACCAAACCTAGAGCGCCAAAACCAGAATAAAAACAGACCAACAACTCAAAATTTAAAGACTAATGAGTTTAACATCACACTGACGCGCATATACAAAGAAAATAGTAAAATATTCAATTTAAAGCACACATAAAACTGTAAAATATTCAGTTTGAAGCGCAGATAACTAAAATTGAAGCGCGAAAATCGCTACCCGATTGAAAGCCATGAAAAAAGATAATCATTACCTTGAACCTTGTAGTGGACCTTTCTTGTGGTAGGGTTGATGATGGGAACAAGTTTACCAGAAGATGATTTCTTCCACTCCCCATCAGCATAATACTTGTATGCTTCTCCATCAACAATCTCTGCAAACAATCCACTCCCAGCCATTACTCTTTTCTCAAAGATTCAAATACCAAATATCTCAAAAAACCCAGAAAACTAACACGATTTCTTCCTCTAAGTTATCAGAAAACTTAGAGAATATAACAATATCACTCTGGTTTTTATGAAAGGATGAGGAGTGAGAAGTGAGTGTGTGGTAATATGGAGTTTGGTGGTTTATGGGCTGTGGTTTGGTGGGGTTTTATGTAAGGGGAAGGTGAGCCACGCTTTGTTCTGTGAATTGGGACGGATTTTTGTTAGGTGGTTTTAAGGTTTGACGAGTAAGCTTTTTACTGCTCTTCAATTTTTTATTCTTTTTCTTCTGTGGCAGCTCTACGTTTTTCTTGTTTCAGACAGTTGAAAATATACATGAAATTTCGAAAATTAGTTAGCCTCGTGTTCTCCGCGGCTTTTAACTGCTGTTGAATTTTTTGGGCCAACAATTTTTATTTTTCACACTTATAGGGTAATTATTGTGTTATTAAAATACAATTACATGGTATAATCAGTTTAGTTGAACGGGCGATTGATGAATGCAGCCAGGTTGGAAGAGCCTATAACTCGAATGGGTTTGGCTTTTTATTTTTTATTTTTTTTTTTGAGCAAGAATCATAGCGTTACCTTACCTTGAACATGACACGGACTCCAAATTCTTAATTACAGAGCGCGAGGTGATTTATCATCAATATGATGATGGGAATGGAAACCAGAAGCACAACCGGAGTCATCCAAGATAATAAAGCCTGTTTTTGTGCTAATATTATGAATCAATAATCATTTATAGTATACCTTGAAGTATAAATATATTATCTGGCTACCTATTTTAAACTTGTGAACTGATCATATTACGTGACAATAATGTTCCGCTTAGTGTATAATAATTTTCAATTTTAAAAGTTACCATTTAACTTGATACATGCCTAAAGCGTGATACAATTAAAAATCATAGATTAGGGTAAGAGGATGGGCAAGGCACACTATCCTATCAAGGTTAGGCAACTACCACAGTTTATGCACGCTATCCTGTCAAGGTTAGGTAACTACCGGTTACCATCTTCACTTGTACCACGATGTTAAAATGGGGTGTTTTGAATTTGTAACTAATTTAAAAGTAGATCAATGTTATTGATATTTTCGATACATCTATCATACGGTTGTTGATATTCGATTTGTGTAGTTGTCAATAAACTTGAACCTTAACGGAGAAAGATTATATATAAGGGTTTTAGTTTAAGAAGGCAATCAAGGAGTTTGGAATTCTAAATTAGGGTTTATATATAGTTGTGTAAAGAAAACGAAGGAGAAGGAAGAGCTGTTACATCTACTACTCCTGCATGCACGCCTGCATGAAGTTGTTGAACATGTATATACATACATATACATATACATTATGCATATATTATATAAAAATGATTAGGACCTTCAAGCCCTACCTGAATCAGAACTGGTTTTGTATGAGCGAATTCGAAGGACACCGCGGTTAGGCAAATAAGAAGAAGTAGATACACCACGGTTGCCACCTACCTGTATTGGAAGTGGTATGGTTTAAATAATTATGTAAAGGAAAAACTAGAAATTAAAAACCAAAAACCAAAAACAAATCAACGTGAAGAAATTGCAAAACAGTAATTAACAAATTAAACTGCGTTTGTGCATACATGAACAAGGGCGCTCTCATTAATCAGTGATTGGAGTAGGAGCTAATAAATTAGGCAAAACCAGAAAGAGATGAGTAGAGAGAGAGAGAGGGAGAGAGGTAGAGAGAGTATAAGGAGTACTGAAACCTGCTGAAAGCTGAGTTTAATGATGCCATTTGTATCAGCTAAAACATGAAAACTGGAGAAAAGTTGAGCCATTCTTTTTCTTCTAGCTAAATCTAGAACAAATTAAAAATAAAAATAAAAAGAAATTAATATTTGTCTAATAAGATTAGTTCTGAATGGCCGCATTATATATATAACTAATCTGGTGATTAAAACATAAACTTGTAAAATGTTACGAGTATTACGGAGGGATTAGCTTGGATTTAGTAGATAAAACCAACTACCAGTTATTAAGGAGGATCGATTATCACAATGCTAATTTTGTCCTCCGATAGAGAGGGCTGCTTGACATTGCATTGGCAAATTTGGCATCATCAATGGTTCTTGCATGTTTTCAACGTGTTCCACAATTGGGATCATCTCTCCCTCGAATCTTTTTGCAGGCTCCTGCAAAAGTATAGCTACATGTGTATTGAGCGTCTTATTGTTTGAAGTATGCATGGGATCTTAATTATACATATACAAATTAATTAATCAATCTAACAACGTTAACCCGCGGTCGAGTCTAATTCTTCATGGATAAAATAGAATAACGATTTTAATAAGAATCTGCAAGGGGCTTTTAGGACCAGTGCTTTAAGGCCGTGAATCAATGGTTCGGTTCTCACTCTCTTGCTATCACTTGTGTAAAATAAATAAGTAAATAAGCTCGATCACATCATTTTTGGCAAAGACATTCGCAGCTAACAACTAAACGATGACATTGCAAATATATTGCTCTCAATATTGACGTATACACAGATGACACTGGAAAAATAGCTTGACAGACGTAAAGCCAAGAAACAACAATTCAAGTTTTGCAAATTTAGGCCCCAAACTCCAAATTTTATCGTTTATTAGGCCAAAACTGCGATATAAGTTTTGCACATTATTCAGCAACAAAACTCAAGTTTTAAGCTATAAGCTCCAAATCTATCATTTACTAGGTCAAAACTTCGCGGTAAGTTTTGGGGGTATTTTCTAATTTTGTTATCAATTAGGGAGGTTGTCTTCATATTATCCAATTAATAACTTTTGACATTTTTCTATGTTTCCTGATAGATTCCATACTTTCATACGTATTTGGTTATCGTTTAATATCTTTTGTCTGTGTTATATTATGAGTGAAAAACCTAACAAATATGTGCTCCTTTACTGTTAGCAACCTCTTTCACATCCAAAGTTTATCCCATTATCTTTTCTTTATGGGGGTCTCATTCACTGCTCATTTGCAGTTGGCTAGGGTTTCTTATTGGACGTAACAACCAGTGGTGGTGACTCCGGAAACGAATGGGTTTGTCAGAAAGCATGGCCGAAACCGAAACGTTTTTTTTTTTCAGTTATATCCCCGACTCCAAGACCCAAGTGGTTTAGTTTTAGGCCACACTTTCGTTATTGGTTGTGGCAACTTGCAAAAAGCAAAACCCCTTTTCTTTTTCCATTGGATATGTAAAAGTTTCTACACCATGTTTGAAGGGATAGGCTTATGGAATTGGGATCCTCTCCGAACTTCTGTGTCCCCATTGGATATGTGAAAGTTTCTACACCATCTTTGAAGGGATAGGCTTATGGAGTTGGGGTCCTCTCCGAACTTCTGTGTTCGGAGCAGACGAATCCAGAGAACTAGATAACTCATTTGAAATCTTACGACCCTCATTAGCTAATCCCATTGGCCCACTTCACACAAACCAACAGTCCGAATCTCTCTCTCAAACTTCAACAGCTCGAACATCCAAGTCCTTGGGCTCTGAACACAAAGATCCAGAGAGAATCTCGATCAGGGGTTATTGTCATTCATTTTTTTATTTATGAACTTATGGGCATGTTTTGAAGTGTCGGGTGCTTCTCCAAAAAAAACCGCTATTTTATAAAACACTTCAATTTTTAAGGAAAATTTCGTTCTAACAAACGTGTTTAGGCAAAACCGCTTGTTAAGAATTATTTAAAAAGCTTTTCAAGGCAATAGTGTCGACTGAACAAAAAGCTAGTGAACGATTTATCACAAATGAATTGGTCATAAAAGAAACTTATTTCTTCTTATTTTATGTTATCTTTTTGAAACAGTTAGAAAGGATAAGTTTGCTTAACGTGCATACACCTTCTCCCTTCAAGTCAAACGACTTTTTTTTCCTTCATTTCTTCCTTTGACACACTTTGAATACAAGGAATTTTAACGAAACACTTTCGGTATTGTTCATTTTTAACGAAAAATCACATTTTCACCTTTCTCTAATACTATTCACTACATATTTATTTGTTATTTTTTATTAAAACTGAAGTTTTTTTGAATTTTTCGTTAGTTTTCCTTTAAAAATAACAGTCTTTCCTTCTGATCTAATCCTACACACGAGACCCATATTTACTAATACACGCACTACAAAAAGACTCAAGCCTCTCGCTATCGCTTCTTGTAAAAAAACTCGCATCTCTAGGAATGATGAGTCATACCCAGAGTCTATGGAGATGATGGTTGAATCTTGAATGCAAATGTGGTTCACACACGGGCATCAGGCATGCCTGATAGCCACTAGTCTGACCACTCCAGGATAACATTACTTAATCCCATAAATCTCATGGAGGCCTATTCTCCCATACATTGTGCGGCAAGGATTGAGATATAATTGGGATGGGGAAGAAAACAACCATCAAGATAACAAGCCTGAGGCTGATGAGCTTCATGGTCCACAAAAGAAACGCCGTGTTCTAGCATAAAACGGCGGCCAAGATTTTGCTTTCAACCTCAACATCAATAATCCATTCAAGCATGCCAAATCGACGATAGTTTTTCATTCGAAGTCAAAAACAGTTACAAAATTGTAAAACTCCTTCGGGCAATACTCAAGTCAATACTTAAATAACGTGCTCGAATCAAAATCTTATAACAAAGCCATAGTAATATAAGATTGGACATACCACTGATATCATAACCAGATATTAAAGAGGCCTTAAGACTATCTAGGGAACATCGGCCTGAAAGCAGAACTTTAATAATTTAATGGGACTTGAGGTGCTCTTGAACAACATGGAGGCCTTCTGATTCTTCACCGAAATCCTGAAAAACGAAATGCAACAAGGCAAGTGAACAAACAGCATGCGAGGAATAATTAAATTTGGCAAGTGCTAAGAGGAAGTACGGTAAATAAGTACAAAGATTCACTAAGAGTGTGTACTAGTGTTGTGTAGTTTAAGAAAGTCCCAGAAATGTAGTTATAAATTTATTTTTGGGACAGCTTCAATATATAACGCCGGAAATGCAGTAAATCTCATGCACTCAACCAACTGTTCTCAATACCTTCACAACAACACAAGAGCAACCGACAACCTTTCTTGCCTTTCCTTCTGAATCAATCTTGCAAAGCTGTGAGCAGACAGTATAGAATTAACAACTGGTTCAGAAAGATCCATAAATACGGGCAACAAGAGAAAAATTAATATGCTGAAAGGAAAATGGAAACAATGAAATAGAGCTTGAACATTAGAAACCATTTAAAGACCGTCTCATGTTTGAATATTAGAAAACATTGAATATTAGAAAAATCCAGTTGCCCCGCCCACAATGGAAGTCATCAGATCATAAGCAAATTGACAGAGACATTTTAGTTAATTGGGATGTAAAACCACTCTAAAGTATTGCTACAGAGTGAAGGTAATTGTGAAACAATTGAAAAATATTGGGAAAAGCAACAAAATGGATTGAAAGATAGGTGAAAATATCGGAGCAAACTAAAATGACAAACAAATGATAACAAATACTTTGATGAAAAAACAAAAACTAACGAAATTTCTATATTTCAATTGATTTTTACTTACACCAGCCCATTCTCCAAGAGTTTTAGCACTAGGAATTGACATCAGTTTAACATTATGGTCTGCACATAGTGCCTTGACCAGCTTAACATAATCAGCCTGGTCACAGTCCTCAGCTACAACGCAGAGCTGTGCAGCATGCTTCTCAATGACCTTTGCACCCTCGTGGAGTCCACGAGTGAGCCCACCATGAGCTAATGACTTCCTCAACACAAGTTGCAAGGCTGTCAAAAGGTCCATTGGTTCACCTAGAGCTGCAGGAACTGCAACAGGCTCAGCAACAGGAACAGCAACTTCTTCATCTCTGTACAACCAATATATTGAAGTAACATTAGACATACCGCACCGAATATATATAAAGGATGTCATAACTGAGGAAAAAAAAATGCCTACGATAGACTGAAGTATGTAAGCACTATCCAGCCAGTAAAGTCCTAGATTAAAGGATCAATGAAGAAATCAGAATTCGAGAGTGCAACCTCAATTCCTAAGGTGACTAGCAAAGAAAAAAGACTTGGTACAGCTTACAAAAGCTTCTAATATATCTTTCATGGGAGAACATACAACATTAAATTGAGAACAATTGTATCGGAAACACACAAGTTAAAACATAACTAAAACAAGCCTTCACTCACTCATCCATGACATGCACCCACAGTCGAAACCAAATGGCCCCTACAGGCAAATAACTACAACGCAGAAGTTCCCCGGAAATCTGAGATTCTGGAATCCTAACCCCACTGCTCTTCTCAGACTAAACTTATACCGTGTCCCATCATCACGATATGTAACAAACCGGTGAAAACACTTCATCGATACAACAAATATAATTTAAACAACTGCTCAGGGCAAGCAATCAGGATCACCCATTGATCTCTAAAACTATTTGCATCTTTTATATAACAAATATTCCATAAGTAGAGAATCAGAAAACAAAATGTCCACATACCCTGACATGTTTCGGGTCGGTTGAAACGAAAAGCCCTGATGACATGAGAAAACAGATGATATATCAGCCAGATTAAAGAAAATTCAGTGAGAGATACAACAATTACAAGACTTCCAAGCTCAAATACTGAAATCTAAACAAGCTTAGAGCAATAAAACCTGCCAAAAAAGACCACAACCCTTCAAACTTGCTAAGGAAATTTGAAGCTGCTACATTTAGTGTCCAAATGCTCGGACATGAGATTTTAACTTCCAATTTCCCCAGAAATTTTATAGATTTCGTGAAAAAACAAAGAACTCAAATCTTCCTTCGAATAAATATCAGATTTTTGATAATCTTTAAACCCTAATCATCTTTTTTTATTCTTTCAATTTTCGGCTAAAATTCCCAGGCTTTCACACACAATTCTTAACCGAAATATAATTGTAAAGTTTAAATCAGAAGAGAATGCAACTGAACGCAGCGCTGACCTCGACGGTGGTTGGGAGGCGGAGATCGAAATCCTGAAAGCGGCAGCACTGTATCCTGCAGGAGAAGGCTAATGAGGCAGGAGCCGAGCTTATAACTTACATGGAATCTGCATAAACCCTAAAACACTTAACCCAAAATTACTATAGTACCCTTGGGCTTTAATAATTTATTTGCTTTCGTTTTGTCACAATGTCGGGCCCAAGCCCAAGATTAATCACTTTCTTTAAATTTTGATGCTTCGCTTCTTTTCGGTTATTACTACGCTTTAATGATATTTTTCTCGATTCACAGGTGAGACTTCTAACGTTTTCACTCAACGAGTTCGATACCGACTTTATAATAATAGCCCATGGCATTTGGAGATCCGGCCACCCATTAGCGCAACTAGGTCAGCTAGTATCAAATATCCATATTTTTTTTCTTTTATAAATGTGAAATTGGAGAAAATTGGACTCAAAACCCCGATTCCTCCTAAACCAATACTTAAAAAAGATAAACTATGTTTCCCATTAGGGTTTTTTTTTTTTTTTTTCTATTTTTTCTTTTTGAACAAACAATATTTTTGCACTAAAGGAGTAGGAGAGTAGGCTAAACCTCATAATGAACTAATAACAATATGGTTCAAACTCGCAATTAGCGAGAATCGAACCTAAAACCTCTCTTACTTACAAGAAAAGCTTTAGAACAAAGAAATGATTTGGTTCGGTTCTGTTGGTTTCGATTGTTTCACGTAAGCATGTTTCACGGTCGATGATCCTTTTTCGTTTGTAGAACGGATGCTACAAAATGTAAAACCTGTACGGTGATCCACAAGGTACTCAAAACCGATAGCATGATCAACGAGTACTAAAAACGCAGATCAAATAAAGAAACGACACAGAAAACTTCTTCAATTCCGGACAGAGAGGTAAAGACGGACAAAACATCATATGTTTCGATAATCTGAATGGAAAGTTACTCAATTCCACTTCCACCTAAAGAACATCACACCCAAATCGAAATGGGGCTAACTTTTTTTCTAATTTAATGGGACTTAATGTGCTCCTGAACAACATGAAGGCCTTCCGATTCTTCGCCAAAATCCTGCGAAACAAAACGCAATAAAGTAAACATACCGAATACAAGGAATAATCAAATTTAGTGATGCCATAAGAACGTATGGTAGAGAAATACAAAAACTTCCCGATTAGCATGTATTAGCCTGCACAATTATAAAGTTATTCAGAAAATCTCGAAAAAAATGCAGTTATGTAGTTAGTGGAACACCAAATTTTCGGATGGATGTTTTTCCACCAGATACAAAATATTTCGGAGATTTAGCTTCAAGACATAACACCGGAAATGTAGTAACGTATGCACTCGAATGAATGTTGTAAATACCTTCACAACGACGCAAGAGCAACCAACCACTTTTCTTGCCTTTCCTTCTGAATCAATCTTGCAAAGCTGGGTGCAGATGGTATAAAATAATAATAAGTTGAAGAAATACAAACAAACTAAATGTTTAACACAGGAAAATAGTTACTTTGCGGTAAGAGCTAAAACTAACAAAACTTCTATGCCAATTGATTTTCACTTACACCAGCCCATTCTCCAAGAGTTTTAGCATTAGGAATTGACAGCAGTTTAACGTTATGGTCAGCACATAGAGCCTTGACAAGCTTAACGTAATCAGCCTGGTCACAGTCCTCAGCTACCACACAGAGCTGTGCAGCGTGCTTCTCGATGACCTTTGCACCTTCGTGGAGTCCACGTGTGAGCCCACCATGAGCCAATGACTTCCTCAGCACAAGTTGCAGTGCGGTCAGAAGGTCCATGGGTTCACCTAGAGCTGCTGCAGCAGCAGCAACAGGCTCGGCAGCTGGAACAACAACCTCTTCTTCTCTGTACAATCAATAAAATGAAGTAACATTAAACACGCTGCCATACCACATATGACACACCAAAATATATCAAGTATATCAAACTGAGAAATAAAGAATGCGTATGATAGACTGCCATGTCCCACTATCGGAATGTCCAGTAAGTGAAAACAAGCATGGAGTAGAAACACAAAATCTAAAACATACAACTAAATTAAGCCTTCACACACTCATCCATGACATTCCCACTGTCGAAACAGAAAGGCTGCTATAGACATTAACTAGAATTCAGAAGTTCACTATGCGTTCTGAAAATCTGGATTCCTAACCCCACAGCTCTCACATAGCTAGACAAAAATTGTGCCCTCTCGCAACAAATTGGCGAAAGGAAGTTCACCAGTAGAATAGATAAACCTACACTACTGCTCGGGCCAAGCAATCGGGAACAAGCTTTGATCTCAAACAATCTGAAACAAGCTTTGATCTCAAACAATCGGAAACAAACTTTGATCTCTAAAAGTATATGCATCCTCCATCATAGCATACATTCGATATTTACAGCGAAAAACAAGTACAGAGCGGACATACAAATGACTACATACCCTGACATTTTTGGGGCCGATTGAAATTACAAACCCTGGTAACATGAAATCAACAAAAGCGATGTCAGCCAGATAAAATATTTCAGTAAAACATACAATCACCAAACGTACAAGCTCTATCACTGAAATCTATACAAATCTCATAACAATGTCAGTAAAAACCTGCAAAACAATATCACAAACCCTAAGATAGGAAAATGATACTTGGAATTGGGGGATAAATTTGTTGCTTTCGTGAAAAAACACATAACTCAAATTACCCATCAGGGGATTTTCAGATCTCAGATTTTAGGGATTTTAGGGATTTCCATTAACTTAGGGATGAAATGTGATCGGAAACATAGAGAGATGAACACTAACCTTGATAATGGAGGTGGCGGAGAAGTACCGATGCGAGGGAGGCAGCAAGATAAGTGAATGGAAGACGACGGCGAGCGTTCAAAGTTTTGAGCTTTATATCGAAATAACCCTAAAAGCCCTACACTGAAGTTACTATTCTACCCCTCATTTGAGGACTTCATCACCGACTCCACGGCCCTCCGATCTCTCTCTCGTTCCAAACTTATAAATCCCCAAATTCGACAGATTTGTTTCCAATTCCTGCAATTTTCCCTCCGAAATCTTCAATCTTGAAACCCTAATTTCCCAATCCGCAAATCATTTCCACCAGCAAGATCACGATGCATCCCAAACTTCAAAATTTCCAAATTTTCCTCCAATCTCCCGACCTCCAAATCCCAACCCAAACCCTAACCCTATCCCCAATTCAGACCCCAACTCTCCGCCACCTCAAGCTCTCAATTTTCTCCCATGCCCTGCCATCGCTTTACTTCACCGTCAATGGTAAGCCCCTAAACGACTCCACTCCGCTTCTCGATTCTCAAATTACCCCGCTTTCTACTCTAATTTTACGAATTAGGGCTCTTGGAGGCGGCGGCGATGGTGGCGCGACCGGGGCGGAGTCTCGCGACTGCTATCTCAAAATGTACGCGGAGAAGAAGCCCGATAAGGTCGACCCGAACGAGCAGAGGCTTTCGAAGTGGCTCAATTGCGCGCTGTCGAACGAGCCATTGAAGGAGCCGTGCGTGATGGATTTTCTAGGGAATGTGTTTAACAAGGAGGCTCTTGTGGAGGCGTTACTAGGGAAGAAGGTGCCCAAGGCGTTTGGGCATATAAAGGGGTTGAAGGACATGATCAGTATTCATCTTACCCCAATTACCGGGGCTGAATTCAATCGCCAATCGGTTGCCGGGCCGCGGTTTCAGTGCCCCATTACCGGGGTTGAGTTCAATGGTAAATGTAAGTTTGTGGGATTAAGAACTTGTGGGCATGTGTTGAGTTCAAAGGCTATGAAGGAGATAAAGTCGTCGACTTGCCTTGTTTGTCATGTGGGATTTTCGGAGGCGGATAAGATTGTGATTAATGGGAATGAAGAGGAAGTTGCGGAGTTGAGGGAGAGGATGGAGGCCGAGAAGGCGAAAGGGAGAGTGAAGAAGGTGAAAAAGTCCAAAAACGGGGATTCTGGTGTGAATGGTGGAGAGGAAGAGGGTGTGGGTTTGGAGGCCTCCCGGTTGAGTGGAACCAAGCATGGCATTGATGCTAAGGCTGTGGAGAAGGCTTCAGCAAAGGTCGAGGTAAATGGGAAGGGTGTGAATGGTGGGGCTAATGTGAAGGATGCAAGTAATGGTGGGGCGAAGAGGTTCAAGGCGGTGGATATGGCCCCTGCTAATGCTACTAAGGAAGTGTATGCGTCCATCTTCACGTCGTCAAGGAAGAAGGACTTCAAGGAAACATTTTCTTGCAGATCTCTTCCACTTGGTAGAAACTGATTGATGGTAAGGTCTAAGAGAAAGGAATACTGTCTTATTTGTAATGTGAACAAACATATCATTAATAAGACACTTAGACTTGTTATATACTTTTCGGAACCTTTGTTCTTATATTGGTAGGATTCCGATATTGGTAGGATCGTGCTATGCTTTTGTTATTCCTGCAGCTGTAGTATGTAAAGATTTGTATGTTCAAATAGTGTGATCTACCTGAACCCAAATTGTGTTCTGTTTTGAAAACGAAGCATTTAGAAATTGAAGAGTTCCTGAGCTGTTCCACACCGCACCACTTTGCACCCTTGCTTCCCATAGGAAATGCAATCAATTGTTGGCTATTTGGGTTGATGGAACTTGGGGAGGAGCCTGGAATGAAGTTCATTATAGTGTCTCACCTGCAAAACTTATAGCGGTCTGTCTTCCGCACATTCGTTGGCTTGTTAATAACAACTCTTTTTAGTGACCCCTGAGAAGAAAGTAACACGAGAGCCGACCTTCTGGTTTAGTTTGCAGAGGATAAAAGTATCAGTTCTTCCTTAAACAGGGTGAGGTTTTACTTGAGATTGTGAGCATGTCAGCCAAGTGTTATCTTTTGTTGCCAAATTTTCGTTTCAGATGAGGAGAAAATCTGCGAATTTCAATTACTAATGATTAATGAAGTAGTCTGTTATTTTATTTGGCTTTTCAAAACACGGAACAAAAAGAAAGGTCGGTCTATCGGCCTTTCAATCACCATCTCAGAACTAAATTTTCTTCCCCATCCACGGATTACATGCCATTGACTGCAAGGTTACATGCTCAGATTTTCATAGAAAGCGACAGTTTTTACCTCGTTATAATTTAATGGCGTCTTCAATTTTGCGCTCAAATTTTTTAATTTTATTCCGAACTTCATATACTCTTAATTCGTGCCAATGTCCCTTGACTTTAGTTTACTCGTGTGCAATAATACAAGTTACTACTAAAATTGTAAAAAAAAATTAACGGCTTGAAAGACATTGACACGAATTGAGAGATTAATGGGACTCGAGTAGAAGTTCCTACTCCACGAGCTTTCTTGGTCCCTCGGCACGGTTGAGATTCCATAATGCATCACAAGCACAGACAAAGGGCGCGATTGAGCGTCTCATCGGAGGGAAAATGAAATAAGGTCCACAGCTCAGGGGACATTGTTGTAAAGGGGCGATCGAGCATCTCATCAGAGGGCAAAGTAAAACGAGGTCCGCAACTCACAGGACATTGTTAAAATGAGATTTAAAGAAGGGCATAAATGGCAAAGGCCAACAGAAATGAAAAAGTAGAGGGCAAAACAGGTAAAAACAAAAATAAAAATGCTTTGAAAACTTTAAATTTTAACAATAAGAACAAATTAAAAGATAAAATAAATAAATTTTTAATGTAAAAATATGATTTTTCGTTAAAATCAACGGTACCTACAATTTTTCGATAATATTCCTAAGAAAAAAGAAAAATAAAAAAGGCTCTGAGAAATGTTGTGTATATAAGAGCCACCTCAAGAGGGATTACCAGTTCATCGTCACCAACCTCACTGGCTATTCCTTGCTGTTACAATGTAAGCAAGGAAGGCTTACAGCGCTTACTTTCACCTCACTGAAACGACGTTAAAACCAAAACCATTTTATTTTTAGCTTTCCATCCACTTTTTCTATAAAAAATAAATAAAATAACCATCTCCCTTTTCCGTCAAAACCCTCGTTTTTTCTCCCACAAAACCCCCAATTTTCCCGAGAAAATCATCGATTTCTCGGAGAAAATCCCCCCCCCCTCCATCTTGTTGCCCGCCCGTCCCGACCCGTCATTTCTCAATCCGAAAACGAGAAGAGAATTCCGGAGTCGTTGATTCTTGAGGTGAGTTATCGTACCTTTGATTTCTCGTTTGATTTATAGGTATTGGATGATTGGATACATGGGTTTTGATAAAGTATGAATTTTGAGATGTGGGTTGTTCTTGTTTCCTGATATGGGTTGTGGGTTTCTTGGTTTTGCAGATTCTATGGTTTTTGCTCTTTTGGGTCTTGTTATTTGCTTCAATTTGTGTTGTTATTGCCCGAAGAAAATGTCTAGTTTTCCGAATAGAGATTCGATTCACATTAGGGAAGTTTGGAGCGATAATCTTGAGGAGGAGTTTAAATTGATTCGCAGTGTTGTAGAGGAATACCGATATGTAGCGATGGACACAGAGTTTCCCGGTATTGTTTTGAGGCCTGTAGGGACTTTCAAGGACAGTTTTGATTATCACTATCAAACCCTTAAGGCCAATGTGGACCTCTTGAAGTTGATACAGTTGGGTCTCACATTTTCTGATGAGAAAGGGAACCTTCCGACCTGTGGAACCGACAAGCACTGTGTGTGGCAATTCAATTTCCGCGACTTCAACCCCAACGAGGATGTGTATGCTAGTGACTCGATAGAGTTACTGTCCCAGAGCGGCATGGATTTTGTGAAGAACAATGAGAAGGGTGTTGATGCTAGTAAGTTCACCGAGCTACTAATGACATCCGGAGTTGTGCTGTCTGATAATGTGGTTTGGGTGACATTCCATAGTGGGTATGATTTTGGGTACTTGCTCAAGCTGCTTACAGGCCAAAGCCTCCCGAACACACAGGCGGGGTTCTTTAAAATGATCAAGATGTATTTTCCTACAGTTTATGATATCAAGCATCTGATGAGGTTCTGCAACAGCCTTCATGGTGGGTTGAACAAACTCGCGGAGCTGTTAGATGTTGAGAGAATTGGCATCTCCCACCAAGCTGGTTCGGATAGTTTGCTAACATGCAGTACGTTCATGAAACTGAAAGAGACTTACTTTGATGGGTCTCCAGACAAATATGCTGGTGTTTTATATGGTCTTGGTGTTGAGAATGGACCTAATTCCCCTTGAAAAGAAAAAGAAATATCAATAAAAATAAAAAAGATTTGGTAGACTACATCTCGGTGCCTGTTTCTATCTCTTCGTATGCTCATCTTTTATCGTTTTACTTCTTCTTCTTCCTCTTAAAGATATTGAACTGCTGCCGTTGTGATTGAATTACGATTTATCGTTCATTGCTAGGTTTGCACATTCTGCTGGTCGGCTTCATGCTGCCTCTGTTTTCCTCAATATCTTCCCTTCAACTCTACACAATCCCTTTTTTTGTGATGAAAACGAAGACGATTGGTACTTTTAGTGCTCATGAACCTTGTTTTCGCCGACTGGTTTCCCTTTTCCTTGTAGTTTTTAAGAATCAGATGAAGCCCTGCACTATTATGTTCTGTGGTTTCTGCAACTCGCTTCATGGGTCTCTTGCAACCTCAAAACATAAGATTCTTTCAGGTCATTTAGTTTTCCTTTGTGGCACTTCGTGGGTCCTTCTCAAGATCAGTGGTACCGGTAATTGTTTCTCCTTTGCAATTAGGTAAATTTTAAGTAAGGACCCAGCCACACGACATAACCAACTGACATAACCCAAATCTACGATCGAGTATCTTATTTGACAAAAAGAACGTCTCAAAGGCTCGCAAGGGGATAAAATGAGGCTTCTTTTAAGCACAAGCCTGTCGTTCTTTCGAGTTTCTATAAACAACATAATTTGCAGTAATTAAGTGTTGTTCATTTTTTCTACTTCTCTCCTCGTCTAGATAAAACCACACTTACAAATTGTAGCTACTTTCAAATCATCATTGTGCCATAGCTTACACAGTGAATTAACCAATGTGGGACTTCGAATTCCCGCAAGTTTAGAGGTGCGAATTTCATTAGCTCGACAATCCATCTGTAAGTCCCCGCCTTCTTCATTGGATTACGGAGAAGCGCTAGGAAAACTAACAATGAGATGACCGTGCCACGAACATCAACCTAACCTTGCTTCTCTTCGTAGTACCTTGAAGAGGAAAGAAAAACGACAAGATTAGAATACCAAGACAAATGAAACATCATAGCAGAAAACTAAAGATAGTCACCTCTTCAGCAAATTTTATCAAGATGGTTGTTCGAGGTCGTTGCTGTCCCTCCACTGGTACAAAATGAGCTGTTACCACAGCTGGAAAACCAGCACCGTCCAAAACACCCTTCATTGGGAAATGAAAGGCCAATCAGACAATAGAAGCACCAGATGTTTCAATTAACAAGCAAGAAAGTGTCGTCGCACTTACCCTTACAATTCCGGCAACAAATGCTCCACAATTAAAGGTTCCCATGTCTTTTGGAATCGAAATAAATCTACAATCCAAAAATGGTGTATTAGTTGGCCATCAACCAAACCCGACGGATCCAGCTAATTGAAACAGTAGGGGAAGTAAATTATCATTAACGCAGAAACTGTTACCGGTTCACAAGGAGCTCCTTCTCACTAATCATGTACTCATCTTCATGTTCAGTGCCTTTCTCAAGGGAATCAGCTACCTAATTTTCAGGCACCAAGAAGCAGTTAACATAGTTCCTAATTTCAGTACATTGTGCTCTATTCAGCCATTAAGCCCTAAACATGCAAAACGATAAAGAAGCCAAAGCAAAAGCACTCACCTTTCCAAATAACACCTTCCAAACAGTGCTATGCACAAAAGACAGGATTCCCAACAACCGCGTTTCCCTTCTGTTTCCCTGTGGCATCAAAGAACCATTAATATAGCAGTAAGCATACATGCAGTCTCACCCACTACAGCATGAGATAGATCCAAACCCACCAGCACATATAACTTGTTAGAATTTGGACCATTAGGATAACATTTTATCAAAATTCCAATATAATGAGCACAGTGCATTGTTATGTGTAATTTCTTCTCCTGCCTAGGGATTAGTTTATAAACCACAACTGAAAACATATGTTGCATAAGTTCGGTTTGCAACTACGTAGTAACAATGTAGTTTACACTCAAAGAATCAATTGTTTACAAGGACTAAAACTACATATTCAGTAATCGTTAGCTCCTCGCACTTGCCAACTTATAGATAGAGAATATGTTATAATCCAAAGATACTGATATCTGTTTTTTACTTCTCACTTACTGCCAAATGAAGCAACAGTATCTAAATATCGTGATTACAAAAATAATAGTTAGGGATATTCCTGCTCAACAACAAGGCATACCTTTTCCCGATGGCAAAGAAGCTCCAGAACTCGAGCCCCAACAGCATATCCTGCATCCTCCAGCCTGCTCCAGTTTACATAAAATATTACTGAAACTTTGGTTTCTAACACTCACATATTAGAATTTCAATATAAGTCACATATTAGAATAATAGAATTAATTATTCTGCCACAACACCTCGAGACCCTTTTTTTGTTCAAACTCGCTTCAATTTTCCAAACCACCTCTGTGATTTTGCTAGGTTGCAGAAGAAACTTGCAATATCAAGCAAACAAACGATCCTAGGTGATTCATATTCGGACAAAAGAGTAAATTGTCCTTATAACATATCAAATAACCATTTCTATTCATATTGTACTATGATTTCACCTGTTCCTTAGGAAACAAATTTGAATGCGCATGATGAGCACGTAACAATGTAATCGAAATGGTAGTAATTTCAATCACCTTCGTTCTAGCTCAGCTATGTTGTCAACCTGCGTCTGGTTGTACTGCACAAGCTCCGAAAACAAGAACGCAAACGCACTCAAACTGACCTGAAAAAACATCAAATGCCAAAATCAGCAAAAAAAAAAACAAACCCAAGTAAGTGAATAGCCTGAATCAAATTGCCCATATCACAATTAACGTAGAATTCGACAAATGAAAACCACCCATGTGTTCAGAACTCGGATTCGAGGTCAATCGAGCATAAATTTGCAGCATAACAGTTCGAAATGAATGAAATTTAAAAACTTTATTGGAGATTGCAATTCTTCTTCCCCCAAATCACAGTACCCAACACCCAGAAATCCAATAAAATGCTGCCATTTGTTGAAGATTGAGGTAATCCGATCAAGCATATAGCATAAACTAGAGAAAGAGAGAGAGAGAGGACCTCTTGTTTGCCCTTGCTGAGGGGCTTGTCGAGGACATTGGAGTACTGCTTGATCTTCCCTGCTCCAATCATTCTTCCCCAACTCTTCTTTTTTCTTCTGGATTTGAAGAAATTCAAAGAAGCAGAGTTGGTGGTGTTGCGGATCGGATTTTCGGAAGCACAACTTCTACAGAACACTCGCTACTTCTGTGTATTCCATCGGCTCGCTCCTTTATTTGTGCCGGTCTGGACCGGCAGCGTTCAAGTATCGAATAAATGATTTTCACGTACTTTTTTATTTTATCATACGCCCTCGGTTTTTATGGTCATAAAATTGAATAAATTAAACGGAATCAATGATGTTTAAGAAGCTAACAAATGTGTGAAAATAACTTCTCCATTTTTATTTTTTTGGAAAATTATATGATAAATATTCTTTCAAAAGCTCAAAACAAGTAACACTAACTTGGATTGGTTTTACACCGTCCAGTGCCTAGGCCATTTTGGAACAGTGATAACGTGTCTACTTATAATCCTACATGAATACATTCAAAGTAAGGAATCTAGAAATTTAGGGATAAACAAAGAAAGGAAAATAAATCAATTTGACTAGTCATCTCTAATTGATTTAATTCTTAATTTTCAAGTACAAAGTTATAAATTTTAACCAAAAGTTCATATTTTGTAAGCATAAGAAACTCAAAAATAAAAACGATCTCAATTTTAATTGATAACATAAAATTCAACAAGTTATGTCGATATGTGAAGTTTTGAAAGAAAAAGCAAAAGGATTGCTTATAACCCATCACACCACCAAAAGATTTTCAAACCAACCCAAAAAAATGCCAAACAACAAAAGTACACTACGCTTCCAACCCAAAAAAATGCCAAACAACAAAAGTACACTACGTCTATTGTTTGACCTATCAACAACCGAATGACATCCCAATTGGGCCATTGGCAGTCTCCATATTACTCAGTCAGTCCCGTAACCAAAAAAAATTATGATGTTCACATTTTATTCTTTAAACACTTTTGTTAATTTTTGGATATTAATTTTTTTCAATTCATTCGGTGATCCAAAATTGAAAAGTACGTGTGAAAAGTAAAAATAAATGTATAAATAGCATTATCCAATCAAAAATTTAAAAGAGAAAAAAAAAATCTCTGAATAATTTTTTTAAGAAACTAATTTTCGCACATCTTTGTTCTGCTTATACTCTCTCGCCTTAATCATTATCATATTTTTTTTTAAAGAAAGTAAATCAAAAGAGGACCTATGAAGATGGGCACGTTATTGTGGCCAAGGTGCACAACAAGCCTGTCATCAACATCATTGATTTTTAAGAAAATTTCTAATATTTTATTTTAAATTTATTCGATATTATCTACATTAAGAATGAGCTAAACCTTATAATGAGATAGTCAGAATAATTTGATAATTTCTGCACATTCGTTATACTCCCACATTGTCCTTTTCCCGCACCTTCGTTATTCTCTGTCATCATCATTTTTCTCACATTTCGTTACAATCTTTCACATATCGATCATGTCTTTATCATCGTTGTCATTTTTTAAAAGAGGAAATAAAATCTCCAAACAATTTTCAAAATAGTAATTCTTGATATTTATATGTAAATCGAGGTGTATAAATAAACAAAGATATTCATGGTGATAACAAGAATGTACGAAAATCGTTTATCTTGTATATTGAAAATTTTAACAAAATTAAAAGATCGTGTGAAACCGTTTTTAATTATTAAGGCTCTCCAAAACAAAATAGGGAACGTTAACGAAAAGCTTACAGTACTGTTTATTTTAACGAAAAATTACATTTTTACACTAAAAAATCAATGCTAGTACTATTCACTTTACCCTTTATTTTGTCCTTATCGTTAAAATTCAAAAATTTCTAACTATTTTCATTAATTTTTCTAATAAATTAAATAATAACCTTTTGAGAATTGGAATAAAAATTTTGGAATGCAAAACAAATTGGGAAATCAGACCCAAAAAAACAAAAACAAAACAAAAAAACAAAAAAAAAAAAAAATGGAAAACACATAAAATGCAATGCTTCGAGTTTTAAACACATTGGCCATTGCTTCAGTCTTTTGGGCTCTTTGCAGACCTCAAAACCTTCTCCTCCCCCTCTCTCTCTAGAACACACTTTCTCTCTCCAAAGCTCCCTCCTTTCCGATGGAAGACGACGACGAATTCGGAGATCTCTACACCGACGTTCTTCGACCCTTTGAATCGTCCGAACCATCGTCATCATCTGCGCCGCAGCCCCACCAATCCTCCGCCGCAGCCCAATCTCTCCACCGTCCGATCGATCTCAACGTCCTCGACGAAGAGGACAAGATCCTTTTTGCAGCTCCGCACTCTAATCCTTCTGTTTCTCACCCGTCCAATTCCCAAACCCTAGCTCCCGCCGCCTCTGTTCCAACCAATTCCGCTAGAGATGCTGCTCCAGTTGGTGCGTCTAGGGTTTTGGAGGCTAAAGACGTCGAATTGCCGAAAGTCAATTCCGTGGATTTGAATATTGGTGGTAAAGATTTGGATTTGATGGACAAGGATGTGAATTTCGACATCGAGGAGGCTAACAATGGAGCTGATGCTATGGGTTTGGGTCCGGTGATTCCAGGGCTTTCGGATACCTTTCCGGTGAATGATTCCGCAGCGAATTTCGGAAACCCGGAAGTTACAAGAAGAGATGGTGAGAGAGGCGAAGATGACTGGGACAGCGACGATAGCGAGGATGATTTGCAGATAGTATTGAATGATAACAACCACGGGCCTATGGATATGGAGAGAGGTGGAATGGGCGGCGAAGATGACGATGACGATGACGGCCTCGTTATTGTGGCTGATAGTGAGCCGAACCAGCCAATGGACGACCAAGAGTGGGTGGAAGAGAGCGCACAGGCGGCGGAAGGTGAGAGGAAGGAGATGGCTGAAGCCGGGAAGACTGCTGGCGGTGTGGTTGTGCCCCCAAAAGTTGGGTATAGCAGTCATGGGTATCATCCATTTCATTCTCAGTTTAAGGTTAGTTTAGTTTTGTTAATATATTGATTAAAGTAGGGAACTTTTTGTACTGGGGTCTTTGTAAAGTCCCCTTCTTATGATGAGAGATTAGAATTGTAACTTATGCTTTGTAATGATCTGTACAATGTGAATATATAGTTGATTTATCAGTGAAGTGAAAATTTATAATTTGAATATGTTTTCAGAATTCTGGTATTTACCCCGGTAGACGATGCTTGAAAATTTGAGGAAGTCCTGCAGTTGAGAGTAACTACTCAAAACAGAACCAAATCTGTTCGATTTTCTCGGATTGTCTTTATCGAAAGATTGAGTTTTAATTAGCTGGGTATTACCTTCTAGATGAATTAGCTGGGTATTATTTTCTACATAGGCTTAGCTGTGGGGGACAACTGCAGTGATACCCTCCTTTATAAATTAATTTTTCTTAGAAAAGTTGTTAAACATGTTGTTTACATATATTCTTTTCGAGAAATATTGCTCCAATAGGCAATTCATTGATGAACTCTTTTTGTCTAACAAACCTTTGGAACTCCAGTCCTCAGATTTCTTCACCATTATCAATCTTTAACTGTCACGTGCGGCCACTTTAATGCTGATATGAAGAATTTAGGTTCCACGTGGTGGATTCAGTAGCGTTGTCTCGCTGAGGCATGTTAACTACAGAGTGGACTGTGGCTCATTTATTACTGAGCTTAACGATTGAGGCGTTACTTTGATAGTTAACTAGGGAGACATCATTAACGGGTTTCTGAATTTTCGTAAGAAAATTTACTCACTGTGAAATTCTTGCAATTTATGAGGTTTGTTTTATACCCCAAGAAAGCTAGACGTATTATGCCTTATTGCTCTCAAATGTCTGGCCTTTGCAATCTTGCTTCAGTAAACGGTGCAGTTATTGAGCTATTTTGCACGTTATATATATTCTACGAACAAGTAGATGGTGAAACCTTCCCATAGACAAAAGCACCTATTGCTTGAAAATCTGGACGATGCTAGCAGCCTTGTACACTGCATATTGTTCAGACCACGTGTAGTGAATAATATTTGTTTCTAGAGTTGTTCTTTGAATGCATTCTTAGTGAAGAAGAATATTCGTACTTCTTTTATTCTATATGCCTTAAGAGTCAATTGTAGCAATCTGGAAACTGCTGGCTTTACTGCTTTAATTTGTAGAACCCCAGCATGATTGCTCCCCGTTCCTACTACTCTTTTCTTATAGACTAGCATATGCCATTTTGTGATTTTCTGTCTCATCTGCAACATAAGGAATAGTTTGCATGTTAGTAGTTTGTGAACGGTTTTAATGCTCTATTTCTATACCTAAAAATGGTTTCTTCTTATGCAGTATGTAAGACCTGGTGCTGTGCCAATGCCTGGACCAACTACATCTGGCCCTGGAGGAGTCCCAGGTCAAGTTCGTCCACTTGTAAACATGGGTCCTGGAGCTGGTCGAGGTAGAGGTGACTGGAGACCAACAGGAATGAAAAATGGCACTCCACTGCAGAAGAACTCTCATCCAGGCTTTGGCACGCCTGGCTGGAGCAACAATATGGGTGGTCGTGGTTTCGGTGGTGGACTGGAGTTCACACTTCCTTCACACAAGTAATCTTTTTCCTTTTTAAGTTATCAATATACATGGTGAACTGGCGTTCTTTTTTTACTTCTACGATAGTGCCATACTGTTGTGTTTCTTCATTATTTATGAGTTGCTAGGCAATGCAGTTTGCGTATGCTCTATAGCACTGACGTCAGGGTTCTATTAATTTAAGTGTAATCATTTGGTAACAGCCAAGTTGGTTTGTTCTCTATTGTTTTCTGAATCTGCTTATGTATTCCAGGACCATATTTGATATTGACATTGATGGTTTTGAGGAAAAACCTTGGAAGTATCCTGGTGTTGATACGTCGGACTTTTTCAATTTTGGCTTAAATGAAGATAGCTGGAGAGATTATTGTAAACAGCTGGTAAGAATAAACCTTAAAGCTTTTTGTCTATTGTATGTTTGGTAAGGCTATAAGTGTACCTATGTTTTAAATTCGCAGGAACAGCTTCGTTTGGAGTCCACCATGCAAAGTAAGATTCGTGTTTATGAAAGTGGACGAGCAGAACAGGTAATGAAGTGATTCTGTACCTTTAGAAAGTTTATTGGCTTTTTCAGTTTTTAATATTTATTCTTGTCAACCATATATTGGTAAAAAGTGAAAGTTTATGTTTGCCTTTTACTTTCTTCATCACAGGAGTATGATCCAGATCTGCCCCCAGAGCTTGCAGCAGCAACTGGTATTCATGATTTGCCTGCTGAAAATGCAAATCCTGGGAAGTCGGATGTTGTCCAAAGTGATTTAGCAAAAGGATCTGCTCGTCTGCGTCCTCCTATAGTACGTAATAACTGTTTTTTTTATTATACCTATAAATGATGTCTTGCCTTTTATTTCTTGTTTTACATCCTCTTGATCTGTGCCTCTTTTACAATTTCCATATAATGCTAGCTCTTGTTGACCTGACAAAAGGATATGTTAGTTTCCAAACTCATTGGCTAAATAAATTGCAATAAAAGAAAAGTTGGTTTCCCAGTTCAGTGATTAATTTAATTTCTTGCCAGCCAACTGGAAGAGCAATTCAGGTGGAAGGTGGTTTTGGTGAGCGTCTCCCCTCAATTGATACCCGACCACCTCGAGTTCGTGATTCAGATGCAATCATTGAGGTACTAATCAAAGCCATCCTTTGCCGTGCTGATCCTATTGTTGGGTGTTCTTATCTTGTTTTTGGATATGCAATATAAGTTAACTTCTTGCTATTCTGTAAACAGATTGTCTTGCAGGACTCTTTAGATGATGATTCCTCTGCAGGAAATGGTATCCCAGACGGAGCTGAAAATGATCGCCCAAGAGAGGGTTTTGGTAGAGGTGAAGGAGACCTCGCACAGGTTGAGAGCGAGTATTTTGATGGTTTTCCCCAGGCTAATAACGATCAAAAGGTTGGAAGAAAAATGCCTTTCCATGATAACATACCAGAAGAAGGAAACTTACCCTCCCCTCCTGAAGTGGCAGTCCCATATACTGGTTCTGGGGGTGAGACTCCTAGTTATCAGGAAAGGTAATAAGATATTTTTTTGGTTTGTCATGTTGAACATTAGCACCCGTATAGAATTCTGCGATAGGATTATTTTTGAGAATAAGATGACCTTGCAACATACTGAATTACTGAGTATTCTGGACCAGAGAATACCAATTCTGCCACCAACTATAAGAGCACCTATCACCTTTTATTATGGTCACAAAATTAAAGTATTTATAATCAATAGGACGTTCTCTCCATTTGTAGTCAAATCTGGGACCCAAATAACAATATATTCTTGGAAATACATGGATGCACTACTTCATATTATAAGATTTTATGGGCTTGAGAGCCATACAAAATTGATTTTTAACAGCTTTCGAGTCCAACTCCATGAATGGCTTTTAACTCTGTCCTTATGGATATAGGAAAACACAACGAAGAGCACGTGACAGATCTCCTCATGTGACTCCTAGTCGAAATACAAGGGATAAGAAATTCCTTGAAAATCAGAAGGAAGAATCGATTGAAAGCATGGATGGTAAACGTAGTCTAGGGATATCATCACCCGTCACAAATAGGGCTGCACAGGAGTCAAGTGCTGAGTATAGAGATAGTGACCAAGATGAGCCTGTTCTGGCTGATGGAAGCTCTGAAATGGGAAAGAGGGAAACGTCTATGGTTGATGAAAATGATGCCCTGCAAGATGGGGCTCCAAAGCATAAACAATTAGTTTCAAGAGTTGAACAGTCTGCTGACGAAGAACTTGATGATGGTGAGGACTCGAAAGCTGCAAGAAGTAGTGACAACAGCAAAGCAAGATCAGGAAGCAGCAGGGATTATCCGAAGTGGAGGGATGGGGTTGAAGAGGAAGTCATTCAAGGACGTTCAACACATATGGGGGGCATCAAGAGGCACCTTAATGAAAATGAAAAGGGGTTCCAGAGGAAAAACCATGATGCTAGACAGGAACCAGATAGAAGTCACATGGTGGTTAAAGGGAGGGAGGGCTCTTATCCTTATAGGGACTGGGATCCTAGCTCTGCACATCAGTTGCAATTGAAAAATGATGGCCTTCATAGGCGAAAGGAGAGGGACAATCTTGATGGACCATGGCAACGGAGAGAAAATGATCCTTATAGCAAAAGGATCAGGCCTGAAGAAACAAGGAAGAGAGAACGTAGTGATGAAATGGGATCTAGGCACAGGAGTAAGGTTCGAGAAAGTGACAGGAACGAAAAAGACGAACATCTGCAGTCAAGAAAACAGGTGGACAATGGTAGCTATAGGGTTTATCATGATAAGGATGTCGGTTCACGACCCAGGGAAAGGGAAGGTAGTTTGAAGGCGAGGTATGAACATGTGGAAGATTACCATGGCAAGAGAAGGAAAGATGAGGAATATATGAAGAGAGACCATATAGATAAAGAAGATTTTTTGCATGGCCACAGAGATAATAGCAGTCGCCGAAAGCGTGAAAGGGATGAAATTCTGGATCAGCAGCGTAAGAGAGATGAGCAACAAAGAGTTAGAGAAAATCTTGATGATCTGCACCCTGTTAGGCACAAAGATGATGGCTGGTCGCAGAGGGAGAGAGGTGACAGGCAAAGAGAGAAGGAGGACTGGCATAGGGTCAAACAATCCCATGAGGAAAATATACCCAAGCGTGAACGAGATGAAGGACGAGTTGCTATAAGGGGTGGGCGTGGTGCAGAAGACAAAGCATGGGTAGGCCATACTAGGGCAAAGGATGAGAACAAGGGCTCTGATAAGGAGCACCAATATAAAGAGACTGCACGGCATAGCGAACCATCTAAAAGGAGAGATAGGGTTGAGGAAGAAAGCTCGCATCGTAGGGGACGTGAAGATGTTCATGGACGTGGAAATCAAATAAATAATGATGAGAAAAGATCTGGAAAGGAGAGATCAAGTACTCATAATGAGCGTGCTGACAACCAAAAGGTCCATGACAGAAAACATAAAGAAAATTCAAGGAAGACTAAAGAATCTGAGATTGCTAATAACAGCACCACTTCCAAGAGACGTCAAGAAGATCAAAGTGGTTATAATAAGGAGATGGTATGTTCTTGACATCAGTTCTCTTGGTCTTGTTTTTCCCTTTTAATTCTTGTATTGTTTATCTTCCCTTGAAAAATAATGTATATAGGGTGCAATGCAAGCTTGATTTTGGAGTTTTTGTCAAATTCCATTTCTTTTTCTTTGTTATACCAATAAAATTAAATAGATTTTTGATTATGAGCATCTGTAAACTTGACTTTCACTGGTTTGGTTCTGTTCTCTTTCATGTTTCTGGATTGTGGATTCATCTTTCCATTTCCTCTTTTCCTTGCAAGAGCTAAAATCAGAAGATTGTGTTCATATCTTCTCCTATTAGTGGCAGCCTCTGTGGGCTGTATTTTCACACGAATAATGGGTATTGGCACGGTCAGGAATGATCGCATATTCAATGATTTGGTACACTTTGCTGAGACCAGTAGTAATGTTTTATCTGTATTTGGATTAGCCCCATGCTTTGAAGTTTGTGCTTCAATCAGTGTAGGGTCGCAGTCATATGGAGGAATATGGCTTACACGTATCATGCGGCATTCTGCAGTTAGATTAAAGCACTAACAAATAGAACGACATTTATAGTTATTAGCTGACAATGTATCCCTTAATCCTGGAATTTTGATGCAGAATTGTTCTTGTTATTCGTCATCACTATTTTGTCCTTTGTACTTGACCCTAGCTGATTAATGTAGAATGTTTCCTCTCTTTTGCCCCTCTAGGGCTTGAAAGGCACCCGTGTGCAAGGAACTGGTGAGGAAATCCCACCACAGCGTCACTCTTCCAAAAGGCATAAGGAAGATGTTTCCTCTGATGATGAACAAGAGGATTTGAAAAGGGGGCGCTCCAAATTGGAGCGCTGGACAAGCCATAAGGAGAGGGATTTCAGTATCAACAGTAAATCATCTTTGAAGCTCAAAGAGCTTGATAGGATCAACAACCGAGGATCCTCAGATGCCAAGAAAGTTCCAGAGGAACTCAAAGAGCTTGATAGGATCAACAACAGAGGATCCGCGGATGCCAATAAAGTTCCAGAGGAATCTTCCAAGCCAGTTGAGGCTGTTGATAATCAACATTCAATGGCTGAGGAGAAAGATGCCGGTGATCAGGATATCAAGGATGCCGACACAAAACCATTGGAGGAGCGACACCTGGACACAGTCGAGAAGTTAAAGAAAAGAAGTGAGCGTTTCAAGCGTCCGATGCCAAGTGAAAAAGAGCCAGTGGCAATCAAAAAGGTGGAGAGTGATGTGCCGCCTTCCACCAGTAGCGAAACTCAGACTCAGACTCAGACTCAGACTCCTGTGGAGTCGGAGATCAAACCAGAACGGCCAGCTAGGAAAAGAAGGTGGATCAGCAACTGAATCTGAAAATACGGAACTTAAGGTTAGCTGGCTGTATCTCTTTGGGAGAGTTATGCTCGGCCTAATTATTAAATTGAAACTTCAGGGCGGTGCAATCATTCAACTTGTTTTTGCAATCGTAGAATCCCATATACCTCTGCTCTGCAGTAGTTATATAATTTTGTAACCATGCTGCCCCAGCTTACTTATAATGTTTTCGTTTGTATATACTGGCGATTGTAACATTGAACTGGCCATTGATGGTGGCGCAGGATTGCTTTTAGCAACTATTTGTAATTTTGTTGCTCAGGTTTGATGTGGCATGCTTTGAGGGTCGTCTACCGGACCTGAAAATGCTGTTTATGGGATCTGTGAAGAAGCCGGGTGCCACTGGAAGCAATGCAAGAGTACTGGTGGAGCTTCACGGATGAAGACAAACAAGATCGAAGAACTGATGAGCGAAAAGAGAAGGATTTCCACCATCGTTGGAGATGTTAGAACTTATATCTATATATACTGTAACTTGATTAGCGTATCTTGAGTTCTTGATCGAGTTCTTATTTTTACCCTTTTTTACCTTTCTTTTTGGTTTAAAGATAAGAAAACTGGGGGTAATTTTGGAACGAGAGTTAGAAACATCGGATTACTAGAAAGTTGAATGTAACAACACAAAGATGGAATAGTACTGTTTTATTAGTTGTTCCATAAATCTCTTCATCCATTCCAACTAACATATATATTGAAGATAACGGTAAGTGGGTTGTAGCTCAAGTGAATAAAATCATTTGTCTGCACTGAGATCTTGTGAATTTAGCTACCCTCGAAACTTTATTGTGATGGCATTTCAATCAACAATGGAGTGGAGGGTGGACTTTCATGTATTGCCTTTCAAATTATAGTGGCCCATTTGGCCTTGACAAATTGCTCTCAAACACTTTAACAGAGTAAAGCTACAAAATTCACCAAAGTATATTGACCCAACTTGACAACAACAAAAATGTAAATTCCTTTGTGCTATCCTAAATTTCTAATCTAATAAGTTACGAGAGTGAAATTCAAAGTTAAGTACAAATAAAAAACGTGTTACTTTAAAAATATGTTATTCTCACAAACGTAACTAAATCCGGATCTTAAAAATAAAATAATTTGGTCAAAAAACAACATGAAGGCATATGTTATACATGGTGGCGTTGTACGAGAGAGAATCCTTGCCAGATTCTTTTTGTAAAGATCCCGTAGATCTTTCCTTTACATTCATTCATCATATATCGTGCGGTCAGTTTTTGTCAAGAGCTGTTTATATTCAATTTTAAACAAAAAAATTTACAATAATTTATGACCGCACGATGTACAATGAACAGATGTGATTGGAGGAGGATCGGACGAGTATTCTCCTGGGTGTTGTACGATTTGATGGCGGGGTCCACCAAAGCCTGATCCCACGTTCAGATTCAAAATTGGAAAGCTTGAGGACGATGAATGATAATGATTAATACCAGACGTGCTCAACATGGACTAGCAATCGACAAACTCAAACAGTAGCATCTGCACGGCGGTCAGCACCCTCATCAGACAATATTTTACTCCGCGTAACACAGAGTAAAAATATCTGACACACCAAAACACCGTAGAATTTTTTATGCTGCAATTTATATAGCATGCGCTTATTTTTATTTTTTACGTGCATTTTTTTTTTTTTTTTTGTATGGTAAAAATGGGTGGGTGGAGTCACTCAGATATCCAAGCTGAGAGATATCACTGATAGGCGCATTGAGATTCTGTACCACTCTCTCTGTAAACAATGGAGAAAAAACCCACTTGTGTTCTTACACTGTTGACGCAGGTGAGTCTATGCTTTTGTCTCTACCTTGCTTTTCAGCTGGGTCAGCCTCGGAGCTCTGTCCGCCATGGCAGAAGTGAGAGGAGGCCGCTGGATCTTTACTTCATCAGCGTCGGAGGAGGATTCCGGCCTCCCACCCGACAGACCCATCTTCTCAAACAGGTGACTTTCTTACTTTGCCTATTGGAATTTCAACGCTCGTTGTTGGGAGATACGCATAAATCGAACTTTTTACGAGTCGCAAATAAAAATCAAAACTTTTTCGATAAAGGAGCACTAAAACGTGTTTTATTGATGTCCTTTTAGTGGAAAAATTGTCATTTTTTATTGAAGACTTGTAAAAAGTTCTATCTGCGTATATTATAATTCGATTTCATTGGTCACTACTTTTGGACTATATTTTTATGAAGCAAGAATCTTTTTCTAATTGTTAGAAAATATGAGGATATTTGGAAGGAAATCAAACTTCCTAGCTCAATAACTTGGTGCAAAACTGAACTTAGTGATGTTCTATGATTCATACAGCTAACCTCACATAGTGGGATAATGCTTTATTGTTGTTGTTGAATAGTTTGGCTAAGTATTGATGTATGTGATTCAAAACTGTGTTTGTTCAGCAACCAAAAGTAGAAGAATGTTTAATCTGTTTCTGTGGGAGTAGATACTATGTTGTTTTTTGTTTTACAGTAAATACTATGTTATTGTTTGCTGAGGAATCTTGTTTACACCTTTCTCTTTGGTCTAATGCCACTATCCATCTGTCAAATGCTAGAAGCACATCTACTTGTCATAAAGCACATCTACTTGTTCATGTACAGGCAGTGGCTTACCGGTTCTAATTTTTCGTTTGCTATGTGCCGATGGGGTCCAAGATTTAAGGCTTTCGGTAGAAATAAGTTGTCGGGTTTGGTTCTTAGTATTAACCTTTGGTTTTGTGTTTCTTTAAGCGAAAAGAATAGGGGAACGATGATGAAAAGAATTTAAGGCTTTCTTTAGAAATGAGTTGTCGGGTTTGATTCTTAGTATTAACCCTTGGTTTTGGTTTTGTGTTTAATTGTGGTTCTTCCTGTTGGTGAAGATGGAGAAGGTGGCAAACAAGTACAAGGCAGAGTTTGTGGTGGACGTTAGCGATCTTGGGGAAGATGATCCGCTCATGCAAAATGTAAGGTTGTTTTTCTCTTCACATGATTTCTGTTCTGCAAAGCCTTTTTCGGAATTATAGAAGTTTGAAACTGTTAACGTGAATGAAAGATCTCGTAGGAAACTGTTACACGAATGGATAAAGTTGATAGATTGACATTGTGTAGCGATTGATAAAATGGGTAAGAATTTGTTCCTCTCTTCGGCTTTAACTGTTGGTAACAATGCTGGATATATTCGCTTTACAGGGCACCCTCCATTTCTCGACACTGAAAGTTCCCTGGTATGCTGTCCTCTAGGCAATAATTTACGTAATTTTGCTATTACTACATCTCAGATTCAGCTGTTCTGCTGGCACCATTGTTTTCAGTTTTCTGGTTAAATTGCACTTGCAGGTACACAACCAGAGTTTCGGAAGGAAAAGGAGGAGGTTACTTCCAAAAGAAGATTAAGTTACCTTACGAGAAAACCTTGGATGTCATTGTGGTGGATACTGGATTATTTCAGGTATGTTCTAATTTGTTTTTCGATTTGATCTATGCGATCATGTTTCACGTTTAGCTTTCAATGTTGTTTGCCTGCCTAATAACTCACTGTTCTTTGATTTTGAATTTTTTAACGCGAAGAATTTGACCACGGGATCATTAAGCGAAGTTGGAAACGATCAGTTACGTTGGCTGAGAAGGACACTAGAGTCAACCAGTAGTAACTGGTAAACTTAATTAGTTGTATGGCCCTGCTATTTGTGATTAACTTCTTCTGTTCTTAGTTTCTGTTTCTTACGTGCTAGCGATATTTTAGAAACAGAACGAAGCTTGAAGAAATTGTGAATGTTCATGAGTTGTATCGTTTATGTTTAGAAGTTACTGCTACACTGGCATTGTAGCTCTAAAATTTTAATTTTCCATAACTAATCTTCCAATTGCTAACTCAGTGTATTTCCATATAGGCGCGTAGTTGTTGGATTCCATTCACTGGCTATTTGTGAAGATGGTGAGGAGGGAATGGAAGCAACGCAAGTTTTCGAGTCTCTACAAAGTACTTTCACGAAATTTGAAGTGGTAGGAACTAAGAGTTCTATGTATTCACTGATACCTTGTTTCCGCACCAGTTCCAAGTAAGTGCAAAATCCGTCTAAGTCCTCACCCGTTCATGTCTTGTATTCTCCAGAACGCATACTTAAGCGGGCAGGGTTGCGCTAGCAGCCCCCGATTAAGTAGTCTGAGCTACATCAGGAACCCGGGCAAAATGGCAGCAGGTGCTTATCTTGCTTCCGTAAATGAAACATCAGCATCTAGAAGGTGAGTCTCTTGGCTGATGCACAATGTGCCCCCATACTCGCAACCCTTTATTGACTCCTTTTGCCCGGTTGCGCAGAAAATTGGAAGACGGGTTTTTTCTTCATAGAGTCGGCTCATTAGAGATTGTGAGCATTCATCTCTTCTGCTGTTAATCCTTGGCAATTTGTCCATCGAGTTTGACATATTCATTCTTCCGTTGTTTCGGGTTGCAGGAAACCTGCTTTGTTACATCAGCTGGAGAAGTTGTGCATAGATCTGTACTCCATCAGAGAGGAAAGGAGATCATGTAAATTGTAACATTCTTTTGTCAAATACTTCATATTTTTTTTTTTTTTTTGACAATTGGATTGCATCACTCAGTGTTGCTTCACTTCTTTCAATGCTTCATGTAAAACCAAAAGGCAAAATATTGAGTTCCACCCAGGAGAAAGGCAAGTTTTGGCAATGTGCTTTGAATCACTGTTCTAAAAATTCCCGTCTAGCGTCGCCTAGGCGTTGGATGGCTGGTCATCGTCCCGATTAATGCCTAGGTATTTGAAAATTAAGAAATGACGCCTAGACCTGTTGAGATGCCTGCCTAGACCGCCTAGGCACCCACCTAGATTGCGACTCACTTAGATAAAAAATAGATAACTTTCATTTTGCATTTTATTTTTTTCAATAAACTATAAGGGACTTGTTGAATATTTAAATGAACACAGATTATATGTTTGTTCCTCATATTTTCATTATGTTCCAATACTTCATAATATATGTGTCATTCTTCTCTTGTAGTTTATGATGAAATATACATATTTTAAGTATAAACAAACGTTTATGTACATGAAATATAATAGATTTACTTAAATCCGCCTAGACGTTATGTTCCAACCCGTCGCCCGACTAGTGCCTCACATTTTTCAGAACTTGCTTTAAACTTAGTATCTTATTTCGATTCGCCTCTCGTCTTTTAATTTGGTTATGAGCCCAAATCTTCTAATTTTGCATTCACCATCAGATTTGTCAATTTTCATCTATTCAAGTGTGGCCAAAGGCTCAAAAGAAAAGATTATTGTAGGGAGCAAATTGATACCTTACAAGCACCAGAAAAGATTATCAAATTGACGGTAAGGAGTAAAAATTTTTCAGATTGAAACTTGAGTGATACGTCGAATGTTATTATATAATTAAAAAGAAGAATTTTTTTTAACGTCTCTCCAATGTATAGTAACACGTGACCTACAGTCTCGTGTATCTGTCACATCGAAAATTTTTTCCTAAAGGAGGGGACCCAAAAAGAAATTTAGAGAGGAAAAAAATTGCCAATTTTAAAAGGGCATAAAAGACTTTTCAACAAATCTAACCAAAGGAAAACACAGGCGCCGAGAACAGACCTCTCTTTGCTTCATGAGCAACTCACGGTATGCGACCTTCGAACCACGAGCAACAACCACGTCCGCGAACTCCGCCAGCAACGCCGGCACCGACTCAGCTACCGCCGGTAAGACATCCGTTCTTTTCTGGTGCTAGTAAATCTGCTGCCTCTTTATTTCTCCAATTTTTCATGGTCTTTCTTTTATTTGCTTTTCTGCTTATTCCCCTTGATCTTTGAACCCATTTCTATCTGTTTAAATGCAGAAAATTTGTGAATTTATGAAATTTATTTGTTCAATTAACTATTTATTGATTTGAATTTATGAAATTCTGTGACTTCTATGTAATTTTGCTTTGAATTGCGTATGATTCAGTGAGAACTTTTGATGTGTTTGTGATAAACAATAACCAGGTCTTATCTCACTAATTGGGGTCGGCTGTATAAATACTAGAACGCCACTGCGCTTGATTTTGGGTCAAGTCTTCCGTTAGCTCCAAGTACTCCATAACTTTTGATATGTTTGTGATAATGCATAATATTCTGAATAATGCTTGTGTTTTTTCATGCTAGAGTTGCTAATCGTATGCGAAATGCACTTTGTTCTTGATGGTTCCGCGTATTATTCAGATGCTATCGAAACTATGGGGATGAATACTAATTTGTTATGAATAAATGGTTATTTTCTTATCATTTGATATGAATAAGAAGAAAAATAAGCTTACTTCTTGTCAATTTTCGCTCTGTGACAGACAAAATCAAATCATCCATGAAACTTATGCTATAGGTTACTTGATCCTTTTCTTTTTTTCGTTAACATCCAATGCAAAAGAATTCACCTTGATCTCAGAAAGTAATCATGTTTGCTTTTGTTTTATGAGCTGATTGGAGTCTCATTTTTTTTTTTTTTCAAACTTTTTGTAACAGGAATTTTTGTATGACAGTTACCTGTTACGTCCTGCATCGTCTACTTGTTGGGACTTGGTTTGGATGACGGGGTTTTGAACATCGACTAAAGATAATACACACTTCAGAAGGCCTCTTCGTAGTTCCAAATTAATTGTAGTTTTCCTGTTTGATAGACCCCATTGATGTCTCTCAGAAAGCCTCCGCTTCCCCGTCTCCTTCTCAACAATGTCTCTTGCATGAGGAATGCACAACAAATCTTGAGACACGTGAATGCCTCAGTTCACGATGGTGGAGCACTTGTGCTGATGGGCACTAATGGCTCGGGCAAGTCTACTTTCCTACGCATGTTAGCAGGATTTTCTCGTCCTTCTGCTGGTCAGGTCCTGTGGAATGGACATGACATCACAGATTCGGGAGTTTTCCACCAGTACAAGCTTCAACTTAACTGGCTCTCCCTTAAAGATGCGGTGAAAGAGAAGTTCACAGTTCTCGACAATGTTCAGTGGTTTGAAGTTCTCGAAGGCAAGGAAGGGAATTCACTGCCGGCTTTGGAGCTGATGGGGCTCGGGAGACTGGCAAAGGACAAAGCGAGAATGCTGTCAATGGGGCAGCGGAAAAGGCTGCAGCTCGCAAGGCTTCTGGCAATCGATAGGCCAATTTGGTTGCTTGATGAGCCTTCGGTTGCGTTGGACACTGAAGGGACAAAGCTGCTCGAGTATATCATCGCAGAGCATAGGAAGAAAGGTGGCATTGTGATTGTGGCAACACATCTGCCTATTGACATTGAAGATGCAACGTATTTGAGGCTGCCTCCGAGGTTCCCGAGGAGGATGACTCTCGTAGATATGCTTGATCGTTCGGATTTTTGAATTTATACCTATTTCTTTGTCATTGAAAAATGCAAGTATGCAACTATTTTACATGTTTGTTATTCATGCTGTGAACGTTTGATTTGCTTATCAATTTTTTGATGGCTGCTATTGTCTTCAATCTAGCCAAATTGCATAAGCATACGAAATTAACGGAAAATTGCGACAAAAATTGGAGAGATTTTTCTAGTGCTGGGTATTTAAGCGGTACTTTATATCATTATACAAGTGAAGGAAATTATATATTTTTTTATGTCTATTCACTTATATTATGACAATTGGAGTGTCCCTAAGTTGAATATCGGGCATCTAAAAAATTTCTCTAGAAATTTAGGATATTTACTATGAATTAAAGTTTAGGGAGATTCAATGCAAATTGATAAGTCCAAAGACAAAGGAAACTGAAAAAGATTATCTCTGAATCCCTGTGTTAGGAGCTTGAAAAATCTCGAAATTATGACCGTTTAAAAGAAAGAAAGAATCTAAGCCGTTCAAAATTTTCGACTTTTGTGAGGTGGACTGGTCTGCTGGGCCAAAATTCAGAAATGCAATGTCCAAGGAGTGTGGTCATTCACATTCCCATAATGCCCCCATCTTTTCAAGATATAACCATCGGGTCCTATACTGCCCCACGATACGAGATTGACCAAAATACCCTCACTCGGTTCGGAGCAAGTATAAAAGAGGGGCTTAGGCCGCAGCGTCTAGGGTTTAAAGGCTCATTAGTTTAAGAATGAGGCTCTGCTCTCAGAGAGGCCGTTCCGGGTGTTCCTGAGGGTGGTTGCCGCCCTCTCTGAATGACGGTGGAGCCGATGATTTCACCACACCCGACCTTTTGTTACTCGCACCCAAACAACCCTCTCTCCTCCTCCTTCCTCTTCTTCTTCGTATTCATTATCAACATCATCATCATCAAATTTTCTGCTTCTGTTTCTGTCTCTCTGTATCTCTCTCTCTCTCTCTCTCGGAACGAGGCGGTGATGATACTTTTAGCGACTGTAAAACCAGGCGGCGGGAATGCGGAACCGATTTCCTTGGCGGGGCGACCCGGTTGCTTTGTTTGGCGGTGGAAATGACTATACTTGTCCTTCCATCCGCCGGCAGGTGCCGTATTCGCAGCCATGGAACGCTGCGTTTCATTCCCTCCTTTGTCTGAACAAAGGCGAATCTGAGCCTCGTACTCTCCCTTTCTTAAATTTCTTTTTTTCTTTTTCTTTTTTTTTTTTTTTTTGGGCTGAATTTCCATATTTTCTTTGAATAATTATAAAAATATTTCTTCCCGTGTTTTTAAAAAATTAAAAACATTACAAATTTTGATTGAATCTCGTAGAAAGTAGTGTTAATCTCTTACTCGGTATGAACTTGTGAAGGTTATGAACGTACCTTCCAGTAAAATAAGTTGATCTTAGTAAGTGATAAAACTCTGATTAGTACTAATTATGGGACATGATTGATCAAACAAATCGATCGAACCGGTTCAATAGGTTCGAATTTTAGAGATTTTTCAATCGAAATCGGTTCGAGTTGATTGATGATTAGTGGGAAAAAAATTGAATGAAAATGTAGGATGAACAAAACATAATGAAGAACTAAAACAATTAACCAGTCATAAATAAATCTGTCTAAATTTCCAATGTTTACTATACTGTATGAGATGATGTTGTGTGTATAACACTCACGTAATATTAGATTAATTCTCAGAAGCACTTAATTCGCCAGCAAAAGCACCATTACAGCAACTAGAGAAGCACACCAACTGGCCCCATTTGCAAAAGCACTTGACTTTTCATCAGAAGGTGCAGGGGCAGGTGGAGATTTGGAGCCTGAATCAGATGAACCCGAGTTGGAGCCGGAGCCGGAGCTGGAATCGTTCTTCTTCGCCACTCCGGGGAGCGGTGGGTCAACCACATTCGAGACCTGAAGAGCCGGGCTTGGGGCTTCTGCCGGAGACAATGCCTCGGGGCCGATCAGACCCGACAGTGCACCTGGTTCAACTGGCAAGATTGCATACGGGACGCTAGCCTTGGGGTCCGTATCACTGCATGGGGATCCTGCAAATTCATGTCGAAAATTGTCGTGAGTGGTTTTTGTAACTCGGTTTTTCTAGGTTACGTTAACGCATACTGAGTACGAACACCTACAAACGACTCATTAGATAGAGTATTTAGACCGTTCATATGGCGCGACACCGGTCAATAGGCCTCGATGTTATTTTCAGGTGTTCGTATTCAGTAGGTTAAAATTCCGCTGCGGAAGTAGTAGTCTACTTACTCATATATTTGCTGGCAGTTCCGGGGAAATCGGTGACAATGCCATCAACTTCGAACCCTTGTACGTATGAAGCAATCTCAGTGATGGGGTCTGAGAAATAATCGAACATGAGACTGACAAACTCGTTCCTCAGCCAGTGGGCGTACACAGTGATGTTTGCGGCCTTCATTTCCTTGACAACGTTGGTCGTGCCAGAAATGAAGTAATCGGTGATCTTGACGATTGAATCCTTGGTGATGGTTACTGCATCTGCGTACTTCTTGATCTCCGCCACAGATTCCTTGGTTGCATCGCTTATCTTCTCCTTGATGTTGAGCACTCGCTTGTAGTTTTTCATGTCTTTAAACTTGGCCAGCACGGAAGTGTCATCTGACTCGATCAACACTTGCTGAGTGGATTGCTTGTCGAATGTGGCATTGCTCAAGGCAGAGGATACAGTTCCCACAACGTCTAGTCCTGCCTTTGATGCTAGGTATGCAGCATACTGAGAATATGTTCGTGTGTCATCAGTTCTCGCACACGAACGATAAATGTAGGAAGAGTTTGGGCATCGAAAGTAGAAAACAAATGAAATTTCTGGAAATAAATGTTACCTCAATGTTGATCAGAATTCCAGTAACTGCATTTTTCTTTGCAAACTCCAGGAATTCATTGAGGGTCACCAGTTTGCCCGCGTGCTTGTTAGCCGGGTTTCTGACTATTTTTTCCTTGGTTCCGTAGGGGCTCTGCATTTGTGCTGAAATAAATAGCCAAGTTGAAAAGCCATTAGTACACTTAAGCGGCCTGTCGCTAAATTCGTTTGGATTCTTTAGCGTATTTCTAACCATTAAATTTAGTAATGTAGGACGTACTCTTAAGTTTCGTAATTTCAGAAGCTTCCTATTTACTAGCAAGTAGCAATAACAAATTTTGAATTATAGAGGCTTACGTTTCAAGCTCTTAATATCGCTCCATGAGAGTTGGAAGGAGAAGACTCCGGCTTCTGCTTGAAGTTCTGGGATAGTCTCACTCTTGGTCATGAATTGGCTCAATGCGTTAGTGCCCGAGTTGAGGTCTGGAGTGTCTAAGCAGAAGGCAACACCATCGCTTGACATTTGAACCGAGCAATCGATTATGTCAGCCCCATCCTCTACTGCCTGCTTGTAAGCAAGGTCTGTGCTGCCGGGATAGATTCCACTAGCTCCATTTCTAGTTATGATCAAGGAAATCCTGCAAGTTCAAAAATTTTCTCAGGAACTTCTTAACAACCACATCACGCGATTCACAATGCAGCCTGTCATTTATATTAAGCTAGTAGAATCTAATTAATTACCTGTCTTTGGCTTGGTTCCGTTCTTGTTCTGCACAAAGCATGCTGCAGCATGAAGGCATTGGCAGGTTAACTAGGTTATAAATCAAACATTTGCTTGTAAAATTACGAATGTCTGATATGATATCTCACCGATTGCTTCTGATGCTGTAGGAGGGAAATCGGTCAGCAAACCATCAACCGAAAACTGAGAGTTATCGACAAACTGCAGGTACTCAGCTGTGGGATCAAAACTGTAGTTATAAGGGAGAATAACGTCATTGGCAAAACCAGAAGCATGCACTTCTAGCCCTTCTTTGTGAGCATCATTCACGAGTGTCGTGGCTTTCTCCACGTAATTGTTTTTGTTTACAGGCCATATGTATTCTTTCGGGACAAGGATTCCAGCTGCGACTGACTTGATCATTCCGAGCTGCTTCACCAGTGCACTGTACTTTTGCTTGGTTGTCAGTTCTGTTTCTTCGGGGTCAAGGAACTGGAAGATGAGCTTTGTCCTCATTTTGTTCACTTTTCCACCGATGGCTTTCAAGAATCTGATCTCAGGAGATGAGATGTAAGGTATGGGTGCGAATTTGGCTGCCTTTTCGACAAATGACGCCATGCTGATCTTGTGCTCGTTGTAAAATGCATCATACTGCACGCGACACAGAGCATACAGAACACCGAAAATAATGATTCGTAACTAGTGGAGAACATAGCTCTACAAATTAACCAAATGACAGTATAGATCGAGAGAGATACTTGCACATTCAACCAAAATTTATCTGGTTTAGCTCCCAAAGCATCTTCGACAGTAGCGATTGGCAAAATACCATCGAACTGACTTGGTCGCGAATAAATGTTTTGAGTCACTGCAAAAGGAATTGAAGAACATAAAATTAAAAACAACAAAGCATGATTAGTCCTTAAACCACAAAATCTTCGTTTCAAGGACTTACGTGACACATTGTTTAACACCTGATCAGCTGTGAAATCCAACGCAAACCAGCCGCGAATATCCTTCCCGTTCACTTTGTAAGTTTTTTGGCCCTTAGGGTAGAACATAGATATAGTTGTTGTATTATCAAGCAGAATGTTCGACAGGCATATTCCGACGCTATCTTTCGTTAACTGCAGATTGCAGAAGAAGGCAGAGCCCTGCAAACTCAGAGACTTTGCCATATTATTCGCGTAGGTGCTGGCTTCCGGGAAAAGCCCTGAAAACCCGCCACGCGCTATAACAAGAGGCTGTTGACCTGCAAATGTTGAACAAAAAATAGCTTTTGTTGTTCATATCTGTTACAATCTTGTTCTGTTAACATGAATTTTGAACTTGGTTTCTTGAGATGTTGAATTCCTAAGGTCCAAATTGTAACCGAAAAATTGTTATTACCGGTTAAAGTCTGCCATTTTTTCGAGGGAGGCCCCTGAGCTTGAGGTGCTGCTTTCTGTCCTTCATTTGGTGGTTTCGCTGCTAAAGACGAGTAGATCAACAAGGAAACGAAAAGCAAACACCTGATCATGTCTTGCGACCTGTCGCCGATTTAAAAAAAAAATGTATCGATAACATGACAGTACTTTTTCACATCCGAACTATTACGCTACAATGTTCTCATTTTTCATATAATTATCATTAATCGGACAAAAACACTATATGATTCAGATTTATTGCCAAAATCATCGATTTACATTCCAAAATGTGATCCTCCATATGGGGATCGATCGAATCATCAAACAAATGATCCATTCTAAACATAAAAAGCATCGAATGAAAAAACGAATAGAACTTACTCGTAGAGGAATCAAACACTCCCCGTCAAGCTTGTGCAAAACTATCGAGGGAATGCGGTGGAAGAGATAAAAGAAGGGGGTAGAAAAGTGAGAGGTTATGAATTAAATTTTCACCCAATTTTACCTACAAAAAATTTACGTCCAAATAGGTTTTTTGGTTTCATTTTTTACCATTTACTTTGCACACATTTCTCGCATTAATACCAGCCCAGGAATCACTATTAAAGGAGAAGCCAGTTTTTTTAACTGTATTTACTATTTTTGGGGAGTGGCTGAGTTGGATCGCTGTCATTTTTGTTTCGTGGGAAGCAAGGCATATGTATTCTTTCACTTTGAAGTTTCAACGGTTTTTTGAAACCTCTACGTTTTTAAATTTAGACGGTTCTGGAATCCATATGGTATTAGACGCGTGAACTGAAGATGTATAGATCTTCGATTAGAAAGTGTGAGCATGAGACAGAGGCTCAGGGTAAAAGGGGTAGAGAAAGACCAAGGAAGATTTGGAAATATATTTTAAGAAAAGATATGGAGTACTTGGAGCTTCGCACTGGCGTATTAGGATTCATACAACCGACCCGACCTCAGTTAGATAAAACTTTGTTGTTGTAGACGTTTCTCGAATCATTCATTTCGATATTTTTATTAATTGAATGCTAATGACATAATAATGCTCTAAGGCTTAAGGGGTTTAAGTTTAACACAGGTAATCTTCATATAACGCTTTACTTTCGTAACTATCTCATCACGTGAACCACACGTAATTAACCGGCTAATATGAAAGATAAGGTGTATTATATTATATGGCCGAACAGTAATTTTGCTACTCATAACACCAAATATAACCATTAGTCAAAATCAAGTGCTTAATGGAGCGGGCTTCAAATTTTTGTGTTCTTTATAACATGTCACCATGGTAGCTTGGTCAAATTTATAACTTATGCTAAATACAACTATGCACATGAATGTCATTATTTAAACAGATCATTGTAAAGTTGCATGGATTTCTATTTACAAACGTGGGTTATATCACTTAATGGTAAAGAACTCTTTTTATTTATTTATTTTGAAAAATAGAAAATAATAATAAATTATTAATGGGCCTCCAAATTATTTTTTTCGTGTTCAAAAAAACCTTCAAAATGTCCTAAATTATTTTAGGAAACATGTGGTGCGACGTGAAAACTCAAGTTTTGTCTTATATTGAATCTTGTAAAAAATTCCAAGATATATTTGAAAACGTGGGTATATATAACTCACAGTTTTTGTAAAAAAATGAAATTTTTAGTTTTCAGAAATATTTTGGTTGAGAGTTAAGGAAAATGTTCGCAAGACATTTGGATGTGATTATACCATTTATTAGGTCCATAAACTATTTTTTAAATCTGAAACAGAGAAAAAATAATAAATTAATAGTGGGCCCCAAATATTTTTTTATGTGTCGGAAATCTTTGAAATGTCCTAAGTTAATTTTTAGGAAACATTTGGTGTGACGAGAATGACTCAAATTTTCGCTTATAATTAATCTTGTAAAAATTCCCATAGTCGATTACAAAAAGTGGGTTATAAGTTTACTTACAACTCACATTTTTTGTGAAAAAAAAAAAAGAAGAAATTTTTAGTTTTCAGAAATATTTTGCTTGAGAACTAAGGAAAATGTTGCAAGACCTTTGGATGTGATCCTACCATTTATTAGGTCATGAAACTATTTTTTTACTGCTTTTTAAATTTGTGAAATAGAAAAATAATATAAATTAATAGAGGGCCCCAAGTATTTTTTAATTTTTTTGGTGCAAAAATCTTCAGAATTTCCTTAATTAATTTTAGGAAACATGTTGTGCAACTAGAATGACTTGAATTTTCACTTATAATTAATGTTGTAAAAATTCTCAAAATCGATTTTAAAACTAGGTTATAGCTCATAGTTTTTGTGAAATAATTAAAACTTTCAGTTTTAAGAAATATTTTGCATAGAAGCTAATATGTTGCAAGACCTTTAGGTAAGATCCTTAAGCAATTATAAATGTTACATGCTACTTTTACCTCAAGTAATTAACAACATTTATCTAAGTAGTGAATGTCTTATATTTTCGCTGCTTTAAAATAAAATTCCCTCATAATGTCGTACTTCAATATTTTTATTATTATTATTATTTTGGGAAAGCATAAGGAATTAATTTTGTATGCCATAGAAAAAGAATAAGGAATTTTGATTTAAAGGCATCGGTCCAAATTTGATTTCGATTTTTATTTATTTATTTAAATAAAAAAAAAGGAATTTTGATTTAATGGTGGAGGGAACAAAGCAAGTGCACAATATCGCGAGGATCTTAAACCGCACGAGATCCCACCCCACCCGCCAATTGCCAGAACGCAATTCTTACTCTCGCTTTCTTCACCTCTCCACGATCTCAATCTTCAAATCCCCAAATCTCTAAATCCCTAAATCGAACACCAGCTCACAAACTCTGCGTTCAGATCGTGCGGACAGAAAAATCAGAGAAGGAAGATGAAGATCACGGCTTTGCTGGTTCTCAAGTGCAATCCAGACGAATCCGACCCGATCATCTTGGCCAACGCCTCCGATACCAGTCACTTCGGCTACTTCCAGAGGTCCAGCGTCAAGGAGTTCATCGTCTTCGTCGGTCGCACCGTCGCCAGACGCACCCCGCCCGGCCAACGCCAGTCCGTCAAGCACGAAGGTCCGTTCTTGACACCCTCAATTTTCAGGGACCCCTTTTTTCATTAGTTTTTGTTTTCAACTACAATTGCTCATTGCGATTATATGAATTCATGAAATTTTTCGCAATTTGATGAAATCTATGATCGTTCCAATTCGTGTTACAAACTGCTAGCTGATTAAGCTGATTTGATTTGGGATTTGTGGCTCTTGAATTTGGTTGGAACTTCTAGAAATTTGAAGCTTCAATTGGTATTTCGATGCCTAGATTTCCTTGGGCATCAGATTCAATATCGATGCCCGAGTTTGCGGTATGCTTTTACTAGAAACTTCTGTCAATTCGGCACAGATTGTGTAGCTCACAGGTTTAACGTTTATGTTTGCAAATGTAAGCATTTCAATATGCTTATATGAAACCTGAATTTCTTTTTCTTTTTTTTTAATGTTTCTTCAGAGTATAAAGTACACGCTTACAACAGCAATGGTCTCTGTGCGCTGGGCTTTATGGATGATCACTATCCCGTTCGAAGTGCATTTTCTCTGCTCAACCAGGTAACACAATGTTCATTTAGGCATTGCATTTCATTGTTCTGGTCAATATTTAGTTATGTACCTTCATTTGCCATGCCTTGCTTCCCAGGTTACTAGTTACCTAAGATTTCCTTGGTAGTTTGGACTATGTTATGTGAGATATGATTCACGTGGTAGGAATGTTAGTGTTATGTGATTAGGTATATCAGAGTGGCTTCTAGTAGATGGAATTACTAAAATGCTAGCATTGGCTGACACTGGTGAATTATCTGCTAATGTCAATCATGTCTCCCATGGTCTTTACTACTAACCAATTATTGAAGCTACCGTGTTTCGCATTATCGTATTTTGGCGATGGATAGGTTTGTCAGCTTAAGTGGCTCCCTAGCAGAATTTTAGATCCAATTGACTTTGAATTGTTTGTGTCGGAGGTTTTTGCATAGTTGCATACTTTGTTTCATGGACTACTAATATGGTGCTCCTTGCTTGTGTTATCAAATAAGTGATTGATTGGTATGATTTTCAGGTGCTAGATGAATATCAGAAAAATTTTGGTGATTCTTGGAGGACTGCAAAACAGGATGGCACACAACCATGGCCTTATTTGAGTGAGGCTCTGACGAAATTCCAGGTGTGCCTGTTAATCTGTTTTCTACCTCGTTTGTTTAGCTGGACTCATAAGGCAACAGATGGGTTAATCAAGATTATGTTTTCTGTTCTTACGAAACAGATAAGTTTTATAGAGTTATAACTGAAGCTACTTTCTTCTTTCTTTCTATATTTTCAAATTTCAGGATCCTGCAGAGGCTGATAAGTTGTTGAAAATTCAAAGGGAATTGGATGAAACAAAAATTATCCTTGTGAGTATAATGCCTTACTTCAGTTAGATTTTGATCAACGTATTGTTGTAGCTCGTTTTTATATGATCTTTTTATTAGTAGATTATGTACATCTGTCTGTCCTATATCTTTATTTTATTTTAAATATTTATTTAATGTGGACCTCCAATTTGACATGTTTACCTATGAATAGTAATGGCTAAAATAAATCTTCAACTTAATATCATATATGCTGAATTCTTTGCCTGAAATAAGTTGTAGATATCTTTAATGATATAATCTTTACCTGCCATATCCCAGTTCATGTTGGTGACCTCCTACATTTCTCACCCGGCTTATTTTTTTGTTTATTTCCTTGGTACAGCATAAGACTATTGATAGTGTGCTTGCACGAGGTGAGAGACTGGACAGTTTAGTTGAGAAGAGTTCAGATCTTAGTGCAGCATCGCAGGTACATACATAATACTCTTGTGATACATTTACACGTTTGCCGCTGCACACATTCATATAGTATATATCAGCCGATGTCATGTTAATTACCTATAATTTCAAGTGTGACGTCAAGGGATGCATTTGAACATCAAGGTCTAAGTTTATCTTAGTGTGATCATAATTTTTATTTTTGGCAATCTCTTTTACATATCATCGCTGATTGTACTGTACCAAAGATATTAGGGTTATATTTCAAGTTGTGTGTATGGATTATTGAGATCTTTTTTCGCCTCTTGTTTTAAATACTTGGTTGAAGGAAAGGAATGGACATTCCTTCTGCAAATAAATATATGTTAAAACACACTGTATGTGCCCGTTGAAGTTTGGAAAGTTCAACGTGCCAACCAGTGTTTAAATACCTTTAGTTTGTTTCTGATGTGAGTACATGACAACGGTGTTTGTTTGAAACAGATGTTCTACAAGCAGGCGAAACAGACCAATCAGTGTTGTACCATATTGTAAGCTTGTAATGCGAGCAGCAACCCTGTAATGTCGAAGTTGATGGATGACAAATTGATGATTGTAATATGTTGATGTCATTTGTCAGTTGTTTGCTTGGCAGAATTGTGTGAAGTTCCCTCATTTCTTCCGTCTCAAAGAAACGGAAACCAAATATTCATCGAGGCCCCCTGCTATTATAGTATGTTACTGTTTCTGTTTCGTAACATGATTTTACGCCTCCGCTTGCATGTACGTGATATTCGCATTATGATTTATGAAATCTATGTCATTGCTTATTCTTCTGAAGCCGGGTCATCTTTCATCTCTCAGATTGTAGAGCATATGTAGGGAATGTAGAGTTCTATCAGAGACATGCATGAAAGGTCCATGATTGTTATGCTACCGTCTGATTCTATAAGTTAGATTTTTTTTTTTTTTTTTTTTTTACTCAAATTGCATGAATTCCGTCCATTTTAGGAGTGGGAAATGATTTCCGTACATCGTTGTTCTTCTACTCTTCCTTTTATTTTGTACCTCGATTTCCTTTGGTTTAATCTAAGGGCCAGAATTAGACAGGGCTGTGCGTGAAATCACCACGCTTTGCCTGTTGAACTTTAATTGAACATCCATCCATGTGATTGCTATGTTGTAAGACACCTGCTGGTGCCATCACGCAATAAAGAAGCACGTGAATGACGCTAAATGATACAATGGCGTGACAAGTGAGAGTGCATGCTCACATGAATATACAACTGGTGACACGCAAGAATCTCTATGTGATGAGAGAGCGAGAAGGTTGCGGCCGTTACACGCAAGTTTATCGACAAAGACAGAGAAGGATGCAACCGTTACACGCAAGTTTCTCTACCTCCGTAGAGCCCAGGCGACGTTGACACGGTCCACATCCGATCAATTCAACAGTGGTCCTTGAAGACATTTTTTACTAACAAATCATCTCAAAATATCTTCCAGAAAATGCGATCAAAATTCACACACACACGATGCATAATAAAACCAACCTGAAGGAAACTTTAGTGCATAATAACAGTACAAGAACATAATTAACAAAACGACAATACGACGTCGCTGCTAGAGTAAATCTGTCTTTCTTATTTCAAATACAGACATCACAAAACCCCCATACATGTTACTTCTACCGGAGTAGGACTGGTGCTATCAGATTTTCACTATCTTCCGAAGATGGATTTGAACCACCAGATGCCCTTGGTGTCTTTGGGGCCTTCTTCCGCCTCCGGCAGAGTCTCGCTCTGCGGCGTCTTGTGGAGTTTGCTCACGTCGTAACCCTCGTCCGCCGCCCTCTGAACCAGCTGGTTGTATATTTCTTCATCCAGATATGGCTGCCGGTTCAATATCTGCATCCAATTTACCACCCGCCAAAAACAACAATCAGATTTTTACATACGGACTTGGACAAAGCACAACAAAGATTAAAAAAAAGAAGTGTACTACGTGCAAATAGAACCAATTACAAACTTTTAAATCATAAATAGAACTGGAGAAACAACGAGGACAACATAAGGGACTCTCAATTTAATTACAACTTTGTAACCGGTTCTAAATGTGCGTATTTTTCCAAACCGCAGCAAGTAACACAACCAAAAGTACTATGCGTGTATAGAAAAAGTTACAAACTTTTAATCAACTTTTCGTACAAATTACGAACTTTTAATCTTTTGTTCGAACTTTTAATCAAATTTTAAAAACGATATAAATACAGATCGTCGACACTAACCAAATGACAAAGGGGCTCTTCTCATTTTCTATTAAAAGTTTGTAACAGGTTCTATTTGCGCTTATTTTTCAAGCGACAACTCTAAATTTATCAAAAATCAACAAAAATTAGAATAAATTAATATAAAGGGTTACTCTAAGGCAAAAGGTTTCTCGCTTTGCGAGAACGACATAATATCTATCATACGCAATCTTATCTTGCTTTGTATAGGGATATTTTTTCACGAACCGTGATCTTTCGGTCACAAAATAAATTAACATAATATATTAAATTTTGGTGCTAAATTTAAACGTAAATACGAAATGCATACATACCCAAAGATAATTCCTGCTAGGTTGGCCAATCAGCGCATACTGATAATCCTCATCGATGAACAAAACCCAGTAATCCCCAACGACAGGAATGATCGGCAGAAATGGAGGCACATAAAACTTCACCTTCAGCTTCGCCTCGTCGCTCGCCGGGTCAGCCTTGTAGGCGGTGCCCTCGATGAACCCCCTCTTCCCGTCGGTCCAAGTCTCGTTCAAAACATTCACGGTGGCGCCGTCTTCTTTCAGAGTGTACGTCGCCCGCGTGTTCTCGCCGCTCTTGGGCTGAAACAGCGACGGAAAGGAGGCAATCTCGTACCACCGCCCCATGTAGCGCTGCACATCCAGGCCCTTCACGACTTCCATCTCCTTCTTCGTCGCCATTGTTGCAGATGCAGTGTTTGTGTTTTGGTTTGTGCGGGAGTTCGTGAATTTTGGGTGGGGGGTTTTGTGAGGATAAGGTGTGTGCAGGTGGCGGAGTTTTAATGGGTTTTTTGCTTCGGGCAAAAGGTAAAGTGAAAGGACGGGGACGTGGGGGTTTGTGAATGGTTGACTTCCGGAAAGGGCCGAATCCCTTTCTCTAGCATAATAACGCGTTTATAATTCGTAATAAATGGCATAAATCAGGAGGAATAGTAAGTAATAATGACTGAGATGACACAGAATCAGAATCATGTTGAGTTGTTTCTAAATGTCCAAGTCGATACAATTCAAACGCGTTTAGTAATTCAGAGAATCGGAATAAAACCAATATGATGCTAAATCTGCTCATCAAAATTTTCTGTTTTTTTTAATAAATTGTTGAATTTGTGAAAAATTAATGCTTTTTATTTATCTACTAAAATGATTTGTTATTTTTTATAATTAAGTTGCTTTAATCTAAATTTTTCGTTAAGTTGTATTTTTCTCTTTGGATATGTTGTTGTGCATAATGTGATTGACATGTTGCTTAATATAGTCAATTTTAAATAAAAATATTTACAATAATTTCTGACCGCATAATATACGATGAACGGATGTGATTTGAGGGTTCCTAGGATCCTCACAAAGAGGATCCAACGAATATCCTCTCTCTCAAAATCCATGTTTTTACAGTTGCATTTGTTTTAGCAAAACTGCTACTCGTACTATATTTTTTATACCATATTTATACCACATTTCTAAAACAAAGAGTATGATTTTCTTCTCTTCAAATTCTCTGTCCTCCCTTCCCTCCTCGAAGGCAGGAGAATTTAGAGGAAAGAGAATCCTACACTCCTTATTAGAGATGAGACTCATATGTATCTACAAGTCTTACTTCTATTAGACCCACATGTGTTGGTGGGTCCTACCTCTATTAGAGAAATACAAATGTGGTATAAAAAAATGTGGTAAGTGTAGCATTAATACTGAGAATTCGAGAAATTACTCTAAAGGTAGTTTATGTTGATCGTGCTGCTATGTGAGAAAGTTGAAACACATAAATGTTTGTTATTGGTCTAAAACATTGGTATAGTAACATTTGTTGTAGGTAAATATCTCTATGTTGTTTTGTCCTTAATTTTTAAAATTTGGTACACTCATTTTTCTTGTATCACACTCTCATGTTATATATATATATATATATATATATATATATATATATATATCACATTATGTTAAAACTTCAAAAGTGTTTCACCAATTCATTACTAATTACATCGATATTGTTTTCGAATTAATTATCTGAAGGATCAACTTTGTACAAAAGTATCGATACAATTAATAGGATAACCGTTCAATATAAGTGACATTTAACTTCATCAGATTTGGAAAATATGATTCAAAACTTTCCATCTCAATTTTTTTTAATTTTTTTTATTTGAAGAGGATGGAACCTTAAGGAGGAAGAAAAAGCAAGTTGTGATGATAGCTTGAAACTTGAAAGAGAAGCAAACTTGGTCGGAAGCATTAGGCATGTCACTCCCATTGCCTTATGAAACCAAGAATTCTATGATCATATATCAAAATCAAGGGTCTACCAAGGTCTAAATGTGTCAAAATTATTCATGGACCCACATCCACACATGGATGATAACTGATAAGATTAATCCTACAAGTATAAACATGATATTTCTTGTAAGTTAAGACAACATAAATATAGAAATTAACAAGCTAAATTAGAGAACCATCACATGGTGCCCCAATAGTTGGGGGACAATTTAAGGTTCGTATTTCATACGGCACATCCTAGGTTCAATTCTTAGTTAGTGTGAATCACACGATAGTGGCTACGGGAAGACAGAAATACCTATGTGCATTTTCTTGACCCTTAGAAGAATTGACTGCCGCGGCGAAACCACCAACTAGTCCCATTTTTAAAGGGAAAGAAAGCTAAACTAGAGAGGAAATCAATGTTTTAATTGATTATTGATTAAAAGCACAAATATATTTTATTCAGTTTCTTTATTCATAGCTAATTAGTTATAGTATTTGTTTCTAGAGGACTTAAATCGCATAGGTTGTTCAATTTTGATTTCTATCATTAAATTCATAGTGTGAACTAGGCTCATAATTGAGTTACGTCAGTCGATCAGAATAATTATGTTCACTTACTTGCATTCAAGTTCAAACGTATTGCATAGAACTTGTAATTCAGCTGGTTAATACTAAAGAGCATTATCCAATCTATGAACACAGTTACATAGGTGAGTCTGATTCTCCACAACTAATATCACTCGTATAAGAAAAATGTTTGAATTATCCTCCTAAAAAATTATGCTTTGTTAAAAAAACAAAACCATAAACATGGATATCGGGCCTTGTAGCCCATTTTTGGCTAGAGTTGACTGCTTTTCATACGGGCCTATTCAAGCCCATCTTTATTGGACTGAAATTAAGAAACCCCCAGAAACCAACAGCCCGCCACAAGGTAAGAGGTAAAATGTTACAACAGGCCCGCCCGAACACAGATATAAACTCGCACTCCCATTTTAAAATGAACCAGCGCATGAGTCAGGTAAATGAACCGGCTGAATTAACAAGCAGCTGGTGACTCAATGGTAAAGAGGGGATTACGAGGTTTCTTTAGAACTAAAAATTGAAAGTTTCGGGTTTGAAATCCACTACTGGTGTGGAAGTCAAATTTGTGATTAGAGGAAGGCTAAAATGTTCTGTGAGTTTTCCCAACCTCTGAAAATGATGGATAACCGTAACCTATTACCAGTTATCATTTTTTTAATAAAAAAATAAAAAATAAACCGGTTGAATTTGCGATCATATTTATACTTTAATAAAGATTTTAATTTATACTTCGGTGCATGCTAGAAAAACCGCTTTACCAGCTAAACCAAACCACAACAAAATTCTGGCTGGGTAGCATTAGTATTTTGCATGATTACAGCACATTAATGTGGATGTGGAGTAGTGCCACTGAGACTTCTTCAAAGACAGTTTAACTCAGTTTCCCTCCCTCTCTCTCTCTCTCTCCCCTATTTAAGATTCATAACTCAGTTTCTCTCTCTCTCTTTCGCAGGAGAAATTTTTAATTACGACAGGAACATAAGTGTCATATTACGTGTGTGTTAGTAGGAGTGGTAAAAAATTTTATTTTTTAAATTATTAACATTTTAGCACACATATCTTATCATTTGTATAATAACACGTGATATTTCATTCAATCACTGAAAAATCTCTCATTTCCCAGTTAGATCGCACTTTCCCCAAAATACACTAACACACCCACACCTAGAGAGAGAGAGAGAGAGAGAGAGAGAGGAGAGAGATGTCAAGGCGATCTGCTACCTGTTTGCGGTGCTGTTTGGTGGTGTTTGCTGTGGTTTCTGCATTGGGGGTTTGCGGGCCGGCCTTGTATTGGCGGTTCAAGAAGACCATAAAGTTGGGGGATTCTAAAATCTCTTGCCCTTCTTGCAACTGCGATTGCCCTCCTCCTTTGTCTCTCCTCAAGATTGCTCCTGGTAATCCTCTCTCTCTCTCTAAAATATGGGTTTTTTGTTGTTTTGGATCCGATTTCTTATGTTTTTGTTCTGGGTTCTTCTGAAAGTATGGATTTTTATTGATTGGAATGAAATTAATGCTTACCCATGTCATCAATTTGGGGTTTTGATCTTTATTTTTGCTAATTTTGGATTTGGAGCTGCTAATGTATTGGATTATGTGTGACAAATGGAACCCAATTCAGATTTAGATTTGCTTTTCCTCTTGTTCTGATTAAGCTGAACAGAGAGAAATTGCTATTACAATTCAGGTTTAGATTTAATTTTCCACTTAATTGTGTCTGATTTTAAGCTGAACAGAGTGAAATTGGAATTTCCCTGATGATAGATTTGTGGCATTGAACCCAGTTCATGGTTTTGAATCATAATTCGATTGAATTTCAAGTAAAGTTGAGATCTTGGCCATTGTAGCTTTGACTTGCTATATACACATTGTGCAAACTATGGTTCTTGAAATGTAGATACAGCATCTACCTGCATATCATATATGAACTGTTTAAAATTACCGAGGGCTGTATGAAGTCTTTCTGATCTGAGTTTATGGATCCGCGATGTGCTCCTTTTTTGGAAACATAACATTGCACTAGTTCTGCACTCAGGTTTAGTTAACCATGTTTGTGATTTTAATCCATGGGTTCCTGGAAATCTTGTTTGATCATACGACTGTTGAATATTCTTAGTGTGCAGTTACTCGAACTGGGTCGAACTGAGGGAAGAGGGGGTGCAGGTGGTTGTTTTAACTATCTTGTCATAAATGGTTGTTCGCATATTTGATGGATTGTTTTACTACCCGTAGAAGAACTAGAGCTACAACAATTTAGGGCTTTTAATTTAGATTGAGCATTTGTCGTGGTATTTTAATGGAGTCTTGATTTGTGCATATTGAGACTTCGCTTTTGATTTCCTTATCTTCTTTCAAACTAATGTAATCTGGGAGTTTATTTTCATATGTATAATGACAAATGTCATGTTTTTGGTTTTTGTTCCTTTGCAGGATTGGCCAATCTCACAGTCACAGGTTAGAATGCCTCCTACCATTCAACGTCTTGCGTTATTTCTTTTTCTGCATTCCTGGTATGTCTTGTGATCTATATATACGGGTACATGGATGTAATGAGTATTTTGTTGACGAACAGATTGCGGAAGTAATGACCCAGATCTGAAGCAGGAGATGGAGAAGCAGTTCGTGGACCTTTTGACAGAGGAATTGAAGCTGCAAGAGGCTGTTGCCGCAGAGCACACCCGTCACATGAACATCACATTTGCTGAAGCAAAGAGGGTGGCTTCTCAGTACCAGAAGGAAGCAGAAAAGTGCAACGCTGCAACTGAAACATGCGAGGAGGCAAGGGAGCGCGCTGAGGCATTGCTCATCAAGGAGAGAAGGGTGACTTTCTTGTGGGAAAGACGAGCCCGTCAAATGGGTTGGGATAGTTTGTAAACTTCGATTTCAAGTTCTCGTTCGGTTTAACTACTGATTCGTCTCTCTTCGCAATATTTATACATACAAAACCAAGCAAATTGCATGGTCTGTTTCTTCCCCTGTTACAGCATAATTGCTCTCTCGCTCTCTTGCAATTGTAGTTGTACTTGTACTGCCCACAAATGGCATATAGTTACCAGATTTTTAACCTATGAACAAAATGTTATGGATCCCTTGGCCCATTTTACTGCTAGTAAATTAATTTATGCCACGGTAGAAGTGTGATTGAAAATATTCATATCAACATGTAATACTTGCATATAATGGACGCGATAGAATTCGAGGACACATGCTTTTGATACACGTTTCTGTGGAGTTCACTCTGTAATGTATTTCAATGATACAACCATCTATCTTTTGTCTTACATTATGTCCAACAAAAATCATTCAAATTAAAATCATATGATCGTTGGATAAATGTATGTTTCTTTGTAGAACCGTATTTGTCAATTTTCTTCACTATACTATAAATGAATGTCTTGGAGCTCGTTTGGATGTGTTTTTAAAATGACTGAAAGGGCTTTTGGTGAAAATCTTTTTGAGAACAATCCTTAGTAAAAATGTTAACAAATCCTGGAAAAGCACTTAAAGTGCTTCATGGAAGAAGCACATAACTGGTGCTTCTTGTAAAAAGCACTAAAAGTGCTTCTGGAACCCATGAACATTTTCTTTAAAAGCGCTTTCAGTCATTTTAAAAGCACATCCAAATCAGCCTTTAATGATTTTGAATACATCCAGTACAAAGATAATCCGTTAATGATATTCTAAATACAAACGATTCGATCGTTAAAATACATTACAAAGTAAATATTTCAAATGAGTGTAAAAAAAAATGATGTATCCTCAGATCTTAATTCATATATATATATATATATATATTATATATATATATCAACTGTATTTTCTATTAATTTATTGCTTCCACATGTTAGCATCACGTGTTATGATTACTAAGGACACACAAATCATGGATTGTCGACAACGTCATCTTTAATTCTCACTAAAGCATAAAATTCTTGATATTAATCTTACACATGTCTTATCTAGTATGAGAGTTCTATTAGGAGAACCTTATTCTACTTAATTTTTTTTAACCCGATTATATTAGATCTCACACCATCCAAATGAGGTCAAAACATTAAATATAATACGAGAAATGCTAAGGGAACTTTAAAAAAATGAGATTCTTCATAGACTCTTTGTCGCTTTATAGTTTAACATCAATTTTCGTATCAACCTTATAAATATTGTGTTAAAAACATAAAGTGACAGAATCCATAAGTCTCACTTTTAAGAAAGCTATTTGCATTCATCTCATATGTTTATCTTAAAACATATCATTTAGTTTATAATTTAATCTAAAAATTTAGTTTTTGAAGAGTTATATTTTCTTGGGTAATAAAAGAAGGAAACGAACACAACTACAACTTGTAAAAATGGTCATTTCTGTCGGCGGATGAGATAAGCAATTGACTTCCTTACACACATCCACGCACAAATATAATATTACCAAATTCAAAAGTTGCACCGAAAGACGGGGTTCGGACTTTCAACGTCCATGCACTCACAGCCAGAGGAGAGAGAGAGAGAGAGCAAGCAGAGGAGAGAGAAGGCACCATCAATCCCAGCTGTGAGCCTCTGACGTTGAATTATATACACAAAAATATTATAACACGCAAGAACCCAATAATATATTGTGTTTCGGATCAAATATAATATAAAAAAATCGATATAGATCCACCAAAAACTCAACAAAAAGATCTATCCAAGCAACACCCAGATCACAAAAGAACGCAGAAGCAACTTTTTTGTCCTTTGGGATCTCAAAAGCTGGAAACTTTGCGGTTCCGTTTGTTGTTTTGGAGTTAAATTTGTTGCGTTCTTCTGTTCTGTTAAGTTTCTTAAGTTTGGGAAGTGCTTTTGGCAACGGGAATTTTTGGATAAGTTTCTGAAAATGGAAGGTTCGGGGAGTACGAGGGTGGAGAAGAGAGCGTATGAATTGGATGCCGATGCAGATGGTCATCCCCCCGAGCCGAAGAAGCAGAGATTGCCCACTTTGGCAAGGTTTTTATTCTTTCTTTCCTTTTTTTTTTTTTTTTACTTGATTTTATGCTTTATTATTTTTTATTTTGTTAATAGGTGCTAATTTGGTTGTTTAAGGGTTTAATCTTCTGGATTAGTGTTGGTTTTTGGGTTAATCGATTAATCCTATTGAACTTAGCGAATTTGTAAGTGAGAGGTCCGAGTTTCATGACGAGTTCGATGTGACTTGGCTCAAATCTCCGACTCCCAATGTCTTTGAATTAAAATACTATGAAAGTAATATGAAGATCGTAAACTGTTGACTAATGCAGTCATATGTAATAAGTCGATGAATGTAGTTTTGTGCTATTGAAGCTGATACTCTGTTCACCTGACTAGCTTCGGTCTAGCGGTATTTCTCTAAAGAAACAAGTTCAAACTAGTGCTCAGTAATAGCAGTTGTTTCAAACTTCGAACTTTCGTGTTAAGTTTAACTTCACAACATCAAGAGTTTGATTAAAAGTTGTAAATTCATGTCCTCATATTGAATTATCTAGTGATTTTTGTGTTCCTGTGGCTGAAAGTTTCCTGGTATTTCATCCAAAATTGTAGTTAAGTATGTTAAGTGCGATCGAGTCTGTAAGTTTAATCTTATCGTTGAATGATCTGTATGCAAGTATTCGATATTCTTTTTTCGAAATGTTATTGTTTATACAGTTGAATGCTATATGCAGTGTAATTGTGGAATCTTTGAAGGTAGATAGCTTGCAAAGACTTTGCTCATCTTTGGAGCCTCTTCTCCGCCGAATTGTGAGTCGGATTGTTACTCTTTGCATCTTAGAATTTGAGTCAAATGTTGAAACTAACTGCGCTTTTTCACTTTTCCAACCTGTGCTGCTGCTGCATAGTATTTCCCGGGCTGCATTTTGCTCGAAACATGTATTGTTTGCAGCAAGATCTCACCCTTTTGATCATTCTGAACTTTCTTTGAGTAACAGGTTAGTGAAGAAGTGGAGCGAGCTTTGACAAAGTTAGACCATGCTGAACTGGCTGGAAGGTTTGTTCCAACCATAGTATTTAGATGTTTCCGACTCTCCTTGTTCCTTTCGAGTCCTAAACTATGCTTTCTTCTTCGTATTTTCATCAGTTATTGTGTTTTTGTCTTTATTTTTCTTCGAACTGTGTATTTGGTTGAGGTCGGGGTGGGAAGCCCATATCAGTGAATTTATTGTTTGCATTTTCGGAAATACTGCAGGTCTCCACCACCGAGAATACAGGGTCTAGAAGGAAAAACCCTGCAACTACAATTTAAAACAAGAATGCCACCTCACCTATTCACAGGTGCAAAGGTTGAAGGAGGGCAAGGAGCAGCGATTCATGTTGTCTTGGTCGACCTCAGCACAGGCAGTGTTATGCAAACAGGACCCGAATCTGCTGCAAAACTGAATGTTGTGGTGCTGGAAGGTGACTTCAATGAGGAATCTGAGGATAATTGGACAAAAGAACACTTTGAAAACCAGGAAGTAAAGGAACGTGAGGGGAAAAGGCCTCTTCTGACAGGGGATCTACAGGTTGTTCTCAAGGAAGGGGTGGGTACTCTCGGAGATCTTACCTTCACCGACAATTCTAGCTGGACGAGGAGCAGGAAATTTAGGCTCGGTGTTAAGATTTCCCCTGGATATTGTGAAGGAATTCGTATTTGTGAGGCTAAAACGGATGCCTTTTCTGTTAAAGATCACAGGGGAGAATGTGAGTTGTCTGAAACTTGCTATTTTACCCTTCACTTAATATGCATCACACTTTAGGCTTTAGGAAAATTTTGGTATAAAAAGGTCACTTCACCCTCGATTTCCCTTTTCGACAAGATACCTGCAAAAAGCTTATCTAAATCAAGTTTCTGTTTCTCTAATTTTAAGTGTACAAGAAACACTACCCACCAGCTTTGCACGATGAAGTCTGGAGATTGGATAGGATAGCAAAGGATGGAGCTCTGCACAAAAAACTGATGAAGGCTGAGATCATAACCGTTGAAGACTTCCTTCGCCTTCTTGTCAAGGACCCACAGAAACTAAGAAGTGTAAGTATCCCTTGCACTTGTTTCTGAACATCATTTTCTCTTTCTTTTTCGGGTATTCTTATTCTGTATTTCGGAATATAGATGCTTGGGAGCGGGATGTCCAACAGGATGTGGGAAAACACAGTCGAGCATGCCAAAACTTGTGTCTTGGGTGGAAAGCTCTATGTTTACTACACTGATCAGGCTCATGGCACGGGTGTTGTTTTCAATCACATTTACGAGCTCAGGGGACTTATCGCTGATGGGCAATTTCTTCCCTTGGAGTCACTCACCCACACTCAAAAGGTCAGATGATTTTTATTATTTAGAAACATTATGATAATTTTGCCTCTTTCAACTCGGCTCACTCAATTGGAGCCCTATACGCAGGTTTCAGTGGATTCTCTGGTTAAGAGAGCGTACGATAATTGGCAACAAGTCATAGAATATGACGGCAAAGTCTTACATGCTCTCGCTGGAAATAAAAAGGTCACGAGAGCCTCACCTGCACCCGTGGCTGACTACAACAACTATGCTATAATGGATCACCATTCTGCATCTACTCAGAATAGCCAGCAGCAGTACCCCCCTCAATTCAGCCAACAGTTCCAACCCGAAAATAACCACCCATCCGTCTCTCAGTTCATTGAATTTCCATTTGTGAGTTCCAACCAAACAACGTTGATCAAATTTAATGACCCAGAACCAGCAGCATTGCCTAGCAGCACGGGTTACATGCCATCTGCTGGCGGTTCAGATTTTTCGGGAGATTGGACACGGCCAAACTACGGGAATGGATTGGACGATTTTGTTGCTGATGAAATCCGGATCAGGAGTTCAGAGATGTTGGAGAGTGATGACATGCAAAGACTGCTCAAGACGTTTAGTATGGGAGCCGGCGTAGGAGCAGGAGGAACTGGTTTTGGTGCTTCTGATGAGTCTTGTTACAATTACAGTGTACAATACGAGCCTCAGATAGGCCAGCCGTTCAGGAAGGAGCACGCGAAGAGCTCAGGGAAGGCTGTTGTCGGGTGGCTTAAGCTCAAAGCGGCTTTAAGGTGGGGGATTTTTATTAGGAAGAGAGCTGCAGAAAGGAGAGCTCAGCTTACAGAGCTAGACTAAATCAAATGCTAGGGTGATTGTTTAATTCCGTTTGCTTTGCAGAGACGAGACCACGAAAAAGAGAACGAAAATTAGGAATTTAATCATGTGTTGAAATATTTCAGCGTTCTTTTATCCTTGTGTATCCAGAATTTGTTTGATGCTGTACGAGGCATGAAACACCCGGCATATATCATAATTTTCGTGACAGCGTTTTGATGCTGTAGGAATATATGTCATCACCGTATTTGACTCATCATGTGACTTGTAAAATAGGGCGACGATGTATATTCCCGGTTACAAAAAAGTCCCGCGTTACGTGATCAGGTTGGACCTGCCTGCGAGGAGGCAGTCTTACTGGTCCAGCCTGCTACTGCAAGTACTTGGATTAAAACGACTTGTAGCTCAGTTGATTAAGACTTTTTCTTTCACATGAGTTCTCCGAACTCCCTCCCCCAGTATCGTTCGTATAAAAAATTACATTTGTTGGGCCAAGAAAGTAAATCAAAGCATATCAACCCATGTAAGTTCTCTTCTGAAAAGCTCAGTTCTATAAATATTATACATGAAATCCAGATACAAGGGAAAGCAAACCAACCTCTTAAATTTTAGATGCAAGTTCATTTTCTATCTCGAAAAATCGTCATTCGACTCTGAACTTGATCTGGATCAAACACTCTACATATGACTCCTAATTCGATCCCTTCGCCTACCAAGAAAACTACCGAGCTGAATGCATAGCTAACCTTGTCTGCCAAACACTGGGTAGTCAGTCCATCATGTAAGCAATCACAGCTATTCATGGAGACGGGGGGCTCACAGTGCAGTGGAACTACCTGTCTCCATTTTCTACTTCTCAAATCATGTACTATAAAAACCAGCTACTTCTTTCTAAATCTCAAGCACTTATTGTGTTTTACTTCTGTGATGCTTCCATCAGAAGTGAGTTGTTTCTTCGCCTTTTGTGGTTTTGTGTGCGCGAGTTTCTCCATTGCGTTTATGAACTTGCGCAAGTGCTTTATGTACTCCGGAAATGTTTCGAGGTTGCAGTGGCCTCCACCCTTCACCCATAATGGATCATATTTTTCCTTGGATAGTTCCCACAAACGCTTTCCGTGGGACAAGTCAACAATTTCATCCTCCGTTCCCTGCAAATAGTAGCGTATCAATGAATCAAATTAGACGCACCCATTAATATGAGAACAATCGGACAGAATCAAACCAGAAGTGTCACAAATGCTTCAATTACATATTTACAAAATTCAGAATCTTGCCGTAATTTCTGAAGTTAAAGCATTTTTGTCGGAAGTTCAACCCAATAGAGGTGTCTAAGAGTAATTCTTCCTTTCGTCAGTTGCTTCTTGATGTTGATATGAAATCCTCTTTCTCTTCTGATAATATGATTACCATTTTTTCACTTGTTATGACAATTTCTCTTCTCAATTTAGCTGATAACAAACGAGGTTTTTAACGTTGAGCTGTAGTTTAATGTTCTTCATTCTTAAGTTACGACTTTTTGATGGTTTTCATCAGACAAGATATACTACACAAGGGCGGGAAGATTAACGACATTAGAACCACAGCACAAACTCTTTGAATTCTAAAGAATGATACTCAAACAAAATAGTTTTAAATGAATGAAGGAAATAGGTACTTACATGAATAACTAAAACCGGACAGCTGACATGCCGTATTTTGTCTATATTCTGAAAACATTGCACAGGGCTTGTCAATACAAATTCAAGTAACCGAGCCTTGCAGCAGAATTAAGCAATTCAAAGAAGACGAGTCGAACTTACTTTGAAAATGTCGAACCAAAATGTCAACTTGACAGGATACAAGACTCGTATGCCTGAAAGGATGGCACTGTGAAGAACAACGGCTCTGAGTTTTTTCAAGCGAGAAGCCAAGTGCAGTGTTGGTCCGCTTCCAACAGATTGGCCATACACTATCAAATCCTCTTGTCTAATTTCATAGTCGCTCTTTAAACAATTGTACACGGCTTCTATGTCATAGTATGTGTTGAACTCAGATGGCTAAACAATCACCAACATTAACACATTTCAGTCGTAGATTTTCGCTACGATGGTCAATAGATCGACATAATTCTGCACTAACGACTATAAACGCAAACTAACTCCATCGATACTCAATACTTACCTTACCAGTGGATGCTCCATATCCCGAATAGTCATAACTGCAACAAAGAAAACTATGTTAAGTAAACCCGGGAAGGCCTTCACATCACTGAAACACAGTGAATTAGAAAAAAAATTACAGCATATCATCTGCATTTTACATTCAAAGTACATTAGTGAACTCTCAAGTGCTTAACAAATGGCGGCAGAGGAATTTCTATGACGAGGATCGCTCTCATCCTACGCATCCATTCCATACCAACCCCGCCAAAAAGCATTAAAATAAGAAAGCTACACGATCAATCAAACAGTTTTAGCTTACACTGTTGTTTGCCGGAACAATCAAATGTTGAAATTTCAAAGAATATAAAGACCAACAACGTTAGACCAACAAATATAAAGAAAAATTAGCGTGCGTATTGGCCGCCGTTGTTTACTGGAACAATCAAACGTTGAAATTTCAAAGAATGCTAGCATGAACAGATAATCTTGTCAAAGAAACAAACGAAACATATCAAACGTGGAAGCAGAGGAGCATCCATATTTGAAAAATCAAACACCAAATTCAGAAAATTTATTTCAAATAAGGCAGAAAACAATCAATAAAACGGAAAAAAAATAGAAACCAATACCAAAATAAAATTAAAAAGCTGAATAGGTGTTCCATGAACATTTCTCAAAGCAAAAAACAGAAACAAAGCACAGAGAGAAAAATAAAGGAGCAAAAAAATACCATTTGATGTTTATTAATTTAAAAAACAAAGCCAATCCATCAATCAAAATCCAGAACAGAATCCAAAACAAGCAAAAACAAAGCGATTTGAAGCTCAAGCGGTTAAGAGCGTTTATCCTTTTCACCTCCAGAGGTCTTTAGTTCGAATCCCGTATCTTAATACCTCTCCTATCATGAAATAAAATAAAATAAAAAAAAGGGGGAGAATTTAAATGCAAGAATACCTCATAATATTGACACGCAGGTGAGCCCTGAGCTCAATGAAGAGCTCGTGCATCTGCCCCAAGTCCGCCGCATTCCCATGCGAGTATAGCAGCGTGAACCGCGCGAACGGGTGCCGCCAAAACGTCGCCACGATCTTGTTCCCGCCCTTCGTGTCCAGCAAATGCACCTCCATGTTTTTGTCCGCCGTCACGCCGGAAAACACCAGCTTCCCGCCCTCGTCCTTGTACACTTCGTACGTCGGCGGGTCCGGCGGGAAAAACGCAAACTTGGCCGCCACGCCCGCCGTCACGTTGCCCATTAACGCAGACCCAGCTGCAGACAAATCGAGTTCTACCAATCCTTGCTGTCCTTGTTCATCGTGAGAAAATTAAAACTCCAATAAATAGAAGAAAAAAAAAATTAAATCTTTATTATTTGTTCTTCTTTTTCTCTGTTTTTTAGAACAAAAGAAGGAAAAAAAAAATAAAGATTTAATTTTTTGAGGGTGGAGGGTTTTGGATTGCGTGAATTTTTTTTACTGGGGATGATGGAAAGCAGAAAAAAAACCAGGTGGGAGGTGGCGTCAGATGAAATTAAAGGCGAAAGGTGGTGGTGGCAGAAGATAGATCCGATCTTGGCGGGTGAGCTGGAAATTACGGATTACCTGCTGGAGGAGAGGGGGAGAAACAAATTCAGAAGCTGAAAAAACAGAAATCTTACGTTAAAATTATGACAACATTGTTCATTGTCTTTTGTTTTTGTGTAATAATAAGGATGCCTTTTTTGTTGTTGTTGTAAACAACAAGAGTAGGTTGATGACGATGCAGACTTGGTATATTTATATCAGTTGACGTGACGGCCCCTTGTTTTTTTCAAGAGTGTATCGTGGTGTTTGGGAAGGAAAATTCTCTATCCTCGTATTTTCATCTCCTTCGTCTCCCTCTCTTATATATTACATTTTATCTTATTATCTTTATAAAAAAATTAAAAATCAATATAAGATATTGACGTGACTTAACCGTGACCGTATAAATAGAAGGACATGAAAGGATAGAGAGTTTAAAAGGGTAAAGAATCCTCCTCCAATGTTTACTCTTCCTATTGATTGTTGGGATAAATATCTGGAAGACGAATTTTCGTATTTATAGTTAAACTGGCCCCACAACGTTATAACTTTTTATTTAAGGGTGTTGCGAGTTTGACCACATGGTGCATTTCAGTGTGCTCAAAATACGAGCACATGTGCCATATGTCGGTATATAAACGGAGAGATATTTTGATAAAAAAATATTTTTTTGTTTATATAATAATATATGACGTATCAACCTGTTGAGAAATCTCTCGTGGACATGGGTGTAAATTTGTTTGTGATTAGATTAATAATTGAGACACTAAATTTTACTGGCTTAAAACTGATAAAAATGGTTGAGTTCACCACTTTCAAGATATTAAATAATTGTCATTAGCAACGGTTTCATGTCTGATAGAATTGATCACTATCAAATAAGATTAAAAGACATTTAAATGTTCTCTAATAGATATGTCAAATACAATGTGGCAGTTGAGTTATTTGATTTCTTATTTTTTAGTTATCTTTTTTGACAGCAAACAATGGAGTCAAATATTTTTTAATCTAATTTTTTTAATTCATGTGTCCCATTAACAACCAAGAGAATAAAAACTAAAATTGATTTTGATTATTTTTTAATAGTTATTGTAACTCTGAGCCCAATAAAATACATATTTGACACATCTAAGGAAATTCTATCAACGGTTCTATAATGGTAACACGAGAATTAACATTAAACTATGAAGTATCAGACTTTCTATGAAGCATTCCACTTTAAAAGAGCATCCTTAGCATTTCTTTTATAACATAACAATACTTCAGCTGCAAAAGAAGATTGGTAATTACTAATTACTCGTACATGACCATGAAGCTACTAATTATCGCAGGGAATAGTTCAGTAAAACGAAGTGTAGTAATTACTAATTATTGCAGGAAATAGTTCAATAAAAAAAAGCAGTGGAAGGCAATCGGTTGAACATGAAGCTATATATAATAAAATATATCATCTTAAACAGTTTAAAAACCAGCAAAATCGCAGGTAAAATTTACTAGTTACTATTTTATAACCAAAAGGGGAAGGAAGCAGTAAATGAAAAGGGCAAAGAAGTGGATGGACAAATGGACGGACGAGATTCAGTCAAAGACCATGGGAGGATCTTGGAAGAAAGGGAGAAGAGCGGCAGAGACGTCAGAGTCAGACATTCCTCGTTCTTTTGGATTTGGATTCCATTCGGATCTAAATTATAGAAATTCTAACAATTTTTACATTTTAATCATTCATCTTACATTATACGATTAAAAATTATTTTATTTTTTATTTAAAATTAAAAAAAAATCTAATAAAAATTGGTCACACGATGTACAATAAATAGTTAAAATGTTAAGATTTGTAGAATTCTCACAATCCTCTTCCATTGCTTTTGCTTAAGCCAATGTTTTACCAAAAGACGACACTTGGTTTGCCTGCCAATGACTTTCCTCCTTCAGTCAGTGCTTTGAACTACCTACATAACCCCCGATTTTGATAACTCCAAAAAAATAAAAAATTAGATAAAATCAACAAAGGGCCCTTTTTGATAAAACTTATTGAGAAAGGTTTAGTTCTTCAAGGTTTAGGAGTTTCACTTTAATTCACTTAATGGTCGGGACCGTTCATACTATAAATTATTTTGAAATTTTTATGAAAAAGGATTAAAATTAAGGGTGTTTCGTCAATCAATTGTAGTAAATAAATAAACGGTTCATAATTCATTTATTATATCTTTTGATGACAAAAATGGTTTCATATGTAACAGACTTTTTGCAGAAATAATCTCTATATAATGATTTATGATATAAATAATTTTAATAATAAGTATGAACTTTCATGAATCAGCTACGTAGAGAAGCCAAGTTAATTCCAAACTTATTAGTTCAAAAATCCAAATCATCTAGTTTTCATTAAGGAATTATGATAAAAAGCTAAACAAAGTGATGTTTGCATAATTATATATAAAAAAAAGTAGCATATGTCACATCTGTCATTTTATTATGCAAAAAAATAAATAGAGTGCGGATTCTTGTCGGATTCTTTTTATAAGGATTTTAGGGATCCTTAAATAACATCTGTTCATCGTACCATAAATTATTATAATTTTTTTATTTAAAATTAAATATAAATAGTATATGATAAAAACTAACCGAATAACGTGCAATTAAACATAAAAGATAAGGATGTCATCAACGATGAAATTAATTGAGTAGGCTTTAGGACTAGAGTAGGGGACTTTTGTGCTTTAAGATGGGGACCAAATCAATGAACATGAAAAGCTCAATAGAACAAACATGATGATATTCATCATGTGTTTGATGAAATATGTATGTTGTCACGCAATATTAGGGACTTCTTTGTACAAATTTGGGCTGCACTCATAACTATGGAGAGATTCTTGAGTGTGCTAGAAATACGGATACAAGTAGAGGAACATTTAAAAAAAAAAAACCTCTTTCTACTTATATAATAACATAAGACGTATCTCTATATGTTTCAGACACATCAAAACATCTACCATGATCATAATCTCAATTAAACCTCTATGATTATATATTACTGCACAGATCATGTTTCTGGCACATTAACTTTTGTTTTTTGCGATTTGGACCAATAGGTGACTGGATCGACATTTCATAAGTCATTAAGGAGAGGGTAGGTATTTAGATAAGAAATGGATTATCTACCCTCCCCTTTCCATACATTCTCCATGCCCTCCTATTTTGTGCGGTCACGCTTAAATCATGTTAATATTTTAAATTTATCTTTTTATAAAAATAATAAGACAAAAAAAAAATTTTGACGTTGCTTAACCATTAACGTATAAAACAAGAGAGCATGAAGAGGATATAGGAAAGTAAGGCAGACAATTCATCTTCTTTAAATAATTCTGTGCACTAACCAAGGAAAAGAATTGAGTCAAAAAGGCCATAGACTTCCTTGGAATCTGTAGGGGAAACAAAAGGAAAGAAAAAGAAGAGAGATGCTGAGTTAACTCGCACAAAAGTGAGTCTATCCGTACTCTCCGACACCTCAAATTTTTGTAATTTTGTGAGTAGATGCGTCTCTGCCACTCATGTTTTTGTATAATTTTTGTGTCAATATTATAATATTATGTTTAAGATATAGGACAGAGAGTTCTACTTTGAGAGAGTCTTCTTAGCATTTCTCGAAAAACAAGGTTGACATAATTGCAAAAGTGAGAAAACTTGTGAAATGCTAACGTAAATTAAGTCTGTTGGCTGGAACAGAGTACTCAAAACCTTCTTGTACATGGAGTTTAAATGTCGTCGAAAAGATCATTACTCAAGCAAATAGATTATTTGGTTAAATAAGAGTTCATGGAGATGAAAGAAAAGAGTTTCATCTTCCTCATACAAACATGATTTGTTTTGGAAACCCTAATAGCATATACATTCAACAGGTTAAACAACGATGTTCCTTTGCATAGGAGTCGATATCTCATAACACAATCGTGGATACATACAATATGGCTCAACTAACATCCAATTTCGGAGAATTCTAACCGCCACTTTTGAACAAAATGTGCTCCTCTTCCAATGTAATCCTATCGCCGGCAACTGAAACCCAACTTTCAACGATTTTATCAACTGTTCCGTCCAAGATCTCCACTAAAGTGAAGGCGCGCATGGTGCCACAGGACTCCGGTGTTCCTTGCTCAACGTTCAGTCTCTTAACTCTAGGAACAATAGCCCCATTGAGGTATATAGTGTTGTCGTCTCCAACCACAATCATTTTCCGAAGACCATTTCCATGCGCTAGCTCTTTATGCATGTGACCAAACACTACCAGTGGAGCACAGATTGTTGCAGTCTCTTTTAAGAGGGACAGGGCTTGTGCAAGATCTGTACCGAACAAACGAAGTGTTTATGTTAGTACATCTTAAGTTAGATCAACTTGCTTCTTTTCCATGACCAGCCTCTTAGATTCATCAGGACACAAGCAACACGCAGCAACCCAAAAGGTTGAGTAGGAGAGTGACATTGATTCAACCGGTAACACTAAGTTTAAAAGGATAACAAAAAGCCATTTCAGTGCTTCAGTGAAGAGGTTCGAATGGTTATTACCTGGGTCACCATGATCCCCAAATCCAAACACCCAATCTTTTCCACATATGTCATCCACGTTAGACCCAAGACCTACACAAGGAGCGAATCAGAAATCTGCGTTCAAATGAAGCAGCTAGTTTGGCTCAAAATGCCTGATTATTATTTGTTCCAGCAGACTGATAAACCTGTGGGTCCATTATGTGCAAGAAATATGATCAAATGGTCCTCAGGAGCACCCAAAGTTGCTTCGCATATTCTCTTAGCACTTCCTTCCATGTCTTGGACCCCATACCTAAGAGGCAGTTGTTTCAGCACATTCAGTCAGTATTTAAGCTACCATTGTGGAAAACACTTTCTCAAAAGAATTTGCATGATAACTGTGATTCATGCATAGTTTTATAAAAGGCGGGTACACATTCTTGGATGCTACTTTGTATCGGGGCCAACTATTTTTTATTTTTGAATAAGAAAGCAAACAAATTGATAAAATTTTAGTTTCGTGTTTCATCAAGAGCTGCTAGAAACATTACGCACCTTGCAGACAGAAGCTTTTGTCGAAAAAACTCATTTCCCCCACAAGAAAAAGGTCGCCCACCAACAACGCTCAGCTTCACAGCAGGATAGTCCAAACGCCGATAGCCCACATGCTCCTCACCGAGACTGAATATTACAAGTATTTATGTAAGAATGACACTAGAACAGCAAATATATCATATTTCAATGGAACGTTAAGTAATAATTGGTACACCAAAACGCAATAGATATGGCAATTTCAGCATCTTTGACAATCAACAAGATAAGACAAACTCACCATTCTAGCTGAAGTTGAACGCTGTCTTTTTTCCTGATATTAGAAATTATTAAATTAACCAGATTACCATGGACTAACCACATTGATAGTTACATATTGAACTGGATACTATGCAGCGTTTCTAACGAAGCCTTCACTTTAAACATCTGGAAGTAATTAAGAAAAATACAAATAGAAACGAAACAACTTACTTCCCAGAAAAATGTGTTGTATGCCAGGCATCAATGCATCATGGTTTCCTAAAATAATTTCTTTAGCAATATCGCGGAAAACAACTTACTTTCGAGAAAACTGCGTTGTATGCCAGGCGTCATGGTTTCCTAAAATAATTGCTTTAGCAATATCGAGATCTGCAACGCTCTTAACGAGTTCAACGTTCTCTTCCCCAAAATCACCTGAACCAAATGGAGGAGAAGGAAGGGCCAAAAATACACAAAAGGAAGGTAAACTATCGATTTCACAAAACAAATAAAACTCAACGGCCTCGTTAGTGCAGAGCCACAACATAAATTCAGATCACACATAGCTCTAAGTCTCTAAAACTTTTTGAGCTATATTCTGAGAACGAACTTATCTTAAAATTTACATCAATTAGGGACATGCCATGAATTTATCAAACGTCCAAAGTTACTAGTTACTTCGATCAGCAGTCGGGAAGCACCGAAAAACATACGGTACATGAAATAGTCAGGGAGAATGGAACCTGCCTGTAAAAAGAACCAAATCCGGCTGCATTGCAATATGAAGTTACAAACTTTCATTAGATTTCTTTGCAGGACATACACAAAAGTTGGAAGATTTAAAAAGAAAAAGCATTTGGACAAAAGGGTTTTTGCTAATTAACTCAAATTTTACCACATAATCCCAAATAATCAAAGATTTTAACTTGTTCTTTTAAGTTAAAAGAAAATAGTGAAGAGGGGGAAAATGTAAATACCTGCAGCAGTTGAAGTGCTTTCCTATCTTCTTCTAGATTCCATTGATCATGCTTCACAAACCCAAGACAAAAAATTTGAAATTTAGAGGAGAAAGGTACGAAATTTAATTTAATCAACCGGTCACGGTTTCGGAAATTCACAGAGAGGGACTTACGACGTCACCGACAACGGCTATACGAGCTGAGCTCCGAGCTACGGAGGAAGCCATGGAAGAGCGCGCGGCGATGTGGTCGGAACGAGGGTGGGGGGAGGCGAACCGGAGATGAAACACGGGGTAGGTGACTTACTCTAGTCACTCTATCTCGCTCGCGCGCGCTGCTGTACTGGTTGGTGAAGAGCCAACGACGTCAACGTGGCATCAGGTGTGGTTTTTCCCACCGTTGGATTTAATTGTGGGTCCTACCGATTTGGAGCATGTATCGCCCGTCCTCCCATTGAAAAAAACATTCTAGTGTGTCGAGATCATGGTCATATAATGTTATCAGAACAATATCGAAACCAACTCCACTTTCATTTGACGAGCCATCAACGATACTCAAAATGTCATAATCCAATTGATTGAAAATTTTTAATTAAAATTTTAATTAATTATATTATTACATTTGATGTACCGAATAATCTAACAACTCCTCCCCTCGTTGTAATGCTTTTTTTTTTTTTTACTCAGATTTTTTCAAATTTGACCATTGATCTTACAAGTTTGATTTTTTTTATTCAAAACCGACAAGGTTGATTACTTATGATGTTTTGATTTAATAATTTATTGTTGTATATAAATATTTTTCCACTCAACGATGCAGTATTGAACCAAAATGCAAAAATATCAATAAATTTGTTTAATGTGAATTTGTAAGATCTCACATCATCCAGAAGAGTGATCCTTATATATATATATTCTCATCTCTACCTAGTACGAGGCTTTTTGGGAGCTCATTGGCTTCGGGTTCCATTGGAACTCCGAAGTTAAGCGAGTAGCAGGCGAGAGCAATCCCATGATGGGTAACCCACTGGGAAGTTCTCGTGTGAGTTTCCAGAAACAAAACCGTGAGGGCATGGTCGGGGCTCAAAGTGGACAATATTGTGCTACGATGGTGGAGCGGGACCGAGATGTGGTGGACCCCGAGCCAGGATGTGACAATTTGGTATCAAAGCCTAACCCTGGTCGTGGTGTGCCGACGAGGACGTCGGGCCCCTAAGGGGGTGGATTGTAGGATCCCACATCACCCAAGGGAGTGATCCTTATATGTATATATTCTCATCTCTACCTAGCATGAGGCCTTTTGGGAGCTCATTGGCTTCGGGTTCCATCGGAACTCCGAAGTTAAGCGAGTAGAGCGCGAGAGCAATCCCATAATAGGTGACCCACTGGGAAGTTCTCGTGTGAGTTCCCAGAAACAAAATCGTAAGGGCGTGGTAAGGGCCTAAAACAGACAATATTGTGCTGCGATGGTGGAGTGGGCCCGGGATGTGGTGGACCCCGAGCCGGGATGTCCAAACTTAGTGAAAATACACAAACACCCTTTTTATTCCGTAAATCCTGAGACGGGTTGTTACAAAATTTCTCTCCAACTTGAGACTAGAAATCTAAAGCTCTAAATGAAAATTGTACATCTTTTTATTTTTCACATTTGGTTGGTTTCTTAATCACCATCAATTTGACCAATATAATACATTCAAGAACAATCTATTATGTTAATTAAAAAGTTTCAAGAATATTGAAAATGAAGGTTTATCAATTCGATAATGCTAAGGAGATCATATTTTCACATCTAAAATCTCTCGCTAATAAAGGTAAAGTCCATAAAACAAGTAGGTTTTACCTTTATTAGAGAGATGAGTTATATGTGGTTTATAAAATATAGTCTTGTTCGGACCCGATTTTACATTATCGGCCCGAGTAATCGAGATCGTTGAACGAGCAAAATTTTAGACCATTGAATGATAAAGTGGTTGAAATAAGTTTTAGTTATTATTGAGAAATAATATTGTGATTATATTTCATCTTATTATGCATGCATGGCAACACCTGGATCCATGTGGTGGAAATAGAGTTCTAGTTGGACTAGGAGACACGGTCACGATTTTTTGGAAGGAAAACATGGGCTTTTTGAATAATGGTGAAGCATGGTCAGAAGATGATGGCATCTAAAAGATGGGCTTTCGCTTATCTTGAGAAACCTTTGACTGAAGTTCTAGCTGACGAGTTTGAATTGAAAAAATTATACACTAGTATGAAGCGACGCCACACAACATTTGCTTTTATAAATACAGTGTCGTAGACATCATTGTTGCACGTGGTTTTATCTTGAGATATGGTGATTATATTTCATCAATTAGAATTATTTTTCAGAGTTATAGTTTGGTGAAGGAATCATCATGCATGCACATGGTCTTCATCAGGGGAAATATATATGATGGATTTGATCGGTGAAGTGATGTTAATATATATGATGGATTCGATTGGTGAAGTGATGTCATGGAGATAAATTTGTTTATTTATGGTGACGTGATAAGTTTCGGATAGGGGGATAGACCTTAGCATATGGCACGGATTAGCTTCGCTAGTTTGAGTTGCAGATGAACTCTATAAAATTATTTAGCCGTGCCGAGGTTAATACGTGTTATAAATATAAAGCGATGTGCAACATGTTGAGCCCCTCCAATTCAACATATAAATTACCCTGCGCAAAGCTTCTCAACAACCCTGAGATTTTATCCTTCTCCCCTTTCTTTTACCAACACAAACAGTACTGTGAAAGCAACTAGCGACATTTTCTGTTTGGATAAATAGCACTGAAGTCGTAGAATCAGCCAATCAAGGAGCACCTTCAGTTTGGATAAACAGCACTGCTTCGAGATCGATTGGTTATTTATCCAAGTCTCGGTCGACAAGGATTTTCGAGTCCTTCTCGGCACATTGAAAGCCGAATTTGATATTGAACTTTGTAGAACTAGCAACATTGTCTTTAGGCTATAAGACCCGAAGGCCGAGACGTATTCCTTCCTCGGTCGCAGTCGCAAGATCAAGAAGTCAATAGCGTGCCCAACACCACATCAATATATTTTACTCCCCGGTCGAGCTCGGCCAACGAGTTGGCAAGCCCTACGCATAATTGAAGGACGTAGTTAGCTCATTAGTTACTCGGCATGCACGCCACGTAGGCTTAGTAGTTTTTAGGGTCAACAAGTCTGTAACATATTCCTTCTCAATCCATCATGCACAAAGCTAGTATGTGACATACCATCATCAATTTCATACTATTACAAGTACATGGTTATTAAAGGTGGTGGTATTCACACACACATATGCTTATATCACACAGATTTTTTGTTAAGTTTTGTCATTTGATCTTTTTCAACTCATTCTATTCGATTGTCGAAAATTAAGAGGTGTGTCAAAAAGTAAAAAATGTGTATAGATAATACTACCCGTTTATTAATGCCACCCTAAAATATTAATGTGTTTTAATATTAAAGTCTAATAGTAAGTATAAGGGTAAGCACTCTACCACTAGGATTATAAAGTCTTATACTATATCGGAGCATGTATTCAGTTTCTGGACCTCCCTAACGAGAAGGGATGCCACTTGCTCATCTAAAGTCCAACTTAGCTATGCTAGTTTTGCAACTTCTGAAATAGCTAACTTTCGTTCATTCCCCTTGTGTTTACACAGCTTTCAAATAATTCATGAATCAAGGAAATCAAGATTAGGAGAGAGAATAAATAGTTGTGAGATCAGCTAGCCTCTTCTCCCAAACCATCTTATCTCGAATTTTCAAGTATTGGGTTACATAATCTTATATGAAACCAACTTTTTTACTCCACATGGATTTGTAAACGCATGAATAATGTGAAGAGAAATAATTTCAGTACTCATGTGTTAGCAATACGAAGAAAATACAGAACCTACATGCCATAAATTTGGTAACAAGATGTCAACTATCTATAAATATCTATCCGTATGCGTAAAAGCCAAGAGCAAGACATTAATTTTGTTATGGTCCACTCTAAGCCAATAGACCGCGCACAGCACAAGTGTCTTTAAGAGTCTATGCAAAGTCCCAATCCTAACACAATATCTTAAACGCAAATTGGGTCTTCCTATCTACATGCAGGAAAAAGTCATTGGATCAAAACGCTAGAAATACATAGACACACAAGAGACGAACAAGCAAGCAAGAACTAATAACTTGCTGCAATGTCTTCCAAGCTAACACTTCCGTTTATCTTTTCCGCTCTCATCTTCCTCATCCACCTCAACTTCTCATCCGGCCAAACCGTCGTTAAAGCCGCTTACTGGTTTCCCGACAGTGGCTTCCCGGCCGCCAGCATAAACTCCAGCCTTTTCACTCATCTCTTTTGTGCATTTGCCGATCTCAATCCCACCACCTACCAAGTCACAGTTTCGTCCTCCAACTCCGCCCCGTTCTCAAGCTTTACACAAACAGTCCAGCAAAAAAACCCTTCTGTAAAAACCCTGCTGTCCATCGGTGGCGGAAATTCCAACCCCGCCACCTTTGCCGCAATGGCTAGCCAGGCTACCCGGCGTAAAGCGTTCATTAACTCCTCCATCACGTTAGCGCGGAGTTACAACTTCCATGGCCTTGACCTTGACTGGGAATACCCATCCTCCACCACGGAGATGACTAACTTCGGTACCCTTCTCACGGAGTGGCGAACTGCCGTGGCAAATGAGTCAAAAACCACGGGCAAGACCGCTTTACTTCTAGCCGCGGCTGTTTTCCGCTCTGCGGATTACTACACCATAAACTACCCCTTCCAGTCCATATCAAACAGTTTGGACTGGATCAACGTAATGGCTTACGACTTCTACGGCCCCGGTTGGTTCCCAAACAACACTGCGCCACCCGCTGCGTTGTCTGCGACTTCCGTTAACGGGGATGCCGGAATCACGTCGTGGATTCAGGCAGGTTTGGCTCCCAAAAAGATAGTGCTAGGTCTTCCATTTTACGGATATGCGTGGCGTTTGTTGGACGCGAATAACCACGGCATTTTTGCCCCAGCTAATGGATCCGGTATAGGAACGTATGGTGACCAAGGTTACAGCCAAATAAAGGATTTCATAAGCCAAAACGCAGCTCAGACGGTGTACAACGCCACCGTTGTTACGAACTATTGCTACTCCGGGAAGACGTGGATTGGTTACGACGATACGCAGAGTATCTCCGCCAAGGTTTCGTATGCTAAGACGACGAAAGGACTTCTTGGCTACTTTGCATGGCATGTCGGCGCTGACAGCAGTAATTGGGCTCTTTCTCAAGCAGGTATTTTGTTGAATCACGTTGCAAAAATTTTACATTATATTGGATATTG